CCAAATCCGGAGTAATTCAGACTCATGGTGCCCGTCGTTTTCTTAGACATGGGAATTAGTCGCGAAAATACTCTGGCCCGACAGTGGCGGACACTCCCACTCTATAGAGCAAATCAGTAGGTTGTAAGAACATGGCTTACGGTGGCCGTCGAATGGTCCCATAGGGTAAAATGAAACCTGATGGGTCCCTTCAAGAGGGATTGAGTTTCCAAGGGCCCATCAAGTAATTTCCTCTAGATTTGGCTCAGTACAAGCTTTCACACTAAATCCCAACGTTTTCGCCTGTCACAGCAAAATGCATCATAGATCAGGGTTTGCGACTCCAGAATCTGAAGTTGTTCGCTTCTGCAAGTGAACCAATGACGTAGCATGCTGGAGGGAGCAGGTGAGTGAGAAGATGGAGTGTACTTCGAAGTGGATGCATTCGCTCTTCACAACTCATGCTTCTACGAAAGTTTGCAGTCGATGAACAATCCCACACGACGTGTATTGTGGAATGCCTCACCATCACCCTTGTACTCTACAACATATTTCTTCATAATAGTACGATGTACATTAATTATTTAGATAGGGCGGCTAGATATCACTCGCTTAGGGCTAATTAGCTCTCAGTGACAGATACGCAATTCTCTTATTGGTCGATGCAGGGCAATAGGGATGCAGTAGCAACTATAAAATGTTCGACCAATCAAATAAGATCGCGAGGGCTAATTAGCCCTAAGTGAGTGATAACTAGCACCTCACTTTAGATATTTCAATCGCATGTATTTACCGTTGTGATGATATTGTACCTAGATTCTAGATCCATCTGCCCTCTTGTTTCCTCCCCGGAAGACTTTGAAGGTTTTTGCTAAACTACTGTATTTCTCGCGATTTCCTACTCGCCATGGTTTTGACTTCGACACCTGGATCTCCGCTACTCTTTTCCAGCTCCACGACTCTACTCGGTTTTCTCAGATCTCCTGCAGGTATTCTACGATACGATACCACTGTGTCATGAGGGCTTTTAAGAGGGCGGCCACACTGGTCAGCCGATTCACAGGCGTCGGTGAGCATATAATATTGCGCGAAAGTTGCTCCAATCCTGAATGGCTTTCATGCTTTAATCAGGACTCTAGTCTTTTGTGGTCAGGTGTACATCACATCTCCGTTTGAGGTCCCCGTCGTCCTTCAACGGAATGAATGATTTCTTTTGTGCTTTGAAGTGTGACTCTACCTTGTAAGCGCATAGCTTTTTCCAACAACAAGGTACCACTAGTTTTATGCGTGTCGTTCAACATCCTGATAATCCAGGACAACGTCATGTCATATTTCCTCTTCGATGTGAATCCACCTTGTTGCATGTAGTGTTCCTTTCACTCTAAGCTAAGACATGGTTACAAAAGTTTTGCCTGGTGTTGTTGCGTTACAATCCAAGGAACATCAGAATCGAGTCTGGCCATAAAGAAACATTCTGTGCTCCCAAACTGTAAGCATGGTCCAACCAATCCAAGACAGCTTGCATCACATACAGGAGAATAATGATCTGTCTAGTCAAATTTTGGCATCACCATAGAACATGTGACAACAGCGGGATGCTGGGACCGAGCTCCATGGAGTCTTTTTAGGATTCTGTGCAACCCATTCTTCGATTATTTTATGTGATCTTCATATCCAGACAGGACACGAGTGAAGATGATGGCTTCTCAATTTGTACTGCACACACTCAAACACTCATAGGCTTTTCCTTTTCTAGCCTTGCTATTAATGTCCCTAAATCTTACAGCTCCGCTGGCTGTATGAGCTGAAATGCCAAGTTTTGTACCTCGGTCATGTTCCTTACAGGTGTTGAATACTTTCGAAGGAACATGAACATTCATAATAAGTTAATGTTTGGTCTTTGTATACTCTTCCTGGAAATTGAGATTTATCTGTCGCTTACCTGATATTTTTATTTATATGTAGCTGACTGTGAAGATGTGAAATAAGACTGTTTGTGTCAGGACCTGTGTATGTAGCGGTGATGCCACTAACTACTTAAATGCGGCTGTAAGATCTCAGTATTTTGGTGGGAATTATTAATTTAATGTCGAGTGTGGAAGATTTTGACAAAAGGAAGGCCTTAACTTCAATCTAGTATGGTGGATTCAAAGTTGGCGTGACCAGCACAAAAAATTCATACATATTAAATAAATATAGCTAGAGCACATAAAGTTTTTGACTCCAAGATGTGTGAATCTAGTATGAGAAAAGAGAAAAGTAGGTACTGATATTAGTTTTAAAGAGAAAAGTAGGTAAAGAACTATGACGTGGAGGTTTTGAGAGTAAAATATATTATAATGCCCTCAATCTGAATAGCCTAGGTTAATTAAAGTGAATAAGTTTATGCATTGACTTGAAGTCTATTGCTTTATTCTTCTATTGTACATACTATACAATGTATGGAGTGAACAGGTGCCCGGCTTTCGCGTGGATGGATTATGGAGGTATCAAAGGGACAATATGAGTTTAATATGATCATGTCAGTGAGGAATGATAGTGGCAATTAAGAAGAAATAATCAAGTTTTATGTTGTCGATTTAGGAGATAAAAGAAATTCTTATCTACATGCTATGAAGGAGATATTTGAAATCGTTTTTTGGCAATGATTTTCTGTGAAGGTTCTAATACAGTGGTTTACCTGTAGCTTAACATAAATTGCGAATTGATATAAGGATTAGTTGAATAATTTAAAGAACAAGTAACTTCAAAGAATGAATGACCTTTTATTCATATAGTTGTAAGGAGCTACATATGCATGCTGTGTTCAACCGTGATACAGATGAAGTGTATCAACACCTAAATAAAAGTCAAATTCGCATAATCGGTACTCGAAGTCACGATGATATTGATGAGGATATGATGTCAAGCTCACATGTATATGTTTTCTTTATTATGTTAACCCTATCCAAGAGGAAAGATTTTTTGGATAAAAAACGGATCTGAAATAAGAACACCAAGAGTGGGAATGATTTGTTGCTAAATCGAAAATCTAAGCCCCAAAATGGTGTTTAAGTATCTTTGTACATATGTTCTAGTGTCACTGTCGATTTCAAGGAGTAAATCTTTATTTTATGAAGATTTGGACAATTTAGTTGGAAATATAAACATGTTATGTGAGTAAGTAGATGGAACAGTTTGTGTTGTGTCATTCATATCCAGGCATGGACATAATAGTTTCCCGCCTAAATTACCTAAATACGTATAATTTAGTCTCCTCGAAAAATTTACTTTAGTCTATTCAAAAACATTAATTTAGTCGAATTTAGTCTCCTTACAAAGTTCATTTAGGCTAATTTAGTACACTAAAAAGGTAAATTAGATCAATTTGATTTCTAAAAATTTAATTTAGGCTAATTTAGTTTACTAAATTTTTTTTTCAGAGTAAAATTTTTCAAATTTTTTTTCTAAAAAAATAACATTAATGTATAATTTTCATTTTTTTTAAATCCATCAATTCTACGTACGTGTCCACTCTCCATTGCTTATAACATGAACACGCCAAATCGTAACTCCCTTAATTTAGTCGCATAATCACCATCAAGTTTAGTTAATTTAGGCGACCGTATATACGGTCGCCTAATACAACCATACCTGTTCATATCTTATCATACCTGCTGCTCGCGAGCAAATACATCATGAGGTTGTCATCTACTGTTATTGAGATCTGGTTATTGTTGGACTTGAGAAGATCTCTATCACTACACATCAGCGACATCATTAATCTATTTGTTGGTCATGATGAAACATTTTCGTCGTGAAATGATTTGATGATGATTTTAGACAAGTCAAATGACTAAATACTTATTAGTCCCTCATTTGTGCTTATACAATAGAATTTATTGCTCACTCAATACAGGTTTATAAGCTCAGTGTAATTCAAGGGTGATTGATCATTATATCACGTCAAAAGATAAACCTTCAACACGAAGATCTAGGGTGTAGGTTTTAAATATTGAAGTTACAAGGATATGACTAAGAAAATTTCACTTCAAGATCATTCATGTGGAAAATTTTCACATCATCCTGCCATGTTTTTTCATGAGTTTTCATCAACTAATAGTCCTGATGATGGAACATATTATCTTAGCCGCATGAAAAATATACTATGTTATCACTATTTGAGTATTTGGCGTTAGAAAAAATCTGAATCAATTCTCATACGCTTGTGTTGATGTATCTTGATATTGCATGTCACTATATATCTTTGGATAAATAATGTACATGCAAGAAAACTATCACGACATATGTAGTTACACCAAATTAACAAGATGCATAAATGCATGTGTAAATACAACACTGATGGTTGTGCAAAGACCTGCTTCCCACTAAAACTGTTGTTTGGGTAAACATGTACATTACAAGACATTAGGGTCTCGATGGAAGGAGTTGACATTAGTTGTTAGAGAATGCAAAGTTTGAAGTTAAAACTTTGAGATTGTGTACATGATGGAGAATCACCAGTGAGTGAACCTATAATCTTTAAATTGTTATTTTAACATAAATTAATATTTTAAAATTTGGGATTGGAATAAAAATACACTTGTGCATGTTTTGAAAATAAAAGCCTTGTATTACAGAATTTTTGTTGATGTGTGATATAAGATGTTCTGCGTGACATAGAATTACACTTTGATACCTTGCATCACATTTGAGATTGTCACGTCACGTGAAATATAAGAAATTTTGGAGAAATGGTGACACTAAAAAATCGTGGCCTTGTCAAGTTTACATTTAATGCGAATGAGGTGATGTCTTCTGATTGAAAAACCAAAAACCTCTCAGTGCAATTGCACACTTCCGTTCTGGTTGTGCTAAATGACGAACACAAGGACAAGCTCTACATGCGCAGGAACGGAAGGGTTGAGTCTAGGGCTCATAGGACGGTCGATTTGGTCCTGAAAATCTGGGATTCCATGTCTCGGTCAGTGCTCTTGATTTGTATATATCCATTCCCTCGACAAGGCAGGTCGTCGTTTCTCGCATTTAATCGATTTATTCTGCAGGTTTTGATGCGCTCGAACATGCAAAACTTCGACGTGCGAGCCAACAAAGGCCGTAGCAATTTATCATCGACTTGTCAACTGCGTGGATGAGCTTTGGAGGAGTTTAGAGAGGAACGAGGATATCTCAGAGCTCGGAGTAAGATAATCCTGCAGACGAAGGGCAGGTTCGTCGATGCATCACGCACGAGAAGGTGCCGAAAGCGAAGCAGAAGTCCTTGAGCTTCCAGTTCTTTGGACGAGCCATTCCATTCCAAATGGGCCCAAAGTCGGCTTCTGAAGCTCCCTGAAGCTCTGAAAGCCGATGCGATCCTGCCGAAAGCTGCCTCATTATGTCCGGAAACTGTGACAGGCGCAGTACGCATGGGGAGTTGGGGGCTGCTTCTTCCCATGAGCCCTGCCTCATTCATGTCGCGCCCTAGGCACGATTGGGCTCTTCAAGTCACTCCACCCCGAGAGTAACAGCAAAGATTTACTACTTGTGCCGATTTAGGTCGCTCATCAGATTCGTGGCCACGAGAGGAAGAAGGTGGAGGCCGGGAGATGGTGTGTCCATGACAACGGAGATCAAGGACGGATCGTAAATTGCTACGGATTTCTGAGATGATGAGCATGATGATGACTGTGGCGAGGGTGGCAGGCGAGTGAAATGTAACGCGGATTGTTGTTCAATTTTGGGTTATTAGACGGTGGAGAGAATGATTAAGCTCTCCCCGGCGAGGATAGGGTGCCTCGAACAATTCGGAAGTTCGGAACTGATTCGATTATTGTTTTCTGTTTCTGTACCGGAAATCTTCCAATTCTGACACAAACGTTTAAGAGCAGAGGCCGGCTTCTCGTTGGGGGAACAAGATACGGATACCATTGAAAGGAAAGGGTGTTCAAGAATCAAGACGAAAGTACAGCAACTATGATTCCACTGGTCTCCCATTATGGGATGCTGAAATTGTGGTGCAGCTAAACGGACACCTCACTTGGCCGGCTTGAGGAAGAGGGAGTGAGAGAGTCAGCGAGTCATGGAGCCCGGAGAGGAGGAGGAGGAGTCCGCCAGGCTTCCAAAGGAAGCCGTCAAATTGATATATTCTTTCGGCCTCGAGGTTTTTCCATTCTTTTAGACTCTCAGAAATGGCCTGAGTCCAATTCTGTGTTTAACGGAAATTTAACTAAAGCTTGTGAATCAGATACTTAACTGGTCAAGATGAGAACGACAGTACCCGAGAAAAAACGACTGTTACAACTAAATAACCCTCAACTTCACTTTGCAATACTTGAATTGCAACTGGAATCAGTCTTCACTCTGCAATTCTTGTTCAATCTGCAATCCAGTTAAAGTAGAAAAAATCAGGCAGTCGGAGACCCTATGTGTCCTTCGATTGTCAGAGTATTCTAGCTTTCTACAGACGTTCTTTGCACGAAGACATTCAACAAAATAGTGGAGTGCAATTTACAAATAACGACTGCCCTTCAAGCTCGCGGAAAACCCCAAATGTCGAGGCAGGAGAGTATCCAAAACTTACGAAGAGTGCCAGGACTGCTCTATGTGGGACATTCCTGCTGGCTCGCAGAAGGTTCGGTTCCGACAGATGCACATGTGACAGCATCACAGAGTGATGATGAAGACAGAATCCAAGCTCGACGACGAGACGTTCCGTGCTCGTGTGCGCTACATGGCTATGGATCAGTGGGGTCCAAAATACCCACGGATCCCTTACACAGGGTGGATGATGACGCAGCAAAGTCGGCTGCTGTAAATCTCCATACCCACTCGCCTGCCGATACCAAATATTGTTTTTGTAAAGCGGTCCATCCAATGTAGGGCGGTCACACTCTTCCGTCAGCAACACTGACTAGCTGTCACGTCCTCTGAAGGGTGAAGCATTTCGAACGCTGGAGTGAAGCAGATGCACATATCAATGCCTTGGCTGTTATCGTCTGAGAGCATGACGTTCTGTAATGCTTCATAGTTCCTCGTATGAAGCGAAAATAAAGTCGGAGAGAAGATCCCAGGTGTAAAGAATTCTATCTTAATCGAAAAATGTGACCTGTCCAGAGCCCCAGAACTGAAACATTTTTCTGATTAACGTACGCCCGGATCAACTTCCTCTTTAGCAGTAAAGATTGGACACCTTCGGTTGTCGCAATATCTGATTTAGTGAGACACTGCAAAGAGCACCAAATCCGAAAATTCTCCGTTTAGTGTAGCTTGTCTGGTGAGATCCCCTATGTGAATCGAATGCGATGGTTTCCCCCAATGGAATTGCGAGTAATCGGACGGAAAATTGACGCTCCCTTCAAGCTAGAAGAATGAGCTTCACCAGCATTGATCTTTCTTGTCCTTCTCGTCAGACTTTAGCAACACATGGTTAACGATCAATCGGAAGTCAGGGCCGAAAACCCTGAGGAGCAATAATCGCAGATAGAAATGATTGACAGAGAGACCGAAAGAGAAATTGTCTGAATTTCACATCGTAAGCACAATGTACTCATAGATGTCAGTTTGGTACAATAGTTTGAATAAGCTCTGCGCAATGGCGTTGTTTTCAAAACCCCATTCAATGGCATACACCGGAATGTGTCCTCTGTAAAGATTACCTCGGTGATGATGAAACCCTAAAATTCAGGTTCAGAAATCATCCGCTGCTGCTAAGCATGGCTGTAAATGGCGCAGGGGAGTCGGAGGAACAATGTAGTCTATGTCAAGGAAGACATGGTCATGCACTCGTGTGGTAACGCTGTGCACTTCATTCAGCTCAGCTCTAAGAAGCAAACCTTTCTCATGGTACGATCTCATCTATTGTGGATTTCGTAGGATTTCCAAAGAAAATTTCTAGACCAACTTGAAGAAAAGGAAACGCCCTTGCTTGTTCACGGAAATAAGCGGCTGTGTTGTCTAACGCACAGGGACAGCTCAAAATCCTCATGTTATGGGCAAAAGAGCCCAAAGAAATGAAAATATGCAGATGGCCTTTCCTTTTGTCCGTTGTCTTCCAGTACGGTTGCTATGTTGTCATGTCGGTGGGGTACTCTTCAGGAGAGTAGTGTTTATGGTGTGAAGTTCTGAAAAGATCAATTCTGGAGATAGAGAGTTTTTGAGTGAAATGTTCACCATCCAATTGTTTCCATCGTTTTCCTCAAGCAGAGTCAGGCTGGCCGTGGAATAGGTGCAGTGGCATTGCACCCCAAAAGACACTGCTTCGCTGTTTGCGAGAAAGGAAAAGATCCAGATATCTATGTCTACGCATATCCATCGCTGGAGCTGATGAAGGTCGTAGCACATCCTTCTCTGCGGCTTGTGTCTGTTACTCTGATTGCGCTCGTGGTGAAATTTTCGTCACCCAGCACCGCAACATAATCAGGAGATTGTCTTACCTTAGCAAGCACGGATTTTTACCTTCTGCACATATTCTCTTCATTGTTGTTCATGCCATTTTTCTTCATAGCGAGGTTCTAACAATTGGATGGTAATTATGTTGGCACTTCTGATGGAAAATATATTCATCGTCAAGCCGTACAGGTGATGAAAAATGGAACAGAGAGAGTGTTTACTGCTGCCAACTTTAGCAATGATGGTGTTAAGCTTGCGACAGTAAGTTATACTGCTTTCAGAAAGCTGCCTCGTCCCATAGCTCAGAGGAGAAGCCCTTTTGTAGGCTTCAAAGCACTAGGAAATAGGTGCGAATCGGATGAACAGAAAAGCTTGACAGGAAGCTGGAAAATTTTCATGTGAGTAGGCTTATAGTCCTTGAAGTTGCTGATTTATCCATGCTGCTGAGCATCATTACTGCGTGTTGTACGTTAGGTTGGAGGCCATCCAGATTACTGGCTGACTGTGTGGGATTGGGAGTCTGAAAGCATGATACTACGCTCGAAGGCTTTCTCCCAAGAGGTTTTCAAAGTAAGTCAAGTCTGCTGTGTTACAGATTTGGAACCACATGCAAAGAGAGTGTGAATGGAGTTGCAACTGAGCTTCGTTATTCGTATGCTTTGTGATTTCGCTTCCCATGATGATTCGGTATGGTTGGTAACTGTAGGTAAATTTTTCGACGTACTTCACCGGTCAGCTCATCACATCAGGAGTGGGCCATATCCGATTCTGGAAGATGGCATCCACTTTTACTGGTTTGAAGCTGGAGGTGCGTGTTATTCAAGTTTGCAGCTGCTTCTTGTCATCCAACTGGAGCATCTTCACAGCTATTGAAATGAAACTACAATGCGTCTCTTGCATTCAATCACCAACAAGTTTTGAAATGCACTGTCTTGGCCAGGGAGCTATAGCTAAGTTTGGAACCGTTCCAATCAGCGATGTTGCTGGATATGTGGAGCTGCGAAACAGCAAAGTAAGTAGCTATTTGCTTGCGTTGTTCTGGGAGGATATTTTCGTTCGAATGAGTCGATGTGCTGAAGTAACTTTACGCCTACACCATGACAACGATCGTTGCTGCTGGTGTCGGCAGGTTTTATCTGGAACAGAAGTTGGAACTATCCTCGTTTGGGATGATGGTCTGATCAAAGCTCAGTTGAAAAGACCTGGCGAATCAATGTGTCATGATGGGATGATTGAGTATATTACCCTTGACGAAGATGCCAAACAAATGACCACAGCAGGAGCAGATGGCTTCATCAGATTTTGGAACCTTGATGTAATGACTCTGAGCTAAGTTTCCATATATTTAATATCTGAGCCTGTACATTTTTGCTGGTTTGAAATCAGTGCATGCGTCAGGAGAATGGGAAGGTTTAAAGCGAGATATACTTCAATGCTGCTGTTGGTTGACGAGAATATCGCACTTAACAATGTTCAGATAATGGTGGACTGCAACATCGGTTCTGTCATTGGTCAGAGAAGTTGTTTTTTTTCGTAAATTTGGAATGTAGAAAATAATGTGACTAATGATAAGACAAACATAGTCCGTCTTACCGAATTCTATGCGCGAAGATGCATTTTTGTCGTCAGTTAGCTGTTGAGGAAGACTCAATACTGCTACCTCGACCCGGATACCTCTGAACAAATAGATAATGTAAGAAGATCATCGTTCTTATGAGACCGGAATCCTGATAAAATCAAGGAAGAGAGAAGTGGTTGGATGCAGCCAATGATGGGGACGATAAGCTTGTGTGCGAAATTACTCCCGTCAAGGAAATAAATGTGGGTGACAATGTAAAAATCAAAGGAATTATTCGTGAGGCAGACCACTGGATCATCCAGGTACGAAGGCAACTGAGCATGTGATGTTTTATTTCTGGAAAAATCTTAAAATGTTGCAATTATCATCCTATGTAATGTCGGCTTTACAGTAACGTTCCCATCAGTTGAAAGTTCAAAAAGTTAGCTGTGTTAGCTTCTGGTTTGCGGTTTGCTGTTGCAGAGCAATTCTAACGAATAATGACCGCCAGGATGAAGGTGGAGCTCTGTGGAAGGCGAAACTTCCCAGCTTTCAGATGGAAAGAGTTTTAGATTTCCATGCTGGCCCCATAAATTGCGTGGCAAGTTCACCTCTTAACTACGATTTGGCATCTGGTGGATCAGATGGCACCGTACGTACTTTCAAGCCCTTAATGTATCATCGACCTGCGCAGCTTGCTCAGTTGCGATAGAATGCATAATAAAACTAAATATCAAGTTTGAAGCAGATAGGGCAGGGCAGAAGGGTATGTTTGCATTCTGATTCAGAGAGAGTATCGCTCTCCGTCGCTTAATTGTTTTGAGATCGGATGATTGATCAGGTACGTTTGTACAATTTCAAAGAACATCAGCAAAGATATTCCAGAAAGTTCTCCGGAGGGGTTTCGTCCTTCCTCTGGCTGCCACTGGAGCTTGATCCTACGGGAAACACTGTGGTCGCGGGTTTCACAGACGGGGTTGTGAGAATCCTGGAGATTGGTGCAGATCACTGGATGTTGAGTCGAGCAATGAAGCCACACAAAGTAAGGCACTTGTAAGTGCCATGTCGTAACATAGGCCACAATATAGATAAAATATATCCAATTCGAATGTTATTCTCAGATAGGTCTTCACGAGAAATTTTGTTTCAGTCAAAGGGCGAAATGATGAGATAAGCACTGAGATCAAGAATTTTAGTCAGCAGTTGTTTTCAGGTCTTCTTTGTGAACGTCTGCAACTTAGAAGTGTTCATATTAAAGGCATGGTCAGCATGCTTTTTGTTCCTTCCATGGCACTTGTAAAGTCATCACATGTATTGCCGGACGCTCTCTTCTTCCACACCCTTAAATTCATCGTATATATAGACACAGGAAAACAAGAACGGCCACTTTGAAAGTGCTATCTCTGTTTTACTTTTAATCGATTACGTTGGTTGAACTACAGTTGGAGGTGGCAGCCTTGAGTTTTTCAGAAGATGGAGAGCTGCTGACAAGTGGTTCTAAGGATTGCACGATATTTTTCTTCCATTGCAAAAACAATTATAGAGCTCTTGGGTGTGTCTTTCTTTCTTATGAAGACTAGCTGATCTTCATATCGATTCCTTTCGTTCAGATAATGCATCTTCTATTTGATGAGGTTTTTTCTGGTAAAAGTCTGTCAAATTACTCATTGAAAGCTTGATGAGTTAAAATGAGTCAGGTAAGTCAATCATACGTCGTCATACGATTACTCCTCTGATCTTCGCGACATCCAAAGATCGAGAGATTTTGCGAAGGTCTCAACAGACATCTTAGGTGATAATTGAGACCAAGGATATAACCTAGGCACGCTTTCAACATCGGGAGATTTTTCCTGTCCAGAGGTTCGAGTTTGTTCTTTTAGCAGGTTGATTTATATTGGATTGGGAAATTGGCTTCAGATTTTGTAAGGTGCCTGGGCCTGTAACGAGCATGGACTGGGCTCCAAATGGGAAACACATCCTTGTGGGGTGCCACAATGGGGCCATTGTCGAAGTTAGTCGTCCAGGTACGCTCGTTGATCTTTCATAAAATTCTTCATAGTATTCAGCACAAAGCAGCACATGAGAGGTATCAAAGACACATGTTCCTAAACAAGCTCGATATCATATCCGCGGTTTCCAGTTTTTTGCAGGTGTTGATGGAGATACAAGTAAGTCTTTCGAGCTGATCCTGCCCATGAAGACTTATACTTTCCGTAGACCTAAGATTGTGAAGCCAAAGCCCCCTCCAGTGGTCGTACCAGAAGTGAAGACCCAAGAGCCAAAGGTGCAGGTCTACTGTCTGTAAGTACATCAATGATTGGGAACCTCGAGATCTGTACTCACAATTCGGCCGAAAATCCCGGGTTGTACTTGGATGATGAGATTGTCTTTCTCCTTATACAGGAGGGAGATCCTGCTTCAGCTCCTGTCGAAAGTGTCGACGGTAATTCGACAGACAAAAAACCAGAAGGAGGTGCAATTGAGGATGCTCCAAAGGACGCCATGGAATCTGCAGCAGATCCTAAAGCCGGAACTGCAGAGAAGGCTGAAGGTGCTGCAGAGGTTGGTCCTGATGGTGCGGTAGAAGGTGAGGCTAAACCTGCTGAAGCTCCACCACCGCCACCGCCCGTCGTGGAAGAGGAAGAATTAGACGATCCTCCTGGTACAATGTATCCTGTTCGAGCACTTATGTATACAAAAGGCAGCTTGGGCACTTTCTACCTTGCGTTGGAGGTATTTCTGACGGTGCTCACGGACTAGTATATATTTCTAAAGACATTCCGTAGCGACTTCAGAGCGTCATATTGTTAGCTAAAGTGTTCAGTTTTCTCTGTCTTCATGTCTTTCGTTGAAAGATGAAACATATGCTCTTACCTCCGGTAGCAGCTCCTACGTTCACAGCTTCTATACGGGTTGATTCCCCAGGCGGACCTAATGTATGCCTCGGCTCCCAGGGTCGTGCGAGTGGATATATCTACGAATGTCATGCAGAATCTGAAGAAGTTGTCGGTTATACGCCATGGCTTTCGTGTGTGAAGTTCCTGCAGTAAGTATCTGATCATCAAATACATTAGAAATTTGTCCAGAAAAGCAGGAACGCTTTAAACACAATGTCGCACCTTTCACATTGTGCCGTGGAGGAAGAACAGGAAACACTAAGACGTCGATAACATATGTTCACCTGACAGTCTGAAGGCGTTGTGTTTCTGTATCAGCTGGTAGCAACTTGACTGAAGATAATAAATTATTCTCCCTTGGAATCGGTCCAAGCCTAAAGCCTAACCACGACTATTTTCTTACAGTTTTACACATTCTTGCGAGTTACTCCTCTCCGGATCCGATGACGGTGTGGTGCGTGTACAGAAAGTGCCACCTCCAAGCCAGCTTAAACTAGCAAAAAAGTGCAAGCACTGGGAAGTAAGTAACCGGCGGCACTTTCAGCTTTTCATAACAGCTTGCTGTATTACGACAATGGATCTGATTCCATGATCTATTAACAATTTATTAACTTCTGCTGTCTGTTATTCGGTGCTTCTATAGTTCTATTTCTCAGCTTGTGAAATTAAACAATATGCGCTAAATCCGAGCAAAATCTCAGAGATATTGGAAATGTTGCTCTTATAGTCCAAATTGTGACACCTGTTTCGGGGTCTTGTCCAGGAGTTTTGGGTCATTAAATCTCCGTCCTTGTCCTTGATATACTTTATTCCACATTCCCTAATGTCCAGTACAATTTTAAGCAAATGTTACTAAGATACCATCTTACAGCAAAATACTACTTAGGTAGAATCAACTAAACTAACTTAGCTCGTTAGGATCACTAAAGATTAATCATAAATTCAGGGTAGTTTGAAGTAGTTGATCCCTTCCTGTTCTCTAAACCTCTTCCCCAGTGCTGTATGAGTCAGATGATCCTTTTAATTATTCTTTGAGTTTGTTACTGCCATACAACGCAATATATTATTGATGCCAAAGATCAATTTAAAATTACCTGATGTTTGTTTCAACTTTAATCCGAGACATGGAAAAAAGGATAAAAAAGATCTCAAAACCTGAGGGAACTGTGCCTTCATTATTTGATGTTCTCTAGAACATTAAAGGCAAATGAGTATAGAAATTCAAATTTTGATTGCAATCAACAATTTAATTTCAACTTTGTAGTTTGGCAGACAAGGGCTTACACCAAGAATTTTCTTTCTCTTGTTCATACGAGACATCATACTGTCTCTATCTGCATCGTGAATCCATCATATATATATATATATATATATATATATATATATATATAAAATCCATAAACGGTGTTATTGAGGCTTAGATGTAAATCACTAGCCTAGATACGCATTGATGAAAAAAAGAGAGATATATCTGAATTCTGGAGTTGTCAAACACCATCCACTTCCACGTCGTCAAGAGAATACTAATATGTCCAAAATGGGGAGCTACAGAGAGGGCAAAGCATGTAGAGATGCAATTGCATTCCACGAGGGAAAAATCTTTTCTAATGTTTGTTGATATCTAAGTTGGGACGCATACTCCTACACTTCTTTCTAACGTACTATTTACTATCAAGTTCTAGATTTTTCATAGGCTCCTTAAACTCAAATCATTTACATACTTTTTATCATACTAACAGTTAAAAGGTTGTTGAGATTCTTGCTTGCGGCTAATTATTTAGTTACTGTAGTCACCTTCAACTTAGCTGGCTTATCCCTTCAAAATGATTAACCTGAAAGAAAGTGACCTCATTATTTAACCTGCTTTGAGTACTCCTGACTTAACGCTAGGGCAACTTTCCATCGCTGACTCTCAATGGCTACTTGTAATACTTACAGTCCATAGCACCTCATGATTCAGATTTTCTTCCGTATCATTCTCTACGTCTTAATCATGCGTTGGACCTTTGCAGTATTGAAATGAAGTATTTCATAACTTTACTTTCTCGTCCAAGTGGCTAAGTGACTGATTATGCATTCTGCATTTACATGAGACACTAGTGAGATTGTTATTTTGGCGTCTCCTTAGTAGCTGAGTGTGATTCTGTATATACTCGAGGGAGGACTGCAAGTGCTAGTCGTAACGAGTTCACTGAAAGATTCTGCATATAGATGACAGAGGAAGGAGAATGTTAGTCCTGAATTCTGCCGCAAACAAAAGTCTCGTCTCCCTCACGGTAATTCCCATGCACGGCATTTGAAGTCTTGTCGCTTTCAGTCTCGTCTACCTGCCATCGTCGAGAGGTTCCTTGTATCATTGTACACCACTGTAGATAGAACTGACCTTCTGCTGACAGATCGTTTCCTGGAACTCGAGAAGAAAATTCCCAAACAACAAAAAACGATAGACTTTGTGTGGATAACTCACTCGACAATAAACGCTGCACGCTGCCGGAGACGTCTGAATCTATTTACAGCATCACCTTCCTGCATGCCTTGTCGAGACTCAGTAGACATGTGTGTGTTGCTTCTGTAGGGAGGCGTGCATGACGGCTTCAACGGAGTGGTCGGAGGGGCTGTGTTGAGCTTCGACGATCGATTTCTGGTACAGTAGTTTCTATGCATTCGTAATATCCCAAGAAAAGGAAGAAGACACGAGCACGCACGGAGATTCGAGACAGCACATGCAGCAGCATCTGACAGCCATTTTCTGTGTACTGCCCATCAGGCAAGCGTATCATATGATGGAAGCTTCTTCGTCCAAAGCATAAACATGGAAATGGTTCCCGAGAAACCTCCCACTAAAGTATCGGCTGCTGCTAAAGAAGGTGAATAGACTGAATGAACACTCGTATGCCGGAATTAGTTATCTCTATATATATGACCTTCGTGAACATAACTTTAACTAAATTTACCTCGAAGGGGTAATTTTAATTAGCGTGTGAGCACTCTCATCCACGACAGCTCTGGATACTCGGAAGTACCAGAAAACTGCTCTTGATACGGGTGGTAATTTCAGAGGGTAGGAGGTACAGCGGCGGTTTTTCTGCTTCTTCTGCTCATGAAATCACTCTTGTGCATCTTATATTTGTCCCCAGTGAAAACAGCAGCAGTTGAAACAGAGGATGTGAGTGCGGTGGCATTGAGTATCGAGGAACAGCGCGCGAAAACAGAGCAAGATGAAAGACTCAGATTGGCTATGGCCAAAAAAAACCTGGTCTTGGAACGAGTAAACGTTTTGCGTAGTAATTTAGCAGCGCTTCTGAAAGAGATGAATGAACGGGAACGTAATGAGAAACTCCCGATGGAGCACTTTGAAATCGATCCTCATGTCAGGGTGTGAGTGTCACTGCCCTTAATATATTCGCACGTATCACTAATTTGCGTTAAATTCAGTAGCCAGCCCACCGAGCGACATTATTGTATCGTACCTTTTGTAGCATACGAACTAATTTTCATGGCTCAGTAGAAAATTTCTTAAAAGCTTGGACGAGAATCCATGTGTTTGTGCCAAATCTTGCTTGTGATCTGTAGTATGTTGGGAGAGGAAATGGAACGAGAAGTGGACCAAGCTCAGAAGGAGTTACAGTGGGATAGTGAGAAACGAAATGTTGCACTCCGCAAGTTGAAGGCGTGGTACCTGGATCCACTGGAGGTATTGCATTGTTCATTAAAATCATCAGATACCGAAGTAATCTTTCCGTGAATCAAGGCCTGTACTCCTTGTCGAGGCACAAATCACACAGAAGCACACAAAGACGACTAGAATCTACAAATCATCACACCATACAAATATGAATACAGTTCATTTTCAGCTCAAACTATTTCTATTCTCCGAAAGGAGAATGTGCAGTATCCTGGTAGTTCTTTCTAATTTCCAACTGGGATCGACCGATATACGGCTAGAATGAGAGTGGGAAATGAACCTCCAGAGAATTTGGAAAAGTGTGATATCAAAGCTATGAATCGTCATTGGCAGGTAGAACGCATCGTCCTACACGCTTTCATGTCAGGGCAGAGTGTTTCATCGTTCCGAACTGCAGCACTCTCTCCACAGCTTCAGGTTTTAACCCCTTTCCTGCGCAGCCAAAGTCCATAAGTACTGAAGATGGAATTTCCTGGTTGCTAGACCTTTCCTGCCTCAGTTGATATCAATAATTCTTCAGGCCTGCTTTGCATCACCAGTCCACAGCCTTCATTCTATTACTGACAGTTTCTACTCTAGGCAGCGATTGTAGAGGCGAAAAAGCAGAAAGGAGTCAGACGGTGGAGTAAGTTGCAAAGGGGTGAGCCGAGTTTCTTAAAACATCAGCCGGAAGGTGCTGAAACTCCAGAAGAAAACAAGGTGCACCTGCATCATATCATAGACTGTATGCATTGTAGTAAGAATATCACAATGTCGAGGAGATTTGCACTAGAAAGGAATGGGGTGGCCAAGTTATCATGTTATATATTTTCTCTGCATGACGAATTTCTTGCTCTTGCAGGCTCCTGAGAACGAAGAAATAGACGAGCTAGACTCGGAGAGAAAGAAATTAGAGGAGGTTACAAAAGCAGAACAGAGAAGGCTAATGCTGAAGATAAGGGAGAAGGAAATGGCCAGATACAATTTGACAAAACCAGACGAGGTGAGTGAAGAAGCCCCTCGAGCAGATGCAGTGAAGTGCTTTACATGTATGATTCTTCGCAGGAGAGACCTTACTCTGGAGTCTGGTGTTTGGCAACGATACAGACGTGGGTGAGCGACGAAGATGCTCAAGCTATTGAGTATGCAGAAAATAACAAGGGAGATTTCAAATTGAAGTCTGATCCACTTTACATTGTTCCCGAGGACTTGCGAGTAAACGCCAGACTGAAGCGAAACGAGATGTTGTTGTTCTCCGAAGATGTCTACTTGCAAAGAATGGCGTACAACAAGGAACTTCTAGCTCTGCGAGCCTCCAAGAAGTTGATATGCGAGCAGATTGCGAAGAACAACGAACGAGTTTCACAGATCAACAACATTTTGAAGTTTGCCCCTTAGCTTCGACCTCTGTGTTCAGAATTGATAGCTCAACTGAAAAGGTTCTGAAGTCCGTCAAGAGTTGACTGTCAAGAATACAACGCCTACTCTGACTGCTGCAGATTCGTTAAACAGAGTTGAGGGAATTGTTGTTCAACCTATATGGGCTCTCACGTCTGCCTAGATTTTTCATGTCATCAAGTGGATGCTCATTAGTTAATGTATCGGGTATAAGGTTACAACGGGGATACGGGGAAGTTTAGACAAGAGAGATTAGCTTGAGGGTGTGGTGTTGTCCCTGCTCAAAGTGTTCGTTCCTATTGATAGAATAGACATTACATTTTGTACTTCCACCCTCAGCCTTCGTGTTCATGAACATCTTGTCGAAATCTATGAACGAAGGTGTTCTTTTTGCAGTATAGACAATGTCTAGTAATTGCGGATTGGTTTTTCCTGCCTGTATTAAAGAGAACAATGTTGGAGTCCCAAGTATTCTTCGAGGTATTGGCTAGATGATGTATCAACAGATATGTGAGAATTTCAAGACAACATATGGTTTTACGTTCAGAGCGCTGACACTACTTTCAAAAATAGCATATAACTGATGATAAAGGCAAATTGTCTTCAAATGTTCGCATGCTTATTTATATGAAGTTGTCACGAAGGCAAGCAGAGATTTAAAGAAGCATTTCCTCGTTAATGGCATATAATGAAACTTCATTTGACGATGGTACGCAGCTGAGCCAAAATCTGTCGGCAGGATCACAATTCATCGTGAGAGCTCATTTGTTCTGATTTCGAATCTTCTGATGTTTGGTGTTAGGATTACGAATGAAGTGCTGTTTGTACCGGTCATCCCGAAAGAGGAAAATCCTGAAGATCGCGACGTCATTTCCCTTGAGGTTAGCAAAAATTACTGAGTGAAACCATATTCTGACGTGGAGATCAAGCTGCGTTTGATGTCTCATCATGCGCTCAACGCACCTGCTCTGCGTTTGCAGGAAGTAAAGGAGTTCGAGGAGAAAAAGAAAGCTGCTCTCGAGGAAGCTTTGAAAGTAAGTCCACGTTCATATCAAGAAAAATATCGTCAATGATTGTGAGAAACATCATCTCATATCTCTGTTAAATATTGCTCGAAAGTTGTTTTTGCAATTGTTTCCGTCAAGTGATTCCTGTAGTTTATCAAAGTCCTAGAATCTTAATGACATTTACACACTCATCTTCCGATGGTGGACTCTGTAGGCTAATAAATCCAAAGATACTCTCGGCATGGACCAACCGACTAAGAAAACCGAAGCAGCGAAGGGAGGGCCCGGTGCTTCAAAGGAAAGAGACGTAGTGAAGTCAAGAAGGGGACAGCAGACAAAGGATTTCAAGGGTTTTCCCCTGTCCCCTCTCGAGGTAACGTTTTCTGGGTTCTAACGCTTTGCGAATCTCCGTCTGGACTGAATAGTTTGGCAACAAAGACGCGTATCAATGTTTTCTTGCCCTGCAGCTTGCAGAGCAAGAAGCACACCAAGCAAAGATCAAATATGAAAAAACGAAGTTGCTGGAGAAGAACAGCATACTCATAAAAAAGTTTGACAACTCTCTGGAAGAATTGAAAGCTACCAGATTCAGCCTCGAGATCAACATAAAGGCTGCTGAACTGAAGATGCTTGCTCTTTATCAGGTTTATCTCTTGTGAATGATTTTTGAGACAGCTCAGGGTACATAATGCCGGCCAAACTTCAAAAATCTAGCAAGCATGAAATTAGTCAGGCCCAATTGTTGCAGTAGCCTGATAGATGGCTCCCCGCAATAGAGATCCAGTGGTTATAGAGTTTATAATATAAACTTTTGTCTTTATAATATAAACAAACGCCATCGCCACTAGCAGAACGCCAATTGTCTGTTTATGATATAAATAGACAAATGGCGGAGTACACGTGACAAGTTGGGACATCCTCAGTGTGTTAAACACGGCTCAGCCACGGACCACAATTGAAGCTGGACGTTCACCTTCGGGGTAGTAGGAACATTAATCAGCTCACTTACAGAGATTGAATACAAGTGAACATCGAAAGGGAGTTGGGGGTTTTGGAGTAGGGGGAGAAACATAGAAAGTCTGAACACTCAGGGTATTTTATTTTTTTTACCATAAAGGAAGCTTGAAGAATGTTACTTATCAACTAGATGATAATTCTCGGTTCCCCAACAATACACTTTTGTGCTCCGACTGAACGTACGCAGGAGCTCCGCTATTTACAAAAGATCCAACCGACAGAGGAGTCTCTAGAAGTGCGAATCAATGAGAAAATAAGGGCAGTTCATGATATGAGGGTAAATTCACATAAACTCTTATATTTTTTAAGACCTCTTCGCACATTAAGACTGTAAAGCTTCTTAGGAATTTCCAAGTCTCAGTGTGACGTTCGGTACTCATCACATTTCATTCACGTTTCAAAATTCAAGTTCCAAGATGTGGCAATCGTTGGAGGAATATCCTTGCAGATGTACAATATACTTCTCTTATTGTTTCGAACGTGGCAACACAGGTGAAACTTGAGGATCAGGAAAAGATGATGGAGGCTAAAAAGGAAGAGATTGCTCTTTTGAATGAAAAGAGACTTGAAGTACGTTAATCATCTCCCTCTTGTATAGTACTATGTGGATACGTTTTGCACTTCCCTTGCAACACTCCTTTCTAAGTATCTCTTTTCCTTTGGCTTACGCATTGATTCAATCAAATGACTTGCCTGTAGTAGACTAATGAGCTTTGTTCCTGCGAGCAGATCATAAGCGAATTTGACCACATATTCCCGGAAGCGGACGATCCACAAAAGGCTATCCTTCACAAATATTTTGTCAAGATCATTCGTCGAGTCAAGAGAAATCCTGATGGAACCATTGCAGATTCTGACGAGGATTCAGACCTAGAGGAGACGGCTGCTGATGAAGATGAAGATAATTATGAAGATGACGATGTAAGAAACTAACTCCTGCCACGAACATGAGAACATGATATTTGCTTTGTCTTGCTAACGATGGTATGGTAAGGAACCAAACTATATTTGTGGTTTATGATATGACGCACTTAATTCACGAGCTCGTGAACTGTACTGTCATGGCTGACATCTACACGGGGCTTATTGTTGTGGCTCAGGTGGCCGAAGTGGTTCCTCCAAATGTCACTCAATTCTTCTATGATCAAATGTTTAAGCTGCGAGAGAGACGTGTTGAGCAAGACTTCCTTATCAAAGATGCAACTAAAGCATTGGACGGTAAGTGATGTCAAAGATCCTTTTGGTTACACTTAGAGAGCAATCGGCCGTGATACACGTGAAATACGCGTTTTACTCATAGTGGGGCTGCTTTACCATTGAAGATTTATGGGTCTCGGGTCATCTTCACCTGATTGGAGCCTAAACTGATAATTTGCTCTCAGTGACTGCTGCTGCCATCACAACTTTACATAGAATCCTCCCATATTTTGCAGCTCCATCTCAACCTGGACTAGGGACATTGGTACTTGTAAAACTGAATGAACGCAGCCCTTTGAACTTGCAGCTTTGACAAGGGAACGAGACGGCATCATAAAGAGAAAGAAGCTGACTGACGCTTCTCTCGAAACTGTTGAGAAGGAGATTGCAGTTTTTCAGAAGGAAAAGCAATATTCGCTCAATGAGATTGATATTGTTTTATCCTTGAAAATGCATCAGGTACAACCTCGATTACTGTCCAGATTCAATGCAAAGAAGCTTCTAAAAGAGCTAACTTTAGAGAAACATACCGTGCCATTTATCACTGGAAACACTGGTATATATATGACAATCGAAACTTGGAGCACCCAGTGATATAGCAAAAGGCCCCATCAAGTCGCACAGGGATCAACCGACATGAGTAACATAGGGCAGCCCATATTTCATCATAATGAAAAATATGATACATTTCAGCTAAGATGTATTAACTACGTAATTCAATTGTTTTTACATATATCTGCCCAAATAACTCGCCCAAATAAATCACCTGAGCTAAATGATCTCTTGTATACACAATTACGTGTGTGATCTTACAGATTTTCTAAGATAGGATATAATGAGACAAAGAGAGTGATACCCATTTTCCTTAGCATACTAAAGGCTCGGGCAAAACATATCAAAGTGTGTGTCCATAGCTTTAAGCCTAGAGAAGACCATCTGCATTCTTTTAGACTAAAAGTCCTAGCTGACTGCTGTTTCAGTCATTGGCCTTCCATGAAGATGGATAACTACCCATATGAAAATGTGTCATTCCACTTGTTACTCATCATTCTAGATGGGTAAGGATTCAGAAAGGTGATAGACTTCCTGAAAGTATGTCAAGTGTAATATAAATAAGATCCAAGCTAATTAAAGATTTATCATATCACGAAAGTTGTGAAGTTGTAGGTTACCCATACAGAAAGATGGGTAACCTAATAGTTTCATAAAGGTAATCCAACTTTCTGCAAATACGTCGTGTGGTTTATTCTTATGACCCAAACTAAGTATAGATGTGATCCCTTGACAAGAGTTTTCTTTACTCACTCGCAGTAGCAGATATCATTTCCTTAATCTTGTAGTTATCCTCTTCCCCCAAATAGTCATCAGTCGTATGAACGCGTGCCACAAAGTGTAGAAGATCTAGAGGGATTGTCGAGGCAAGATCTATGATCCTTTACCGGAGCAGAGGGATAATCAGTCAGCTGAAAGCCTGTTGAAAATTATTGGCCGAGGAGAGAGCTGGAAATGCATGGTAACTTAAACATGTTGGTCGAAGGAATATATTGTAGAATCAAGATATTGAGCGTATCTGACGTTTAAATGTACGTTTGCTTCTTGGCTGGAGCACGGATTGTGTTATAACGAAGCTGAATGTGGCGCACTATAAACTACTTTTGAACTGAGAATTCAGAATAATAGAAATCCTTTACATAAATCTGGGCAGCAACTTTGACATGAGATTTGAAGTTGTGTTACAAGCTACCCCTGCTGCAATGGTACAGATTGAGTATCTTGAAGACGGAGTTTTGCCCGAGGATTTGTCAGGAGCGCTGGTGTTCGACAATGCAGTGTTCCAGGGTCTGACGGATATCATCACAGAGCACATGAAAGCAAAACAAGCCTTAAAAGAGCTGCACAAGGAACTCAGAAAAGAACACCAGGCTCTCAATCGCGAGAAAAAGAGCGAAGATGAGAGAACGGCGAATATAGAGGCAAGATGTGTGGAAGTTCAGATGCTGAAGTTTGGACAGGTGCTAAACTTGAGACTCGCCTGTAATTCTTTCTCCCTATTCCCTATCTCTTGATTTTATCCCAAGTACTTATTCGGCATACCCTGCGACTTGTGGAATGAAAGAGACTTCGGTCGTCTCTATTTTGTTCATCTTGATCTGTGCAGTGCATAGACATGGAAGTCCTGGACGTTATAAGTAAAGATATGAAAAAAGACACAAAGGATCTGAAAGAGCAGCTGCGAAACCAGGAAGCAAATTATGGCTCGGAACTTCATGACTGGAATAAGAGAATTGAAGACGCGACTGATGAACTTTGCTGTAAGATATTTCAATATGCCCGTCATTTTTTTGCCTCCTCCCAGTTCGCTAAGTGTATCCTTGATTACACAGGACTTCGATTCCTGTGAGAGGTAATGTAGATCTTTCAGCCATATACCGCTTCGATTTTAAAGTTTTGACGCTCACGAGATCACATGAACCGCCGAGGTGCAAACAGTCGAGCTTCAGTGCATCGAGTTCGTCATCCTGATTTCCACTCGTCTCGTTTTCTAACTTCTGCATCTCCAGCGTGCACTAAGGACAACGCTGGGGTTTTGAACAACATCGCTGATCTGAAGACGAAACAAAACTTTTTGACTTCGGTAAAATACTCCGTACTTAGTCCTGTATACCTTGTTCTTGACGCTCACGAACCATCGCTAGATGAGGTTGATAGTTTTCATATAGAACTCCGACTCGAAAGTATGGATACCAAACTCTATAACGCTCATAAACCTCGAGGAAAGGTTTCACATTTGAGTGCAGAGGCTGTCATATAACTCAATTGAAACTTCAAACTTTCCTGTTACTTCTCAATCCAGAGCATGAAGGCAAGGACAACAGCACCCCTGAAAGATCCCTTGGTGGAGAAGAAGAAGCATGCTACCGAGCATGTACGACTCTGTGAGGTAAACCCGTAAATTTCACGATAAAATCTTCCGTTTTGGAGCTTCACAGGCAGCTAGCCTGTGGAGCTCTGCCGAGAGTGGCAACGGTTTGTGGTTGCACTTGTTTGTGTCTGAAGATTGTCCCGTTAGCTCCATATCCGGCGCAACGAGCTGAGTCGAAGTTGGCGACTGTCTGAAACAGGTGATCCAAACTCAAGACAACCTGATTCGGAAGATGCAACAAGAGATGACACTCATGCAGACAGAGTTGGACTCTCTCTACCCTGCACCAATAGACGAGTCGAAGGTCAACAGGTATAGTGGTCTGACAGGCTAGGCAGGCAATCGGACAACCGGTCCAGGACATGGAGATCCTCCTCAAAGCCCAGGATCCGTTGCAGCCATTCTGTCACGTCAAGCTTCCAAGCTTCTCCTGAGATGCTAGATTATGAGTTAAAAAGGGATCTTCATATGATCGGGCTCAGGGGTAAGATGTCACCGGGCCCAAAAGCAGAACCGTAGCCTTTTGGAGATCTTCAGTCCTCTAGAACGATTGCATGTTATCCATGGAGAATCGAAACGAGAAGAGAGTGTCAGACCAAAGTTTTGTAGTGTAAATGGAGATGACGAGTGGGACTGTTTACATAAAGGCTTTTCCAGATTACGTTTGGTCTTTTTCCTCGGTCCTAATTGTTGACTTTCTGATTCAATTCTCTCTCGAAGAGATGTGCAAATGTTTGGGAATCTCGGATCTGTTTCAATTTCGCAACAAACGTATGTCGATCTCTACTACTGTACTGCTCTCCTCCTTTTCTCATGCCAAAGTCTAGTTGTATCGTGTGGTCTCATAGCTAGGACATTTTGCTTTAAATACAGTGTCAGAAAATGTGCTGAAACAAAATGGAAAGTCTACAGCTGTTGCAAGACTGAACAAAGTTGTATTGAAGCTCTTATATAGTTTCGAAGACAGATTTCATGTAACACAAGCACAATCTTGATGTTTGATATTATAAGATATATATAAAGATTTTATAAGATATCTTGATGTTTGATTTATATTGTATCGGTTTTTTCTTAACAGAAAACCATGTTTCCTTGGTTCACGTTTCGAAGAAATACTAACCTTTATCAAATAATATATGTATTTGAAATAGTATGTGAATATAAATTTAAAAGATAGAAGAAACATAGGAGCCGTAGAAATTGGATGGCAGAAACGACAAAGGAAAATTGCCAAAATGCTAAAGTTAAAACCTAAATCACATCAAGAAAAAGAAAAGTCATTTTTTCAATAGCATATAATTAGCTAAACACAAACAGAACTGAAAAAAACCGCCTCATATCTCAAAATTATCATTTAGCTAGTTAAGGCGGAAATTAAAAAAAAAAACTTTGAAAGAAACAAAGCATTTTATATATCTATAACTTGGAAGCTATAGTAATACCTTAAAGAATCATGTTATTGACACATTACATGTGTGTATAGATACGTATAGTCTCACATATTATATTCAACTAGTCATGATAGCATCAAGTCTTCAATCATGCAAAAAAAATTCATGTATTGCTGTAAATTGCTATCAATTATATTTGATCTAACATTTTTGTTGAAACTTTGTTCAATCTTCCACCTTTCACATTTACACTTAGACTCGTTTGTGGCCAATTTCATTCCTAAGAATCAAAATAACTAAAATCGTTGATACACGTTATTCAGATTTGAAATCTAAGCATACGACTTCAAATTTTTTCTTAAAACACAAATCTCAAAGTCAATCTCACGTATTTCAAATTGACTCTATTTTGAAACCATTATTGCATTCTTCAATTCATCATTCTTTATTTCATTTGACTTCAAAACTCTGTGTAAAAAATTCTATTATCAATCAGAAGATATAGATACATATTCAACATTCACAAATATCTCATATTTCTCAAAATATTTTTCAATAAAAAAAATTGTAATTTAGCCGTATCTATTTTGTGTTTTGAAAATATGAGCTTTATGCAGTACTTACATATCACTCAAATATCACAGTTATAACTGATCAGCTTGATATCATGTAAATGAAACAGTACCAAACTGCTTCTACTCTTGACGCTAGAATTGGTGTTAATCAATAATAATTATCATGGATACCACAGAAATAGAAAAATATATGGAAAAATTATATGGAAAATATGGAAAAAATTTGTTTTAGTTTTTGTATGAATTCTTGCAACCCTTGTACTTTTCTCGTCAGGTATAATATTGTATAAGTGCATTCACAGTTATTCCTTATAATCTAATTTATTTTCATAATAGAATTTGAAAAATTTTTACAAAATTTGCATTCAATATTCAAAATGAATTAACAAACATCCAAATTTTACATAAAAAAATAACTCGTATACGGCCAGTATTTACTTATTAGAGTTTGCTTCCAATCAAAATATAAGTCACTTCTCATTGTTGCAAAGATGAATGTTTTGAATGAAAACCTCTAGCATTCATTTATGTGATGTTTTAATCTCGTTTCGATAATGTTAATAAACTGTGAGTGAAAAAATTTTAAAGAATTTTTTCAACTTCTAATAATGAATTTTAAAAATAGCGCAAATTTTCTAATTCTAGATTTTCGACATTGATTTTCATTTGAAAAAAAGCAGTTTTCTAAAACAGTAGGTGAAGTATTTTTTTGGTAATAATAAATCTTTTAGATTATATGCATATAAAATATATATTTTCTAAACTGTTATTGAGCCTTTATATTTTATAGGTTTCTTAAATAAAAATTAAAAATATTACGAATTAAACTAATGCATATATGTATATATTTATTTATATTTACATATACATGCTTCAAATACCTAGATGGGGTAGACATGATTCAACGCGGAAGTTGAAGATTACAATCATTTAATGTCCAATGTTGAGTGGAAGAATTCTGGCTGTGGAGAGAGCATTCATCTTGAAATGAAATAACTCTTGACAATTGAAGACCTCGTTTCTTAAAAAAATTTATATAATTTTTGTAAAATGATAATTAACAAAAAAACTGAAATAATTAACACACTATCATGATTTAATACATAATATTATATAACTTACAATATTTGCAATCTAAATTAGAGGTTATTATCAAACGAGTGCCAATTTGACACTAAACTTAAACATTGCACTTTATCCGGAGGCCATTACTACCACTATATACTATCGCCAATTGTGAAGAGTGTACAGCATTCCAGATTCATGAATACTCTACATGAATTCCCATCCTACAGTTCGCATGTACAATTTATCGTTCTCAGTTGCATTCATCGATTGTGGACTGAAGAGCGACGAGAAACATAGAGAGAATTTACCCCTCACGTGGCTCGTTTTGTATCACTTCGTACGTAGCGTTGGAGCTCTTCTTTTTTGCACTTTTCATGATGTTTGTGATTCGATAATGATTGTTACGAGGATGCCACGCTTGCGTGGTTGACTCGGTATCAAAATTGGCAACTTCGCGAAGAGTGACAGTGCTGGAGTTGAGATGGCACTCGAAGCTGATGTGAAGAAGTAAATGTCTTGGGTGTGGGGCGCGATCGTTCAGACTCATGAATAAAGGTCAGTTGTTGGAAGTTTCAGCGTGGTTTCATCAAGTCCCAGTGATGCAAGCAGTGATGGACGAAGTCGAGATTTTCCAGCACATAGATCGGTTGAGCGGGCTTTCGGCAGTGAAATGCCACTACAAAACATGCCCTGTAAACTAAACCGCAAGACACATCTTTCTCCCAGAGATGACCGATGCAGAGTCAAGAAGGCCTCGGAAGTTTCTAGAAGTCAAGAAGGACTCGGACGAGCTGGAATCTTCGGATCGAAAGGGCTCAGAAAGTATAAAAGATAAGGATGTGAAGGGAATTCTAATTTTTCAACTATGGACAAGTGGAGGAACGACGTGAACCTAAAGCTCCTTTCTGAGCTGGTCTGGCTGCCAATTTCTCGTTAGATATGTTGAAGATAGTGCTTTGAATTAGACAAAGGCAACAAATTGTCTTGAAAGTATGACTAGTCAAACTTTCAAGACCGCAGCGTTACGTTGCGTTGTCCTGGTCGAACCTGGCGCAAGATTCTTGATCGCGCCGGAGGGAACCGGCGCGTGGCAGTGGGGTGGGCGAGCGTGGACGCGCCAATGGCAGGCAAGAATGGTGTTGGTTGCTCTTCTTGATTTTGGAAGCAAATTGTGAGGCGGCCAGCATTTGTCTCCAACTATTTATTTTTGAAAACTTGTGATCTGATAGATTTCCTAACTGTATAAGGAAATTGCATGATTCACAGTGATTCATGCTCTTTGTTGTAATCTTTCTCTCAAAGAATAAAGTTTACTCTTTGTCCATGGATGTAGCTAGCACAAATTGTGCTAACGAAACGAATTTCGTGTTATCGTGAGGTAGAGTCAAGTATGTAAAATCATAACAAGATAGATACCCATGAACTTGTTATTGTAGATCGTCACGAAAAACAAAAGAACTCAATGATCTTAGCAGTTCAAGATTAGGTTTTGATACCGTGTACTGTCATTATATACTATCTGAGCTTGTAGACCTCGAACTGTCTGTTTTTCTACAATTGTGAAGCTGATTCTATCACTTTTCCAGATGCCTCAGCACTGTTCTCCTCGGCACGCAGGCATCAGATTTTACGAGCATCCATTGGATTGTCATTGAGATTGACAACGCATGTCCATATTTATTTTGGACTGACTGTGCCATCAGGTGACACAAGGCTACGTCTGAAAATATTTATAAGGTAATCGAGATGACAGCTCAACAAACACAGACGTGGCTGCGAACGTTGTCCCATTACTACACGACATGCTTCCAAAATTGTCCTCAAATTAGCTGTAATCAATTCAACTGCAAGCGGTAGGTTACGTGCAGCGGTGAAGAGTTTCTTTGTTGGTGTTCTGCTTCATATGCCCCTTCTCCAAAAATATCAAATGGATCCGGAAGAACACACTGTGTACTCTTGCGCTTGCGTTATTCGTTCGTACATCCTTGTCTGCGGTGGTAGAAGTATGTAGCTCTATCTAGCGATGTCCTTGATCTTGTGGAAGTTGACTTTTTGACAGCTTTTGTTCTAGCTCTGAATTCCTCGTACAATGTAATCATCGGGTGGCTGTGCCGGATATCTGGGGATCGAGGTAACAAGCATTCTCATCATCCCGAAGATAGAAAAGTGTGGGTCGCGGTTATTCAGCAGACATTTTCTGAGAATCCATCAGAGATTGTCTTGCTTCACATACGAGTAGATAGGCACAAGTCTCAGAGACTGTACATAAAACAGCTAGGATGTGCAATTGAAAGAGTGATGCTCGATGAGCTTCGCAGCATGAACGACTGGAGGCGTTCTGGAGCTTGTCTCAAATGCGACGCACTTTACATGCTGCTGGTAGACCTCCTTGCGTTGGGAGAAACCACAGACCCAGCTGTGGTGAGGAGCGATATTCGGGCCTAGAATATTTGGTTGGTGGGTTCCGAGACTGGCACAAAGGCATAGACTTCAAGAATGGGCCTTCTGATTCCCGGTTCACGTCGGTGATTCTCTTGGCACACTATTATAGACCTCCTCCTAATTAGCCGTCACTGCATAGAGGCTCTCGGGGACACCAGCTGAGTCTAGAGTCCCAGACTCATCGGACTCCCCGTCCAACATTTCGGACCGGATTCACTTCCACTGCTACCAAGTACTCTGCCGTCTTCTTCCACTCGCTGAATTACTGTCAGGGGGAAGAACGAGTTGCCAGCGGAGTAGTGCGGAAGCAATTCATTACTCTGTAGAATTTGTCGCTTGAGCCGTGGGTTCTTCTCATGACCATCGTTACGGACGCAAACCGCCAATGGAATCCCAATGGGACAGTAGACCAAGTGTACTAGACCCATGAGAGAACGAAAAGATCCTTGACGGGAGAGTACCAATCTTTGACTACACTCCTCAGCACTGACATCAGACTACCGTACTGGGGAACCCTGCACCTGAGTCCTGTCTGCGTGTGGTACATACATGGCGAACATATTCATGTCTCTGATGATTGTACGTCGCTACCTGCAAAGCTTGTCTTGTACGTCGCGCAGCAGGGGAAATCATCTCGACGCGTACTGCGATGCGGAAGTCCAAAAGTGTTAGAATTTGAAGGACGCTTAGATCAGCATCAAATGCTGAGCTTCGGTATGTCTGTCTTTCATTTGTAGGCACTTTCTATCTGGCGTTAGGCTCTATAGTAGCGCTCGAGACACAAACACTCTGGTACAGAACGCTGATTGACCAGCAACCTCGTACAGTAGAGGGTAAATCTACCGCCATATCTGAATGAAGAAGCAATCATTTGTTATTCTCGGGAGTCAAAACGACCATCAACACAGTCCTGGTCTTCGCCTTTTGGTCAAAGAGCACTTTATGAGGAAGTGGACCATGATGAATGCCTGAGGTTTTGTCAGTGGCGAAGTGGATCCCGGTCCATGGCAGAAGTGGATGCAACTTGACCGCAGGGTGCAGAGCTTATTATGGCGAAGTTAAGGCTCGTTCGTGGCACTTGGCACTTCTGTTCTTGCTCTGCGAGAGATTTCGATGTCGTCCGCTCATGTTCCGAATGCGCCAAAAGCTGTATACGGAAATCCTCGCGTGAGTGTTAGGTGACCGAAGCTTTGTACCGATATTGAATTGGCCGCTCATCGATCCGGCTCAGAAATGTCGGAACATTTTGGCATCAGCGTGTACAAGAGCGCCGTTTCAACTCAAAAATATCGAGCCATTATGATCCTGACAGCAGGCCGGGAAGTTTCCCGGCTCGTTGGATTCACACGCCCTCTCGGAGTGAGATGAGCATGAACCATCCATGCGGCTGCCGAACCCTCGGGCTCGTGTCAATGAACTTGCCGAGATCCCTCAATACACTCTTGTCAACAGACTCACTTCATCGTCATCTGTTGTTAGCAGCACAACCTTTTCTCCGCTTGCGAGAAGGCCGGGTACTCTAGCATCATGGTACACTCTGAAGTCCTGAACATGCGAATCTTCAGCATTGTCAATTGGGATGTTTGAAACGTACCACTCTCAAGGAGCAAAGGACACAGGGCCCGCACATCAAGCTCGCCCCAGTCACGGACTGTCCGAGGAGAAGAGCGTGCCGTCTGAAACCATCTGCTTATCATCGACTGAAGCTTGCAGCCTGCGCTTTTCCCAGAGAATTTCTTCAGAGACTTGTGCACGCGTATTTATATGCTAGTGGCGACCAGATGCTCAAGCCTTCTTAGAAGAGTTAAGGAAACTCATTTTCTTAATCGTCGAGCTCTTTGCGGTTAAGCACCGGCATCTGTACCCTTGGAGGAGCGAAAACTTGCAGTGGATGATGGGATGAAAGTCGACAAAAACCCCGAAGGCTCATGGTACCAAAGTCAAGGACATGCCAGAGCCCATGGTGGTTCATATACTGTCGGATCTAAGTACAGCAACAGCAAGCCTCGGATAAAAGTAGCAGGCCTCGCCTGATTGCTCTCTGTAACATGTTTGAAACAAGGCGAAGATATCTCCAAATAGCTCCAAGCTTAGGTGCCATGAGCCATTGCGCTCCACGCCGGAGCCCAGATCGTACAACATTGCAGCATGTGCACAGATATCAAGTCAAATAAGTAACGCATGGGCGTGTCAGACAATAAAGGGCGTGCGCCGTCACAACGACACTTCAGTCTGCTGACTGCAACCAAACTTCACCATAGTAGTAATAATAGCGAATCACTCGGTCGCTCACTCGCAAGGCACCACCGGAGCTGGACGAAAGAGGATTATGTAGTTTGAGGAATGCGGCTTCGTTGGTGGTCTTCGACGACCTGCCTAGTCCTTGATGTATAAAGTGCAGCAGGCCCGTGCTGCCACAGTTCCTAGCTCGTACCTTTGTAGGTCTGTAGTTGCTTGCAGCCGGCTTCAGCAGCAGGTAGGGGCTATGGCTGGAAAGTTCTGCGTGCTCGGACCCAGGCGAGCCCGAGCCGGTGCAGTGTTGTTGCTGATGATTTGGAGACTGTGCCATGTTTCGGCCGACATTGAGATCCATCGCTCCAGAGCTAGTGAGGGGATCGACAAATGGCAGCTGCAGGTGGTGGCGTGCACTCCGCATGGGACGACAGTCACCTTCATCATCCAAGAGTTCGGTCAGGTCCGATCCGAGAGGTCTACATTGACCCCCGGAGAATCAGCCAGCTTCGAAATCGTAGAGGAGAACGTGAATGACTGGACGTGCATCGCCAAATTCACGCTGCTCAACTCCACAACCAGATACTTCAAAGAGTTCCCTCTCCGGGGACCTCACGGACCCAAGTGCAGCACCTGCCGATGGATCTTCAAAGACTATCAGAGTGGCATATTCCTGGACAGCAACGACGGCCGCGGTCCGGTCCACATCCTGGACTGGGATGTGGACGTCGACACCAGTAAACAATTCTCTTCCCGGCGAGACTAACAACTGTCTCCTCGCCTAGGCTCAGAGAGAGAGAGAGACTTTTGCCCGAGGCACGTCTATTATTGACCTGAGAAATCGTCCACTTTGTGACACACATGTGACCGTCGTCTTCCTCCACTTTTTTGATATCAGCGCTGTGTCCTCCACTCGCATTCCGCACCATCCTTCGCGCGCACACACACATTCACGCACAGAGACAGGTCCGACGATCGGACCATGCACACCTTTTTGCTACGTAGTAATGTTGCCAACCAGCAGCACTCGCATACATACATAAATATAGCTGTGTGCTGCTGGCTGATTTGTTTACCGGAATATATACTTTCATGTGGTTACACCGAGGCCCTGGTTGCAATCTGTTGAGTTTCACGTGGATGCCACCGAGTGTGTGTTGCTGGAATTTCATGACGTAACTAGCTCGATCAGTTGCATAGCATATCGTCATGGTTGCAGTTCTTTGACGTCGTGGCCGTAGCTCTGCGAGGACGAAGGCCTCCTCGAGTAGAGCGGCGGAGGACAAATATAGTGATCGAGCGATGGGTGGCAGGCAGGACGGAAACAAGCGCGACCCTTGTACGATTAGCTGCGGCCTGGCGGTCGTCACGAGCTCGCTCGCTCCGTTGCAGGGTTCTCCTCGGAGGTGCAGTAGAAACGCCAGAATGTTGATTTCGACGTACATGTTGCATCAGGGTCCAATCATTAGTTTGTGAGCGGCACATGTACGACTGGAATCCGGTTGCCTTCACGTGGAAGACTTACAGACAGAGCTGGTTCCGAGGTCCAATGTCGGACAATCTGTTGCGGGGATCTCAATTGATTGACGTACAGCATGGGCCAAGCCACGCTCTTTCGTAGCCTCCTCGGATCAGAGCAGCCTCAGCCAGGTCAAAGCTAGCGTTCTGCAAGTGTGGTGTCAAGTGTTGTGGTTGCTATTGTGGACTCCATCCCATGTCTGCCCTTCCGAATGGATTTAGGCTGCGAGAGGATTTTGTTCGTTTCTCCAACTGACGAGCTCGCTTTCCGTTGTCTCTCGATGGCTCTTGCCTGAAGGTACGCGGGCATGCACTTGCGGAAAATCTCCGAACATCGTGATTATTCATCTGAAATGTCGGCCTGTTTCTTGGAGTAGAAATCTGTCCCGTCTTCGCGAGCGGAGCATCTCCGGACGTGCTTCGAGGTGTCGACATCGAGTCGAATTCACAGTTGGAGGTCTTGCGACAAGGCCTGCCGAAACTCGTCGAGGCAGCGTGTGCTTGACGATCGGTTCCGCTGCAAGATTTCGAACGGCGACCTCTGTACTGTCCTCGCCCACACGAGGAGGGTTATGTCCATTGCGCCACTTCCAGAGCGCCAAGCGCCAAGCGCCAATATTCTCGTCTTCGAGTTTCGCGAGAAGAGCATGTGCTGGAATAATGCATCACTCTCTCCTCTTCTGTGCGATCAGAGAGGAATTCCTCTTCGTAAAGGATCAAGGCCCGAGCAAATGTCCGAGCCGCCGAAATCCTGTCTCGTCGATTTGACCTGGGCCAGGGAAGTGCTGCAGTGCTGTCGTCTTCCTCGAGACACGGCAGAGCCCCCTGCTGCTCGGACTTCCGCACCGCTTCTCTCCCTTTCACCTCTCCTCGCGACTCGCCAGCAATCGATGAACCCACCGCCTCGTCGTGATTTCACAATGGGACACCGCGATAATGATCTCCTGACGCGAGAAATCGGGCGATGGGCGGTGCAGCGGGGCCATCTTGGCACAGATAGATCCGGCGCGGTGCACTGTGGAGGGCTCGTCACAGCGATGTGGGCAGGAGACAAACGTGAAAGGTCGTCACTCCGGAGGCCTGGATCATATGCTCGTGAAGTGCGCAGATGCCGGAGCGAGAGAATTTCCCGATGGAATGTCATGCGTAGGACCCTCCGAAAGATACCAACCTTCAGTCGATGGGGAATTACAGGCCGCCAAGGTAGCACTGAAGCGAGGGAATCCCGCCTGCAGCTGCTGTGGAAGATGGGACGTGCTGTCGATGGCTCGCATTGCAATCTCGGAACAATCGCCCGGTCAAAGGATTACTGGCTCGCTCGACGGCTGCAAAGAATCGAACACGTTTTCGGCGGTTCCATCGAGCAGCGGTGTCTGGAGGGCATGGATTTTCATCCGGGTCCCCCCGCCCGTGGCCCCAGCCCACGATTGCTTGACCCGAACTCCAATCTCCCTCCCTTCCACGACCCCGCGTGGGCGCATCGCAGCCATGATCCTCCTTCGTCGACGTTTCGTTTCGTGGAAGACTCGTCGTTCGCAATTCGTCGTGTATCGTGATTCTGCATAAGGAGAAGGTGCAGGCGCAGACGGGCTCCCATTCGGCACGAACATCACCTGACTGGGCAGATGACGAGCCCTGGGATAGATGATTTTAGGACGTGGCAAATTTGGTAGATCACTGACATTGGCACATCTGGTGACGATCAGTCGGGCCCGAGCAACATCCCACCACTGCGAGGATGTGACAGTAAGAAATTCTTCTACAACCACGACTATGCCGAGGGCAGAGAACGGAGCAACGTCCTGGCAAAGAGGCCGGCGCTGCTGGCCGAAGAAGAGCCCGATGTCGGAGGTGACTCTGGACGCCAATCTCTGGAGCTCGCTGCCGGGGGAGCTGTTCTTCCTCGTGCTGGCACGGTTGTCGGCGCGAAGCTTCTGCAGGCTGCGCAGCGTGTGCAGGAGATGGAACCATCTGCCCAGCAGCTCTCAATTTCGCAAGCCGGAGCGCAATCGCCTCTGTGCATCATGCACGACCACGTGATGGTGCTAGCCATCACGTGGACCAACGAACGATTGTCCCGCTCGCTGAATGTGGCGAGGCTCGACTCCCCGACGGAATCCGAAAGCAACTGTGCAGTCGACCTTGGGCGGCCTGGTGCTGCTGAAGTGTCGGGAGCCCTGTATAAGGAAATTCTTCGTCAGGAATTCTCTGAATGGATCAAGGGGCCGCTGCCACCCATGCCCGACCGGGCGAGCATGGACGACGTGCTATACGCCGGTATGGCCATGAATATGCAGACGGACGAGTACAAGATTCTGGTCATGGGGTCCTACTCTACATTCACGACCGAGCCGAACCTCGCGGTGGAAAGTTACGATTCGAGGTCTGATTCGTGGGAGGTTGAGTGGATGAGGCCAAGAGGTGAGTCTGTACAAGCTGAAAATATTGCTGGAAGCCAATATTTTGAGCCCTGTGCTCCATCAAGGGAGCTTCTATTGCTTGACCGCCGACGTCGACTTCACTGACATATGGCTCGTCGAGGACGCCGCCCGTGTACAAAAGAATGGCGACTCCGAAGACCGGAACGGACAGAATCCATCAACTTGCCGAAGTAGGGTATGATGTTCGCCGTTCTCTTCGAGCACGGGCGGCGGCTCATGTTCGCAGGGAAGAGCGGGAGAAGGATCGCAGCGTGCACATATGGGAGGAGGATTTAGAGGCTGGCGTATTGAGCGAGAAATTCCGGCTTTTCGAGAGGTGCCTGGCTGGAGACCTCGAACTAGCGACCTATACGATTCTGGTTACGCGCGATCACGTTTTGATTACCACCTACGATCCCGAAGTACGAGGAAAAGGGCAACATGATTATGTGCAACATCGCGAAGCAGACCTGGAAGCGCCCTTGGTCCATTCTGTCATTACAAGGTCTTTCCTATCTCCACGTCCGCCGGTGTCGAACCCCGACAGAGCTGGACGACGTGGCCACCAGGATCCCTCCAATTGTACGAACCCCGTCTTGACGTTCTAGCAATGTAGCTTAGAAACACGGATCGATCGTCGCATCGTGCTCGTTTCTTGCCACCGCTGTCGGGGCCCAAAATGGTCGCCTGCGGCTGGTCGGGCCCCGCAATTTGCCACAAAGCTGTCAGTGTGCAGAGAATTTCATTCCTGGCGGGCGGAACACAGGGTCATGTGTTTAGCCGAAGCCTGTGAGCGTCAGTCTCACCGGCACCCTCAGTTGTGCATGACGAGCCGAGCTGATGTGCGCACGATTGTTCCAAATCGGCCTCATATATGACGTGAGTAGATTGTGAGCGTGTTTTTATTCGCCAGTCTATGGAACAGGTGGACTTTATACAAGTGCATTTATGGGTAGACAAGACTTTCAGTGAACATGTAAATATAATTAGCCGATAGGAAGATCTCTATGTTGTAGATCTGGTTAGAATGTAATAGCAGATTGGAGTGTGAACGAAGCGATATCGCATCTACATGCGATAACTTTGTAGTACTTTTTTCATGTATTATCTGCACTCAACTTTGATATGATATCGTTAGTTCTAGGTATTTGAAGAATGTATATACATATATATATAAATATAAATAAATATATACATACATGCATTAGTTTAATTTGTAATATTTTTTAATTTTTACTTAAGAAATCTATAAAATATTAATGCTCAATTATAGTGTAAAATATATATATATATATTATATGCATATAATCTTAAAGATTTATTATTACCAAAAAATACTTCACCTGCTGTTTTAGAAAACTTCTTTTTTTCAAATGATAATGTCGAAAATCTAGAATTAGAAAATTAGCGCTATTTTAAAAATTCATTATTAGAAGTTGAAAAAATCTTTAAAATGTTTTCACTCATATTTTTATTAACATTATCGAAATGAGATTAAATCATCAAATAAACGAATGCTAGAGGTTTTCATTCAAAATATTTATCTTTAAAACTATCAAATGACTCGATCTTGTGAATTTCCACTCAGATCTTATGTGTCCTTGCCAAAGCAACACACCCAGCGATCACTAACCATTCCGCAAATCATGTATACAATAATCTATTGTAGATATAATATAACTAAAGAAAAAGATTTAACTCAACTAGAGTCATCACTATATTTAGTTTTGTAGTGATGAAATTGTTTTCAGCGCTAGCTTGATAAGAACATTCATTAGATCTTGTAAGCTCTAACTCTCCTCTTCTCATTGATGTTCAAGTTTATTGCTCAAAGTTTTAATTTTGTAAAATATTTACTTGATATCTACCAATCATTCGTTTATTTATTTAATTTTTTAGATTAATAAAAAATTCAATTTTTTTCAATCTCACAAACTAAAAATAATTATTTCAATAATAGCTTATTAATTGTATAAAAATTTGTTATTTTTCTATATTTTAGATCTAAGTAATTTTAATATCTTAGAATTTGATGTACAAATTTAAGTGAGAAATACGTCATTTTATTTTCTAATCTTGAAAATAATTTCAATCTTAATTAAATAAATCTTCTCCATTTTGTAAAAGCATGATTAAATTACTTTTTATGTTACTTCCTAAAATAAATATTTTATACAGTATCTAAATTATTTTCATGACGAAAATGTATGATGTTATTACATTGATGTGATTCAAAGTGAAAATTATTGCTCTTATATAATTATAAAAACTTAAACAACACATTGAGCATCAAACTCTAAGAAAAATTATTTGATCTCTTGAAATAAATCTCAAAAAATCTCATGTAATTAACATAATTATTTATAAATGCATTCATTTCTCGATTTAATTGTATTATTCAACTTTTTTTTCAAATTTTCATTTGTAAATTTTAAATCACTTCAGGTATTCAGTTAAACATATTATTTCTTCCTTCATGGGTATGTCTTCAATGTACTAAATTTTAATCATTCACATCACAAAATGTAAATTAAACAAATTCCAAAGTAATCATAACTTCAACCGGCATATGTCAATATACATAAAATTTAGACAATATGAACAATGAACTAAGTAAAAAAATGTTTCCAAAATTATGATAAAACTGGATTGAATTAAAAAATTTGAATCAAAATTTTTTTAACTCTCAATACAGAGTTTTAAACAGCAAATTCTATAATGCAATAACAAAATTAATATCAAGAAAACTAAATTAAATTAAATCAAAAATTACTTGTTAAAATTAAAATTAAAAAAAATAAAAATATATGATTTTTTGAAAGATCATTATTATCCAACAAGTTAAGAATTTGATATAAAAACTCAATACTTTTAAAAATTTCAAATCAAACATTTTGTTCTTGTTTTTGTATGAGATAAAATATAATAAAGTAGAAAATTCAAGTTTTTTTCAAACAAAATTGTTATTCATAAATAATCTCCTTGTCAAAATTTCTTTTCAGTTGATGAAAATATCTATAAAAAATTCATTGAAATTGACTACTTGTTGATCATGTTTATTTTTATTCATATTCAGATTTTCTGAAATTATTAATATCTCAAATTGAATTGATGATTTGAAAATCTAGATCAATTATGTTTTTGACGTATGGATGTTAAAATGGTCAAATGATTAAATTCCGAATAATATATACAAAAATCATATATCAAAATTTCATACATCAAAATATACATAACTGATATTCTATATGCATTTTTATTTTAATGTATTGTCTAAAATAACACACATGATATAACATGTTTATTTAAACGAAATCGACATATCATAGTTCATAAATTCTATTGGTATGCATTCAAACTTCATACATGAATATAGTTTTGAAATATTATACAAAATAAAATAATTTTAAAAGTAATAAAAACCATGTTCCCATATATTGTACATCTTAGTGTTAATTCTTGTTAAGAAGTACCATTAGGTTCTAACTATCTATAGCTAGGTTTGTCGACGGTGTTGGGTAAATACATGCCCCAAGGCTTCTACTTTCTATGCGTTGTATACAATTGTCACTAAACTCTCTCGCATGTTTCAGCAGTGGACTTGGCACTTGAGGGTGAACCATGTTATCCGACGTGTCTCTTGTGTTCGTGTTCGTGCTTAGCTTGAATGTTTCACTAAGATTCCTGGTGTTACGTTTATGACTTAGTAACTGATGAAACTTACTTTGAATAAATTAAATATCACATTTGATATTATAATTGACATTATAAGTTTTTGTTGTGCAAAATTTTATCTTTTTAAATTTTTTGAATATAGCAAAATAATAAAATAAAATTTAATATCAGATAATTTGACATTTTATATAATTGAAATTTATGAAACACACAAAGTTATAGATTACAAATTATACCAAATATTAGAATTTATATCACAAAAAGTATGAAATTTTTGAGACAAATCAAATGTTATGAATATGTTTAAATCTATTTTTAAAATATTCATCAACAAAGCATATGATATATTTACAATGTACTGATATGTTTAATTCTTAGAAAATATAAAATATTTTATGTTTAAATATATTTCACATTTAGTATGAAAATTATTATAAACTTGTTAATGATTTGATTTAAGTACAATTTATATGATTATATAATTTTTATATTTGGATTGATAAATATTCATGATGTGTTAGACCACTTGGTCTCTTAATGTTAGATTTAGATAAAATATATCATGTGAATAGATTATGAAATTCGATTTTTAATATCATTCTACTATCATAATTAAACTTTATGTCAAATTCATAAATTTATTTAGAGAACATTAGTTGATATAATGCATCAAAAAGATTATGCAATTTTTAAACTCGTCCAATTAGTTTTTGTGAGTGTATAAAAATCATTGTTATGCTAAAATTATTTTTTTCCATATCTATCACATTTTATATTGACATTAAATCGATCTTTCATGTCAATGATATTTTGAAATTGTAATTTAATCATTTGATTTATAGGTTCCCATAGAAAAATTCAAAGTAGTACAATTTGTTAAAAAAAAAGTTTCAAAATTTGTTGTCATTTATGTCATTAGACATTGTATATTTGACTTATTGAATTAAATGTTGGTTACCTAATTAAATTATATTCAAATTTTTCTTCCATTTTTAGAATAATTTTTTAAATAAAAAATTTAAAAAAGCTATTCCAAAAATTGATAAAAATTCTTATTACAGATTTTTTTTATAGTTGTATCTTTCAAACTACTTTTTTTAGATGATTGAAATAATCCCAATTAAAGTTTGTGAAAATTTGTAATTGAATTTTATATTTCTGGTCGTATTTTAATAGTCGAAATAATTTAACTATTATTTAACATTTTTTCCTACATAATTTCAAATTTTTTTTCAAATGATTCTTAACATTGTCCAAACAATTCTACGTATCACATGGCAATATGCAGCACTCTTTGTAGATTTTTTTTTTCATTTTGTAAACCATTGATTCAAATATATACAAACTTCAAATAAGATGTTTGAAAACATTCAAATCTGTGATTGTAAAATTTTTAGGAAAAAATTAATTTTTTGTAACAAAAAATATAGTTACTACTCTAAATTCTGGACGCATTTAAAAATTTGCAATTTTATCTCTCTATCAACTTCTTGAACCCTATTAGTTTTTACATGATTATGTTGAAACATTACTAAAATTTCAAGAATTTTGCCTACTTCAACTAGTATTCTTCAAACTAGCTATAACTTATCATAAGATTTAGCAAAGTGTTTTTAATTAAATTCAAAAATAAAATAAAATGTGTAAAAATAATACAAAATAATATAAAAAAATGTGCATTAAATAGACTTACCGGATTTGAACAAGCTCCAAAGAAACTAAAGTTAGAGAGCTATGTGATGAGCCACTATCTTGTACGCTTTGTAGAGGATATGATACAAAATACTCCATATAATTAATTGTTCATATCAACAAATGTGTTGAAATAATTTATTGATGATTATATGACAATAATGACTATTGATTAAAGCTAAATACGATTATACTTAATTGGCTAGCAATACCATCAAAACATAAGTTGAAAAATACTTGTTGGATTATTTAAATTTTTTCTAAATTTTTTTTATTTGAACTCAATTATTATGATAGTCACATCATTATTTCTGCATTGTATAGCATTTTTGTTACAAACTTGCTATAATGATTAAAAGAAAGAAATTTTGCAAAAGATGAATATTTTAAAAAAATTATCAATATTTTAATTAAAATAACTGCAAAAAAATTGAACCAAAAATAAACAATTGAGTTTAAAATTTCACACAATTTATAATGAAATTTACATTCATATCTAAATTTTCAATGTTGTTTTATTGAGGAAGAAAATAAATATAATCAGCACAATATAATATGCATCTCACAAATATCTTGTAATAAAATATTGTAGGAGTTTTACAAATTTTAGATTTATATTTCTCAAATCACATATTACAAAAATTCATGTTGTAATGCAAAATATTAATGCATGAAAATTTTCATAACAATTTATCACGGCTTGTAAAAAATAATTATTGTATGTGTGAAATATAGTATTAGAAATAGTCTAAGAGTTTATCATAATTATTTTAGATAAAACTAAATGTAGTTAGGATTAAGTTTTGCTAGTTATAATTAAATTTATCTAATGATGACTAAAGTTAGTCATAATATCTATACTTCACGGAATAAAAAGAAAATTTCTACAAAATCTTTGATTTTGTAGAAATTTTCTGATGTGCAAATTGTATCTTACAAACGTTTAAGAAAAAAATTTCAAGAAAATTTTTTTTTACTACATGATTAGTTTTGATTAATTTGATTAAATAATGAAAACTTTATTGTCTACACTAAGTCTAAAATTAAATTAGTGTCAAGTGGAAGTTCTAGAAATTTGAAAGTCTCAAATAACATTTTCCAAAATCATGATAAACTAACAAAAGAACATCTGAGTTAAACTTGAGTGAGAATCATCATGAATGTCACAACTAGATTAATGTTGAAAAGTGTTTAATAATTCATCATATGATACATCATCAACATCTAAAGTTCGCTCAACAATTGCATAGTTCATTGTAGATGACTTGCTTGTCATCAACTCCTTATGAATGTGATACTTTAAATTTTGTTTGAATATATTCAAGATTTTTGATCCACTCATATCCATGATAGATATTTGAAGATTATAAAAATATCAATGTATTCATGAATATCTATTTTATGCTTCAAATCCCACTATATTATTTTTGCAGTTTGAATAAAATTTATCACTTGAAATTTCTACACATATATTTTTTGCATTCCATGAAATGATAGCACCTTATGATGAAATCATTTGTTCCCATGTAACAAATTTATCTGTCAAATAACATCTCATGAACATTATTGCAATAAAATCAGAATTATGAAATAAATAAATATTCATAATCATTATACATATTTTCAAAACTCCCATTACATTTACTTCTTTGTAAATTTCCAACTTACATGACTTTTTCATTTGAAACAAAAGATTTGATTCAAAAGTTAATCATGATGGAACTTGAAAAATTTGAAATTGAGGTTTGACTTTTTTATCTCCAACTTTTTTTCTCTTTAATTTTTCACTCTTCAATATAAAGATCTTATGTTTCATGTCTTGTTGTTTTGTATGTCTATTTATTATTTTTTTTGGTTCAAATTTTTCATCTTTGCCATGATTGCATTGAAAATCTCACCTATATCAAGTGATATTTCCATACGTTCCAAGGTAAGATTAATAAGTATTTAATAACAAAGGAATCACAAAAATTTTAGTTGATTTTATAATGTCTCATAATATTTTTCCTCGTAATTTTTCACAAAAATCTATCCACAATTCCTTTTATGGATATATCAATCTAATATCTATATAAGTATTGAATCGAATTGAGACGGATGATTTGCCATTAAAATCCATTAAACATTCAATATAAATGTAACAATACTAAGTCATTTCATAATTTATTTTTGGAAGTATCAATAATTTTTTTGATTCTATCACTCTAGTCATTAAGAAATTTGCATCTGAATAAATCACAAAATATAACTGATAATGATGTTTGTTCATGCAACAAAGATGAATATCAAATATTTTTGGAATCAATTTGTGAGATAATCAATTTTTGTCAAACATTTCCAAAATTTGCCAAACGACAATTTTTCCTTTTTGCCAATCAATCAACTTTGTCAACCTTTATACACTCTCTAAGATTGCATTTTTTCATGATTCAAGTGTTATTCCATGAGGCGTAATTCACATTGAAAGAAAAAAGCAATGTTGCATGATGTCATTGTAACATTAGAATTTAAAAAAAATCTCACAATGAAACATAAACTTTGAAAATGAGATATTTTGAATAAATATATTTTTCTTTATCTAAATATTTAAAATATATACACCAAGATAAGATATTTTCTCTACCATGAAATTATTTCTTAGTGAATTGATAACATGAGAGATATATCAATTGAGCACACGGATTTTTAAGAGGTTGTTCTCACCTAACACATTAATTGATATAAATAAATATATAAATGTTTAACATTCTATGCTAAACTATGTTAGCATTCTAAACTAATGCTAAACACTAAAATATAAATAATTAATATAATTCTGTCATTTATAATCAATATTTAAACTAACTTACAAAATGTTGAAATAACATTATAGATATTACACTATTATTTATTTTAATTCATCTTGAATAAATTTTATTTTAGATCTAATTCACTAAAGTTGTTATAAAAAAATTAGATATATTTAAATATTGAACATAAAAATATATTAATCATTGTTTTTGATCCACAACAATAATATAATTAACTTTTGATCAAAGCTTGTGAGAGTTAACTAAATTAATTGAAACAATGTGAGAAGATGTTATCTATGTTTAAATGTATAGAGCTTTAGTTTCCATAGTTTTTTGCTATTTGTACGAAAAACGTTTTTTGATTATAGGTAGATATTTATATATAAAATTTAATTTTGAATGATTTTTTGTTAACTAATGAAAAAACCAAGAAATGTTTTTTATCTCATGATTATACAGTTTTGTACTCAAAATTAGTTTTCACCTCTTTTAACTTTCTATAATTTTGAAGTTTAAAAGCTAAATTGATAAAAATTTTGCAAGAACAAATAAATATGTACAAAAGATGAAAATTTATACGTCATTGTTTATCATATCCATGAAACTATAAAGATATGACATGAAACTATGAACAGAATATTCTACATGTCAATGAATGAGGCAAAAATATTAACATATATGTATGGTTTATTCATAGGAGAAATTGCTATAGCAATCATGGTAATTGACTTTTCATGCTAATTTGAGTGTAAAAGTTTGGACATGATAGAAGCCCAAAATCTCACTACGACGGGTTGTGAACGGTGGCCAGCCACATGCAGTAACCGATGAGCTCTTACCATTTTTGTGTTATTTTAGAACTTTGTATTATTAAAATTGGGATGTAACGGAGAGAATGACGAAGAGTGGTAATGCGAGTCCTTTCAGAAGAGCGGAGGCACGAAAATTCGCCCGACAACACGCGAAGTGCAATGGTCGCTCTTCGTGCGCCGCTCCTAGTTAAGTGACCAAGGCAGCTCGCTTCAACCTCTTTCCTCGTCTCGAAGGCGCCGATCAGCTCCGAATCCTCGCCCCATCGACCTTCTCGTGTGCATCTGCTGCTGCCGGATTGCTGCGTTTGATTCAACATGGGCCACGCCGCTGTGTGGAATTCTCACCCGAAGAAGTTCGGACCGGGTTCGCGCACCTGTCGAGTGTGCGGCAATGGACACGGTTTGATCCGTAAGTACGGAATCAACACTTGCCGTCAGTGCTTCCGCATCTACGCGAAGGACATCGGCTTCGTCAAGTACCGTTAAGGTGTGCGGAGGAGGCGAAGTTGTCTCCCATGGCTTCGGACGATTTCATGGACCCTTTTGATCATGAGTTCGGTTCGTGATTTCGATACGGTCAAATTTATGTAATGTTTCCAATGACCTAGCGTGAGGATGGGAATTTTTGAAGTTTGCGGGAGATAGGCTGAAGTCCATGTTATCTTTAGAGAGAGTTGAGCATGTCGTTCCTCTGAGTTTGATTAAAACTCTGCATCGTTTCCGTTTTGGATTCTCTGTACACGGCATGACACTTCCAGGATTATGGATTCTTCCTGTTCAGCTGGATAGCAATAAACTCTAAAGCTGGTAGTGTTAGGGTTTCGACCTAACGGCTTATTCGAGCAATTCTCTTGTTTTGTCATGAACCTTTTCTTTTTGGAGCCTGTGAGCTCCAGCACGTATCCGCTCCGACCTTCATCTTTGTTTATGAAATTGGCCTTGCCCCATATGGCCTGATTTACAGAATCATCTTGGCAGCAGGTGTCGAGAGAGGAGGTGAGTTGAGTTCACGGTTTGAGTTGCCGCTCATTAGGGTTACCAGGGTTCTCGAATTCAGGGCCCTTGGTGTCCTTGAACTTGTATGTCGATCAATATGGTTGTTTTAAATTTACATTTAGGGAATTCCAAGAGTTCTTTGTTTTGAGTCTCTAACTGGTGTGGACGAATACTCCTTTGTCACCATCCTTCACAATTTTCTGTCATTCTTTGTTTCTGTATTTCGGAGTAAAGACCCGTTGTATGTGGATTGGTGATTAAGCTTCAGTACACAGCGCTGGTACATGGTTTGAACACTATCTAGTTCATTTGAGTCCTGTATAGCGTCTCACCAATTATGCGAATCTTACAGCTTGAGCATGCTTCCAATTGCAACTCTTGCGATGAACTCTTGTGTTTCTCTTGACAAAGTGATGCTATTGTACTATTGCGTCAAAATTCGACGATTTCCACTCCCATGATTTAACATGATTTTGATTGTCTACTAAATTTCTTGAGTCCACGTTTTGAGTTATCAAGTGTCACCATCAGTAGGAGAAGTCTGAATTATTTATAATTCATAAATGAGGAGAGTCATACTCATCATAGTTTACACCTCACGTCTGAAACTCATCTCTGAGTTTAGGCTTTGTATGATTACTTCTCGTTCTTGGTTGCACTTGTCAACTCTTGAAACGTTTTTTTTTTTTTTCTCATGGTACAAGGTTTGCAGTTATTGTCTCTTCTTTAAGCACAAAGGAATCTCTAAAGATTGTTGTACCACAGCAACTAACATTTGAAGTGATTCCTCTGGCTGTAGATGAATGTGACCTACGCTGCGTTCTACGTATGTAGATGATCTCTTCGTACCCTCTTGCATCGTACTGCCGCACTTGTAGTAGTCCCACCGTTGTCTATACAACTTGTCTTTTTCTTGTACTTGAACGCTGTGTTGTCTCTTGGCCTTTTTTTAACTGTCACTTCAATCATCTTTACCGGCGGATTTCATTTCTATCCTGTTTTCCCACCAAAGCTCGTGTTCTATCGACCCCTACGATTCTTTTTTTTTGTCGTTGGTTTATGTTCCGGGACGTACACTTATAATCTTTAATCTGTATGTGAACGTTTGAAAGTCCGGAGTATAATTACACAAGCTAGACAAATGGTTTGAAACTATAAACTGGAATGATTGTAAATTGACCTACTTACAACATCAAGAATGAATCTGAGTCAGTCTATTGGCTGAGACTTTCCAACAAAGTAATGATGTAAATCATTACTATGTCGGAACATCGGTAGTAAATCATGTTGATGTCCTGGAAGTCACTTGATTTTTCTGGAACACGCGAACACTGGATTTTTCTGCTAAGTAAAATAGATCATCAAGATAGATAATTCATCAGATAGATCAAAAGCAATTTGAAATCCGAGGATTGACAGTGAACAAGTGTCATTGTGTTTGAATCTATGTTGTAAGGGTAGTTTCAAATAAGGTTTGGATATCAATGCTTATGGTATCTCAAGCCTTCTCCTTCGTGAACATTTTTAACTACGTCCATTTCGTTTTGTTTTCCAATGTTTCCACAGATGTAAAGGCAATTTTAATCGCATTTGCAAACTCCATTCTCGACCAAATTGAACTGACATCGGATTCAGGCTGTCTCTAAGTGTGGGCAATTACCTCATCGTGAAACAACCTATCCCAACGAAACCTACGACTGCACTTGCATCTCAGGGTGGAAGGATGTAACAGCAATTTGCAAGTGACATTACAGCTCTACAACATATTCAACATTATCATAAGCTCCAAACACCGAAATACATGTGCTGTAGAAAGTTTGGCAAACCCACAAAAAGTAAAAGGTCTAAGTGAAGAACTAACAAAGACCAAATTAAAGTCGAGCGTTAGTGCTTATGTCGACAAACATGTTAGCTCTTCTAGACTTAAGAAAGACTATTCAAGATACACAGATTGACACGGGTATGAAATTGTTGGTGACACGTCACAAAAAATTTTAGCGGGTTGGCTGAAGAAAGCATTTGTCTACTGCCATGTTCAAGCACGCACTTCGTATACACCAAATCTAGTGACAGGCCGATGTCCAGACCAAATCGAGGTTTGATGAAGCTCGGTGTGATGAGAAGGGTCGGGGCAGCGTATACTTGTTGTACCGGTTTCTATCGGGCGATGACGAAGTCGAAAAGAGAAAAGTAAACATGTGAATGCTGATCTTGCTGATCTGATTGTACAAGTGTTTCAAACCAAAACTTGTAATTATGTTGGGGCCTGAAATGAAAAACCTGATACGCATGCACTCCACCACCTGTCTTGAGAACATTTCCGATACAAAATACCTTTCGTTTTGGAGTGGAAATCATGTCTCCTTTCAAGCAGCCGTTCTAACAACGTTTTCCATTCGTGTGTTACTTGGAGGCATGCACTCTCGCACAGCATCTGGATGCTTGTAAACATACATGTCCCAGCTTCGGCAAGAGTCTACAAGGCCAATTTATCCACACACTGCGACAGCTCGTACTTGGTGAGCTGTTGCACTTGAAGTGAGACGAACAATTTGACCGCCTTATTCAACAGTCATGCTCATCAAGTTCCAAAACTTCCAGGTGGCGAAGCTTTGCTTCCGTCAACATGCTATACAGTTGCCTAGCTTGACTACAAAGGTCGAAGTCCATTCATCCTGATCCAATGCTGCTGCAGGACCAACATAAAAGATTGGTGTCTACTGGATTTTTCAAAAGACTCTTCACAGGTATCAGTTGCCTCATGCACTTGTATTATTTTTTGATATACACAGCACCATCTCTGAAACTTAAGAAAATGGAAGTGTTGCGTATTTCATATTTGTATCTGGCATTAGGCAATGACAAACGTTGACACATACTTTCAAAACACCCAAACTTTTAAAGACAGGCGGTATATTTTTCCTAAGAAACATATTTACAGGCATATTGACTTCGGTCTATATGTTGTCTACACAAGGTCGGGCAATGAGCAGTGACTTGGTCAATTTAGTGCCCTGGCCGGTCACAGAATAAAATAGATTAATTAAGTAATGTAGGCACTTTCACCATCGCCATCAGGGGCTTTAAGATACTGAGATGATCCTTTGTCCTGTACCGTTTCAATTGTTGAATGGAACTGTCCATAAACGCCATATAATATCAAAGCCAACAAAGTTACAACTGCGAACCGTACCCAAGCCTCCCAGTGTAGCTGTTGACAAGCAGAATGTGAAGAAGGTTAGCAGCTCGTTATTCGTCTCATCTTTCATCAACTCTTGGGCGAACGCTAGTGCTCAAGGTTAAACAATTGTCATTAAGAAACAGTATGACCCAACTCACCTGAGCAAATAAAAACATGTTGACCAGAATGCTGAATAATGGTAGAGTCGGCACGGCTGGACAAGCGAATCCAGAGGGTTCGAAATATTCCTGGAAATCAAGTTGAAGAGGCAAACGTGTAAATGTACGATGTAAGGATGTACAAATTCCCGGGGGTGGAGGAAAAGAAGTATGACAATAAAACAATCATGTCTATGCAATGGTTCGAGTCACGTGCCGTCACAACGCAAAAAATCTATTAGCTGTCATCCAAGGTGTCATGGGCTTCAGAGACCATGGGCCACAGTATAGGGAGTGCTTAATAACTGCAAGACTTTGAGGTACGAGAATCACCTGATGCGTATACATGGGAACTGCGCATAAAAGCTCCAACAGTAGGAGACTGATGGCAAAAGCTGGATGTGCACCGTATCGATAACACAAACCAATTGCAAAACCCAAAGCAGCAGTGACGAGAGTACATCCTACAGCACCCTGAGTTCTTCTAACATCCTTTGCACCGCCTTGTCTTTCATCGGATCGCCACTGCTCCTCAGGGAGTACTCTCAAAACCACAACACATGCACATACGACAGAGTATCCGATCTGTTAATAGCACACAGAACAGAATGTTAGCTTCCATCCAAACAGAACAAGTATCTATGAAGTATCCGAACACAGGAGACACTAAACATCTGCTTAACTTTTTCTATCCTTGGTAAAAATTAAGGTTCTGATCAAGATCACATATCATAATCCCTTTGATGATTTCTTCTTGCGACAGCAAGCTAAGAACTAAACGGAACAAAGAAGAAGAACTGGGTAGGACTCACCAGAATTCCAACAGAGAGAATGTGTGACAGGTGGCTGACGTTGATAAATGTGGCCAAGACGCCTGCTACTATCCCCACCCAGATTTGTGCAATAACTGGTGTGTGGTGTTTTGAATTGACTTTTGCGAAAAGGGAAGGAAGTAATCCATCTCGTCCAACCCCTAGATACAGCCTCGACTGAAACCACATATTCCAGACAGACAAATGTCTTAGTCCTACGTGTACATAAACAACAAGGACTACGACATAAACAGTCTTAACGAAACAAAAACCAAGAAGCTCTGTTAATGATGCAGATCGAATGAATCAACGTCAACTAGCCTACCATACCTGTACATAGAGACCAATAAGCACGGTAGTCGTCAGACCGGCTACTGCACCAACCCCGATCAGGCTACTCATAAAGTTGAGACCTTTACTGATAAAAGCTGATGTTAAAGGAGCAGCAGCATCAAGTTCATAATAAGGAACCATGCCTGTGACAACGAGACAGACCGCAACATACAGAAGTGCACAACTCAACACACTGATGATTATTGCTCGCGGCAAGTCTTTCTGCAAGAAACATAATGTTGGTCAGCAATTGATATCAGGTCCAACCAATCCCCAAGATAAAAGATGGAAAAATTAATTGATAGCTACCTGCGGATGCTTGGTCTCTTCTGCAGAATTCGCAACAGCATCAAATCCCACGTAGGCAAAAAATACGACGGTCGCTCCTTGCACAATGGCCGGCAAACCGAATGGTGCAAAAGGCGTCCAGTTTGACACATCAACTTCAAAAGAACCCGCAAGTACTACCAGGAGAACTATAACAATCTGGAGAAAATGAAATAACTTACATCAGTCTTGCTGTAACGTATTGGGAGAAAATCAACTGAAGGATAGCAAGATTTATTATGCAAAATCATTGTTATGAATACGAATTCATAAGTACTTCTGACTCTAGATGCTTTTTAATACAAGTAGAGATGGAAAGTTCACAATCGCCTCAACTAGAGTAGAAATCCTCGAAAACTAACAGAATCATATCACAAAACAGACGAGGAACTACGGATCAGATGTCTTACTTTGGTGACAGTCATGACACCATTGACTATCGCTGACTCGCGGACGCCTTGACATAGAACAAATGTGATAATGGTGAGCAAGATGGGGGCCATCAGGTTAATAGATACCCAGCCTCCATAAAATTCTTTGCCTCCGGGTCCGAAAACTTCAGGAAGGATGCTGAAAGCTGGAATGAGCTTCAGGAGAGTCGCAAGGTAACTAGCAAGACTCCGGATTACACTTGCAGCTCCGATGTGATAGTCAAACATTACATTTACAAAGACAATAAATGCAGTCAGCTCATTGAAAGTAAAATATGCATATAGATAAGCTCCTCCAACATGGGCAGGGAATCTACTAGAAAGTTCCGCATAGCAGAGAGCATTCAATATGGAAGCTCCTCCTGCCAGCAGAAAACTCAGCACAACACCTGCGATCCGAAATGCGGAGGTTACTGAGCATTCTGTTCGCATCTCATCAGGAACCATTTCATGTCCAGTACTCCCAACACATTCGAATCTCATTAAAACATCGCTCTCGACAGTGGCCAGGATTACCTAACATTCAGGTCAGAATTCTTCTCTGATCTTACCAACAAGAACTCAGTCGATTTCAAGTGTACAAGCTCTGCAGACCATATACTAGAAAGCTTCATTTTGAGGCTAAATATGTTCAGCTTATCAATTTTGTTTCACCTACAATTGATTCGGTGCTCACAAGTATTACCTAGAAATACACGATTGAATTCTTGACCTGATACGTGATGACTTGTCTGATTTCAAGTCTAAGTTATATGGATTTTGAGGAAACGTCAAGACTTTTAACAACGGTCGATTGTACAATTTCGGAAATGGAGGGCTTAGAAAAAAGTACACATCCCGTCCTCTCAGCGATTCTCATCGCTGCACATTGTTCTGAGATTCACGTACCAGGTCCAGCATCCTGCGCCACAGTACCGGTGACGACGAAAATCCCAGCACCAATAGATGCGCCAATGCCTAACAGGATGAGATCCCACAACCCCAGTTTTCTTTCCAATGAGCTTCCGCCATCCTCACTGTTCCCCTTCAAATCGTTTCCGGTATTACCATGCCTCATGGGAATGTTCTTAAATCTGACTGCTGCATGCTGAAACTCCGACCACCATGTCATCCTTCTCCTCCCCTCAGCCATTTTCACTCTTCAGTATTTCGCCGAATTTCAGATCGGACTCACTTTAGCATCGGCGACTCTTGAGCCTCTTGAATGCCGAAGTGCTTCAAGAGTCTCATCTATCAAAGGATTTTTCTTTTCAGCGATTCGACGAGGGGCACTCCAAGTATGTCTTTGTCTATGCCAGGTACGAAATCTGCCGACATTTCGTTTCAGACATCATTCCTACTCTATTGGCTGGACAGATGTCTTTCATAACGGAGCAGTCTCTGCGATCAGAGGTTCCCTGTACCGGGCCAAGTTTAGGGTAAGCCCGATTACGTCATCCGAATTTTCCTGCCTATACAAATCAATTATTGTTCATCTGATCGAGAAAACTTAGGCGGAAGAATCCGAATCTCTGTCTGGGCCCACCAAATCCAGTTTCCCAGTCCGTATATTCAATATCAGACGAGACACATGCTTCTACTTGCATTTACTGAGGTTAGGCTGCAGGGTTGCTGAAACAATTACTGTACTGCCTACACTACTTCTGGTAGTTTTGTATGCTGAGGTTTCCGATTTCCAGAACTGTGCTCCGGGCGTCTCAGTCCTTAGTAGTCTTATCCACTTTGCCTTCCTGATCGATCTTTTGGTGACGGTCACGACCCGACGCAATGAAGACGAGCTTCGAAGTATTTCATCGAAGTTCCGTTCTTGGACAGAGATCAGGCACGCTTTCCGAATGGTTCATCCAAGATTGAAGTGCCCTCGGGTGAAGGTAGAGTAGAGCCTTCTCTCGGAGCAGGAACAGAGGTCTGCGGGCATTCCGACCCAATTGTTCAGAAACCTGGGTTTTGAGGGAGAACTTTCAATCAGAAGAGAGGATTGCGAGATAGCTCCAGTTTAAGCGACTAACTTGAGGGAGGACTTTTAAGGCAGAAGAAAGTCTTTGCAAGCTTCCTCCGGTTTATGCGACTATCTCCGTGACCTTCTGTAGCTGGACAAGTCTTTAAAGCTCCTTCCACTTGGCTGACAAGTTAAAAATACAGCTATTTTCTAAGCCAATTGTGATTGGTTGAGACAAGCAGGCACTGGTCCAAGGCGTGTGCCGTCGGTGGCACAAGCTTCCGGCGGAGTAATTCGTGCAGTTCTTCTATAACTCGAAGATGGGTGCCTTCTCTTGAGAAGAATGATGAAAACATACTTCATACGACATCACCAGACAACGCTAAACCACTCAGTAACTTCCGAGTCATATAGCCGAAAGCATTTTCCCAACCGTGTACTTTCGAGCTGCACAGTCTGTATGCTGGTTGAGTATTATCCCTTCGCCTCCCGAAGCGGCTGAAAGAGCGCCATGGGGAAAAATTGAACAAACAGAACGAAGAATCCCTTCAGAGAGCTAGCCAACTTTTAGAACAGGAGAAGAAAGCAATGGACATCACAGAATGCTCACACTTGAAGAATAACACTCCACACCAGCGGGATTTCGACTGCATACGTGCAATGCAATTCTACAACCTCACAGACAGGGCTCTAGACCTTCCCTAGAACGACTCGTCACAGACCTCGGGTTTCATCCTGGGCTCGCAGGGGAACACAGAGAAAGTTCAAAACTGAAGAGATTCAGTAAAGAAAAGCTCCTATTAGTGCCGATGTCAGATTATAAGCTCTTTCTCGTGATACACACCCTTCGTCAAAAGTTCCTAGTTCTATAATTATATTGGATTGGTTACAAACTATGGATTTCAAATAGTGTAAAGATGTAAACCAGCGCGTCACGGATACCAACTTTGTGAGAACTGACATGCGTCTATAAATATGCTCAAAGTCCTACTCATTCAAAATCTATATTCGATTTTCTGCTTAAATACAAACGACGACCAGTAGTTCAAGATTCGTGAATCCAGAGAAACAGGGTGTTCCTGACGCGTGAAACGGTAGTGACCTCCCCATGAGGGAGACCAAACTATTAAGATAAAAAATCACACAACGTAAACACCACTCGCAATATGTGAAAGCCGTGTTTAGAAGTAGAAGTTATAGTTGGATATAGTGGCCAATGTTAATAAATACAATTCTTCAAGGAGAACTACTTATTAAGCTTCAATGGAGATCTGTACACGAACAAAGACAAGAGTATGACAAACGTGGGTAATTACGTCACACCAGTCAAAACGGAAACTGTATTCCTATATAAAACACGAGTATCTGGACATCAGTGACATTGACACATTACGATCCATAATTGAATCTTACATTTAAGGACATAGAGAACGAGAGGCCTCAGTAATCAACATGTCGGCAAATCACATGTAACATGAATTACGTAAACCTTTCGACAAGCGCCAACAAGACCACGAAACAAAGACAATCTACGGAACCAAACTCGTCAAATAAACCACATACATTTCTTCCTGATGGCTTGGAGTAAAAATCTTCGCCGAAACTGGCAAGAAGATTTTAGCTTGTCTCTTTATTTTTGCTACCGTGCGACTCAGAGATCATCTGATGCATACCAAGGTGTACAGACATTTACAATATAATCGCATTAATGAGTTCATTTCATCCATCTTACACCATAATGTCCTGTTCACGAACAATCTCTCCCAGATATGTACGTTTTTATCGCCTATCGATGTACTCCCATGGACGGAAAGAAAACCGTGGCTTGAATGGGAGACTCTCCCGGACACAAACGCTCTCGTCAGCTCACGAATCACCATCTGGGGGTGCCCGGCATCGGAGCACTAGCAAGACACCATCCCCTGTCGAACCAGTTCAGGATCATATGCAAGTCACAGATACGATTCTGGAGCAAAACCTCATACTGTCAAGGACGACGATCCTCGGCGGCACTCGTTGAGCATATCGACGTAGAACTGGCACCTGCCAATGTCATCGTTGTTCGCTTGAATACAATCCTGGAAAGCCTTGCTCTGGTTGCTGCAGGCGTTCTGGGCAACGGTGGTGATCTGAGAGTCAGAAGTGTTTCCTGCACCGTCGCTGGTCTGCACATGCTCGTGCTGAATGGTTCTGGGCCCAGCAATCGCATCCACAGCTCTGTGGGCGACGGCACTTCCCGTTCCAAAAGCCATACCCTGGGCGATGGTACTCGCAAGACCTCCCAACATCGAGCCCCCTCCGCTAGGCTGCTGCACGGCGGGAGGAGGGGCCGGCTGAACGCGAGCCGGAGGAGGAGATCGAGATGCCATAGCCCGAGGAGCGGGACGAGCAGCAGGGCGACCGGCGCTTCGGTTGCGAGCCATAATTCCGATCGAATCACAAGCTCTGGAACGACAACGACCTCCGCGATCCGCCGATTACGCCCGGGCCTTCACCGCAATTTCAGAATCCGGATTCGTCCGCGAGAGTGAGATCCCTGCAATCGAGACTGACTGTCAGAACAAAGCTCGCGAGAACAATTTCGACCACCGTGGAGGAAGACGAGAGGGCCTAAAGAGATCTCGAGCAAAACCCTGCTCGCCGCTGCAGCTCGTGCTCGCTCTCGTTCGATTCCAGAATGTTCCTTCGTCCTGTGGACGAGGCGATCGACACGGATCGAATCCACGGAGCCCGACGCCGAATCTTGGAATATCCTTTCCGTAGGACGAGCTTCCTCCAAAACTGCGGAACTGCCTCTGCTGCTGCCTCTTTCTTCACTTCTACTTCCATTTCCACGTGCTACGCGTCCACCTGGACCTCCACCTAGACCTGGCTTCTCGGGCACGCAGTCCTTCGGGGACCTGCGGAGCCGAGTCGTCGATCTCTCGAACTTTCTTCGCTCGTCTGTCTGTCCGGCGACGGACGGGCCCCATTCGATTAGGTTGCATGGATGGATAGCATACACTTCCGTCGCCGGGAACGGATGGTAGGTGTTCTCTCAGAGAGAGCCCAACATTGGGTGCCCATGTCTATGGGTTTTGGGTGACATTATTTTTCCATGGGTGGGGTTAGGTCAGGCCTCGTAACGTCTAGGAATTACTATAATTACCGAAATTAACTTAAATTATGGATTTTTATTTTATTTTATTTTGGGATTTATTCAGAAATGCACTTTATCACTCGATGATGATGATCTAAATTTTACTTCGATAAATTGTACCTGAGATAAATTTTGAGTGTTAGAAGCTGAATATATATAATCTAAGAGCCCTCACTGCCATGAAACAATTGTGAAGGCCACTTGGATTTCTTCAAATCAGATTGTATCATCCAGCCAATGTGACTGCATACCTTCAAGAGTGCGCAAAATCAATACTGCAGGAAAGGAGCAAACTTCTAGACGCAAAGGGGATATGCTACACCCTTTTGAGGACATATGGATTACAGCAACAATGGTTTCTGAATGATGAGAAATCTTCAGAGGGCAAAAAATGTAAAAAATAATAACGAGTGGAATACAGTCTTAGATGCAGGATGTATCGGAAGGGATATCGGGTAAGAAGTTCATGTAGATTATATCATAAAGCTTCACGCACCATCAAGCACAGTAAGCAATATTTGCAAAAGGGAAATCACTCTCTGATTCTTCTTCGTAAAAGCTCTACTTTTCCCTCCAGACGTAAGGTCCATTCCCAGTGTCTTAGCACCGTGATCAACTATGGACTATGACACTGACAGCGTCCTTAATGTATGGACACCGCAAGTTTTGATTTTTGTTAATTCTGGGATTCTGTAGACGAATCCCAGAATTTAGGAGGCCTGGGTTAGGTCGCTGCTGATGGTTATGGTCTGGGTGCAGATTTGAAGTAAAATGTTGGACTCTGTTACGAAAGGTCAGGCCGTGAAATCCTTCCGTCCCTCTTGTCTTTCTTCACCTTCATTCGGGGCTACATCCCCGTTTACAGACAACGTGAAGTTCGAAGAACTTAATGTATAAAAAACACCTTTAAATTTTGTATGCAATTGTCTTTGGACATCGGAGCTAGCTTGCCCGAGTGGTCTAAGGGGGACGACTTAAGATCGTCTGTACATCAGTACGCGTGGGTTCAAACCCCACAGCTAGCAAACCTTCAGCTCATTTTGCCCGAACATGTTTACTCTTAGAATATTGTCTCAGTAGGCCAGCTTCGGGTTAAAGTAAAATCGTATTAAAGCCACAAATAACCTACGCTGAGCTTTTTTACGTTGACCTTTCCTCCTCCTCCATGAAGCATAAGTTTTTTGAATACCGCTAAAGAGTTAGACTTCCGAAGAGTGTACTCTGTTTAATAAGTTGAAATCAAGAACCATTAGGTTTTAAATTATAAATCTATCCAATAAGAACGGGTTTGTCATTATTGACATGATACTATATAATTGATGGTTCAAACTATAATAAAAAAAATTTGAATTTGGACTTTCTCATTTGCCGACGTAATTATCTGTGCGGATATCTTATAGATTATAATGTAAGTTTCACGTAATATATTCAGAACTGTAAGAGCTTATAGCATTACAGATTATCTAGACCTCGTGGAAAGATCAAGTAGAGTAGTTATGGTTGTCATAAGTAAAGAACGAAGTGAATTCATGAGGATGTATTTGGAGTATGTCAAAAGCTGATCAATGGCTTAGCGAATAGCTTTTGCCTAATTATAATACTTGCTCCTATCATGTTCAAGTCCAACTTCTAATCAATGGACATAACTGTGATTGCTCAGCTAGCTTTCCTTTCAAATATACAATCATAAGTGTGACTCAAAAATGAATCTACTCGAGATCTAAATTTCCTGAAGATGAATTACTTTTTCTTTGCCAATTTAATTGATATGCATTGCAGTCCTTCAACAATCGTTTCCATCCTTATGCTCTGAATCTATTGCTTTTGGCCCAGGTTCTTATTTGTCATTATTTGCTCATCTAACTAAGACACTACAAATACGAATGATGAGGAACGTGGAATGAGAAATAAACTTCCGCTAGTCATTTGTTCTTACTATCGTGATTTAAATGATATGGTAGCTTGCATTAGCAAGAGGCTTGAACTATTTGACAAGCAGATTTGAATTTTGACAAAAATTTATAGGCCATAGCAACTCCAGAAATCCAACCGGAAAAGTGCAACAAAAAGACCTCATCGTTATACACTGAAGACTAGATTTTTTCCAATTATGTAAAGCTTTTCCACAATAATTGAACTGCTACAAGTGACCTCACCACAATCCAAAACTGTCACCACTGTCTTAATACATCTCTCCCATTATCAAGAGAATCAAAGATGTCCATCCTGAAAATGGATGAGAGCCTTGTCCTTTACCCTTCGATTTAAGATCATAATTTTCCCACAAGTATCCACTTTCGTGATACTGCTTCACAACGTTCCTGCAATCAACCAAAATCAATCAGCGAGACGCCGAAACTATCTGCATATAGGGGAATTGGCTTCCCACGTGGATAACTGGATAGACCGAACAACACTGCTGAAGATATACGAGAGTTGCATGTGCTCTGTGGATCCTCGATAACATTAAAACATATCTAAATTACTGATATACATGAGACACAGCTTATGAGGAAGTGGCTGAAATTACCTAATAAGATTATCTCTCAACTGTGGGTACAAAAGAGCTGCTGTCTTCTTGTAATGTCCTTCCTCTGTCGCGCGTGATGGCAACATGGCCATGATTAGAAAGGAATTTGATCTTCAAAGTAATCGTATCATGAATTCAAACCTCAACTAATTGCTCGATTCAGAAGATGCGCACGCAGAAATGAGTCAGGGGAGACACTTCACAGGCTAGTAGGTTCTGGCCGCCTACTTCAATATAAAGATGAACATCCACACATACAAGCCTCTTGCCTCCACTGAAGATAATTGAACATATACCTTGAGAATATTTATAGAGGGCTGACAATATTAAGTAATTCATGTTCATCCAAACTGGACCCCTCCAGTACGGAGCATCGTGCTCAGTATTGTGCTTCATGAATACGGAGCTGCATGGCAACAGAAATTCACTCAGTCATTCAGAGAAACTGGAGTTAACATCAAGTCTCCAGGCCTTTTCTAGAGAAAAGGCCGATGCTCAGCGCAAACAACTTCCTAGCAATGAGAACCGTGGACTGAGCAAATACCTGGTCGTTGCCAGAGACCGCAAACCAAACTCTGTCCACAACAAATCATGGCTGTGCAGCAAAGCCAAGTGATGACCCATAATCGTGGAATCCTGTTCCATTAAAAAAAAACCGGTTCTTATGAACGTAAGAACACTCGAAGATTAAAGCTAGAATCTGGAGAAAAAGATCATGTGGATGACATAACAAATCACTTACAAGACAGAAGTACCAATTACGTTCGCATAACAAAAAGCCAACACCCAATTGTGGTGTCTTTATGAAACACACGATAACCTGTATAATGCATGTCGTCATATGTTTCGTCAAAGACAGGTCAAAAACTTCTCGTCAATATGTTCCATCGGGCTCCAGTAATAAATACTTACCGCTGGGATGATCCGAAGGGCGAAGGGGAAGAAACTAACATATCCGAAGTGTGGAACCCAACCTAGTTTGGGCTTCTTCAAGACAACTCTCCGGAGGATCCTTTGCGGAATTCCCGTCTTTATCCTTGGGTCTTTTAATTCTTTCCATCTCAGCTTCACCTGGAATTGAAAATTTTTTCTTGAAGTCAAAAGATTCTATAGACCTCCAAAATACATTGACAGGTCCCAGTCTCCGACCATAAAAAAAATTTAAAAATGCATATTGAAATAAATTCGAATGACACAAATACACTGCGGGTAAGGTTGCCCATTTTACCTCCTCAGTGTGAAGTCCATAATCATAGTAATGACCTGATTCCAGATCATAATGCATCTGCATAATGAAACACATGAGATCACCTTGCCTCCAGTTAGTACGAAAACTTTTGTGACTAAGCTGTTTTTCAAAAAAAAAGGGGTGGAAACGGTACTGCTGGAGTACTGGGTTGCATGAGTAACTTTTCCACGATTGGGGATACAAAGGGCTTCATTCTTAGTATCATCAGGGCTGAATTCAGACACACCACAGGTAAACGCAACATCCAGAACTAACTGAGAGAAGCAGAAGGCGAGTTACCTCATTAAGTCGGGTTAAATTAGTGAGCCCGTTGGCTGTCGCTTCATAGCTCTGAAAGGAGAAGCAAATCGACGTTCAGTCCAGGCAGCGCCTCATTTCAACTGAACCGAAAACTTTCTATTACTTGATGCCGAACCTTGAACCGTTGACACTTACTTCATGTGGCTCACCAGTCAGACGAGCAATCAGAGACATTGTTTCAGCAGCGTGTGCCATCCAGCACCATAGATCTACGTGGCGTTCATCATCCGTTGGATGAGAAGCACGTGGATAATCATCGAGACCTGAAGTAAGTGTCTACTCACTCCCAAAAACGAACGATTCAGTATGATCTCTACAAAGAACCACAATGAGAGACAATGACAACATTTCCTGACAGAAGCATGAAGCATAATATGCACCAGTACATCTCAAATCTAAAAGCTCCACATCCTTCGCAGAGTTTATGCAGGTCATCCTCTCAAAGTGATCCCATTTTTTCATGCGAAGTGACTCTTTAATATAGAACCTATGGGAACGACGGGATTTGCTGGGCGTAGTAGATTTTACATCAAAAGAACAAGCCAACTTTGTAGATAAAGCTTCCAGAGATCGTTAAATTACACCAACATAAGCTCACAGGTTTTTGATTGGAAAATTTAAAAGAACTACCTATAAAAGCATACAAGTGCATGCTCACCTTTGGATTCAGTTCACGGGATGTATGTGAATCTCTTCCATGCCAGTAGTACGTCCCTGGCTGCTTCCCTACAGAGAACCCCGTACTGTAAAACGTCAAGCGAAACACGTTTCCTATGCGGCTGAGCAGGATCAACACTGTTCTGTAAAAATGAGCTACTAAAGTTGGATCCATTTGATCTTAGTTATGTGTGGCAAAAGCCGACTGACCGCTTTGAGTCGTGTTGAACCAGTTGAACCAGGCCTGTAGCCTCGGATACATTGTCTTAAAGTACTCCATATCTTCTTCTCTTGCCTGGCCTTGTTTCAAGTCCAATTCAAGGCTGAGAGCCAGACCTGACAAACAAGAGAGAAGGGCTTAATCCCTTAAGACAACGTAGAAGACTAAGACTTTGAAACTCGGAACAAATGAGATGACTTCATCATAATATTTGCAACTTGAAAGTTACAGGTAACAATCAGTTGATTATGGTATAAGAAGAGAGCTAAAACATAGGAACTGAGAAACACCAAGACTTCCACCATAACGAGAATATCCTAAATTGCATAACCTTCTCAGAGGTATGGGAAAAAAACTGTTTACGTCGTATGACCAGCATGAGGGCAGGCGGGTTGGCGTTGCTTGTATGCTGAATGACGAACTCTTCAGGAACCTTACTGAAGAACAAATGGAAAAATTCATGTGACTGGTTACAAAGAGGAAGTGCCATACTCAAAACGTGATAATACTTCAATAGAATAAGATCCAAAAGTACACTGCTCCGACAATCCGATTAACAATACAAAACTGAAAGATTAACGAGGTCTCAAATCCAATGCAGAATGACCTGTTGAATAGATGTCCCGTGAAACATGACAAATCAAAGCTAGAGACAGTAAAATGTTGGGACTCGCTGTGGAAAACCTTTTCTGTCGCTTCTTAAATATGAAAGAATCATACCTACGAGCCTCGGCACCCAAGATTTGTTCTCTTGGAATCCACCCATCAACGTTCATCAGATCCAACCAGTGAGCAATGATGTCAAGGCTGATATTTCGATCCCAACGACTGCCAGCACAAAGACCAGGAAGTAAGTGAAGAGGAATAAAACGTGTAAGATAAAATAGTGCATTTAACTGAAAGGAAACAATTTCAGAGGTTTACCTGATAAGGAGCTGGTGAAATCCTTCGTCCCAAAGAAATCCACGTGGGAAAAATGATCGACTGGGGACCGCAGTAAACAGCTCGGCAGGCCAATACAACCAATAGTCTGGGCTACTTAATTCAGGTTCTTGTCCCTGTTAGTAGACATAGCACGGTGCAGGAATCAGCGAAGAGATACCATGAAGATGTTCACCTCTTCACACAGCAGCTCAATTGCTTTGGGGCAACAACATTAAACTTTACCAAGACGGATTCTAGTTTAATAAGAAGGGGCAGCGAAACGAAGGTTACTTTGAACTCGGCGGGAATTGCAATACGGGACTGCCCATGGAAGTACCCAATTCCACCGACCATGTTGCTGAGAGCAGCTCTTCCAACCTCGACCTCTTTTTCGCCTCCCACCTGGCAGGACAGTAGCATGCACCATGCAGAGGCGAAGGATGAGCATCGATACATACTCGCCGCAGGTTAATATTTTGTGGTAAACAAGGGTTATTGATGAAATGTACGCCAGAAAACACTTTGCGAAAAAACATAGCCGGAAAGCGGTTACTCTAGTAAATTTGGCATGCAATTTGAATAAAAGTTGTAAGTAACCTTTTCATTTAATTTGAATGTGTCCTGAAACCTGTTTTCAAACTCTTGCTCCTTCTGTATGAGTCTTCTCTCCAGTTCGACACCTGCGAGTAACATCATGACAAAGTAGACTTGGTACTTTTGTAAATTCTTCGAGCCCTTTGTTGATAGCATTAAGGTAGCCTTTTTGTTTGTAAGCATAAAACTCCTGCAACAATGATAGGCTAAGCTCCTTGAACCTCCACTCATATAATACCTGTCAAATTCTTCAGACGTTTTGGGACATCAGCTCCTTTCTTATCCACTCCAGAGAGAAAGACCATGTCAACCTCGAACGGTAAACTTCCTGATATCTGTACAAAACGAGAAAAATAAGTATGGAGCTGGACTTTTGCGATCTTGGCCTACTAAATTCGAGTAGTTTATCTTCCCGGTGCGAGAAAAGATAAGTGAGAAATAAAAAAAAGATAAGAGTAAGAAACGATACGTCCCTATTCTACAAACAGCGGTGTTCACCATAGGACTTTGCAAAATAAAGTTCCACGACAAAGAGATCTGGGAATACCAAACCTGAAGGACAGCAATGTTTGAATGTCTATCAGAACTGTCTGGTAGTTGTAAGCGCCCCGTTAGTCTTCCCTGAATTTGACGGCAAGTTTGTCAATAAGTCAGTAATCCGGTGCATAATAGTGATATCTTCTACCAACTATGTAGTCTAAGTTCCAGGATATACTGTATTTCGAGAAGGAAAACTGAACTTGGCAGCTTTATCAATTCAATATTGAGAAACAAAGCGTACCTGATTCATCAGAGTATTCAAGACCAGTTGTGTCAAATTATGCATATGAATCTGGCGAAGTCCAGCGTAACTGACAGCCACATCCTCCTACAAAACAACACACTGCTGAACCTAAAATCACTTGCGACTTTCAAGTAATTTTAAGAACATCTGAAATGTGAATAATCTAGATAATCACATTATTGAAATCCTGATTTTGGTATAAATGATGAGATGTTGTTACGGTTCTAAGGAGTACTACCAGGTTTCCTTTTCTTGAAAGTATTCCAGAATACCTTATGGTGTAAATGGAACTGCCATCCTCCGATCTCGCTTGCAGATCCTCCAACAAAGGGAGCGTCAGCTACATTTTTTCCCTTCGGCCAGAAACTTAGGGATCGTCCTGCCTCCTCTGCAATGTAGAAAAAGATGGAGGTCGATCTGCTCTTCGGTTGACCATCCTCCCTTGAAACGTGAACCCCCGAGGAATGAGATAAGGCTGCCAAGGGAAATCCACAAACACGACTCTATTGACAACAGATTACTCTATTGCTCTATTGACAACGTATTACCTTTGCAGGCAAAAAAAGGCTGTGGCAAACTTACTGGCTACTTTCAGTCGCGTTCTCTGCTTCCACCTTTATGCGTACAGCCCAATCCCCCCCATATCCAGACCCATCTTCCCAGCTTTTCAAAAAAGAAGTGGTTAAAGTTACACCCTGATCCAGTAGCTCCTGCAACAGAAATCTGACATTAATTACGAGAATCAATGATGCGTTTGTTCTAGTTTTTACTCTCAGATTTTTGGGCAGGTGCCATTTTAGCTGTTGCAGCTGACTTTGTGATCAAGAGATATGACTCTCGTCGGTTCCTTCGTCAATAGTTCACCTGTCGTCCATAGGTGGAACCGTCATGTCGAAGCCACCCGTATCTGGCGAGCTTGTCGGATTCTTCACATGTATGGCGAATAGCATAACGCCCGTCCTTGACACCGAGCCACATCAATCCAGCCAGAAGAGATTGTGGAGTTCTGCACCGGAGAGCAACTATAAAGTCAAGACTCAGAAACCTGAACAACACTCATAAGGAACATTATGGGTCTCAACCCAGACCTTTAACATAACCCGCTTAATTCAAGTTGAAGAAGATTTTTTAGAAATTCTACTCACCGACTACGAATTCCAAGGTAATTTTGTGGTCGGTAAGTTCCCCAAAACATTCGTTCGCGATACTCCCCTTTGAACTGCACAGACTCAGAACAAGAATCTTCTGCGTTATTTGTTTGGACTTTCGAAATAACATAACGAATGTTGTAAGGTCACTCTTGGTGGAGGATGCTTCGGTAAGTGCATAACTCTTGAGTAATGTGTTTTCTTGAAAAGGAAATGTGCCAAGCTCACTGCTGATTCGGTTCATGAAAGAGCAGCTAGTCAGAACACGTTAGTGAAAAATAGATGCAAACCATCCATACGACTTTGCATACTAAAACTTTTTGCGCTATGAACTAAGAGGAACTTTCATGAGAACCTACGAAAAATGAGAGAATTTTCAAAGTATTCATTCAAGACAGTCACAATCCAGGATCAAGCAAAAATCCACTTCTTTTGGGGGCATAAAAAAGCATCAAATTGCGATCATGTACCTGCTTTAGATCAGAAACTCGGGGAACAGGCAGGGGAGTGACTGCCCTAGGCCTCACAGGCTCCTCCATTGCTGGAGAAAGAGCCCCTATCCAGTAAAGCGCTGCCACTCCCAGAGCAACAACACAAATCCCAAGAAGAAGTGCTGTACTTCCTGGACATACTTTCCTTACAATGCCGCCTCTTTTACTTTTTGGAGGTCTCTTCGCATTATTTTTCCCGGAAGACTTCAAATCTGCAGATGAGGACGAAGCATCGGTGCTAGCTCTCCTGCGTTCCTTCATGACTTTGCCTACCAAAAACACGTCAATGTTCGACCTTTCGCAGAAGAGAAAGACGATCAACCATCAATTCCGCTCCCGATCAGATCCTTTGTAGTACATCGACGGACCGATCTGACGATGAAATCGCGCACCGGATACAGAGATTTTACTACGACGCAATTGCTTGCTTCGAGGTCCCCATGCAGATAATTATAACGCAGCTCTAGATACGATCCAAGTTCTACAATTCTTTACTTGCCGATCGTGAAACCAGAAGCCCACAACATTGCGATGGTTGACAATTGGTAGCCCATTGCGATTCGACTTGTCACGGATGCTCTGTCTCAGTGTCGACCACCTTGTCCGCGGATGCTCTTCTTCGTCAACGCCGTTGCCTTGCACCGGCGGTCGAGCCAACTTGGCAGAACCAGCGCCCAGCTAGATTTAGCGCACCTCCTCCAAATGTACTGAACCACACGTCGGCAACGTTGTGTTCGCAGTCGTGTCATCTGACCATGCACATTACGTCGTCTGCATTGGACCAAACCAGCGCATGGACGGACCCGGACGACGTTCTTTCCTGCACTTCGATCGACACCACTTACCAGACTACACTCGGCAATCTTATCCGGTAAGCATTCCTGCATGTATGTAAATCCATCTCGACTAATTCTACTGTTCTCCTTACCCTCTCTCAACATCTTTATTTTTGAAAGGCGACCACAAAAAGGATGAAATTAAAGGTAAAGTAATTGTTCTTATGCAAGTGGAAGTATATTATAATTGAATACTGTATTTGAGAACCTCAAATTCAGGTCTTTTCTTCAAGATGGTGATTTTTCAGCTAAAATTATCTTCATAGCATGATCTGGGCATTCTCATTTGATGAATGCCAAGATCATGCTATGAAGATAATTTTTCCTTATTGCTAAATAAAAATAAAAATTCTAGATCTTGCGTTTGATACTTTTGTCTTTTTAAATAGTAAAAACTACTCAAACTTGGAATTAGTTAATCTAGGGAGCGCTAATTATACCTCAATTAAGGTTAATTATACCTCATCCTACTATACTAGATGAGGAATAAGTTGACAATTGGCCAAGTGAATGATTAGTTAATAATAATAGTTGGATAATTAGCTAAGTGGTTGGACAATTTCTCGATCTGCTCTTGCTGGTAACAATTCATCATGCTCATGCATAGTTCTCAACTGTGATCAGGCAAGGCTCGATAGCCTCTCGATCGGGCCCAAAATGATGAAGTTGAGGAAGACCTCGTTAAGTTTGAAGCTTAGCGGTACTATGGCTGGAATTTAGATAAGCGCCTATCAGTGGAAGTAAGAATTTTTCAAATTAAGATTAGACTGGTTTGAGCACGATGGTGGTGTTTCACACAAATGTTGGACACAATCGCCATAGACTTTGAGCCGGTCTCCAGATAGATTCTCGGCAAATTGAAACGAGAATACACATGAACAATCGGGGATGCTCTTCCTCCTTGTGAATGTAGAAGCAAAGTGAGGATTTGCAAAAGGAGAGTAGGAACACGCAAGTTGGTGAATCAGCCTCTGATACACTTTGCTGATGCATGGAAGAGAAGACCGAGACGACGAGGAGAAGAGGTTAGCAGTAGCGGACCATCAGGCGTGGATCACCTCCAACTCTCAGTTCTTGACAAAGTTCAAACCTAATAACTACGCACTTGGCTAATTATTTCTCACCCTAGTTAATAGTATGAGGGATAATTAGCCTAAACTAAAGATAACTAGCCGTTTCCTTAAATCTAATATTGATTAAATTTGTGTTATTAAAAAAATATTCTAGTAATATCATGTGTTTATGATAATATTGGTCACATTATCTGCTCATGATCTAAAATAAGAATTCATTAAAATTTGAGAAATATATTATCATACAAACTACATCGCTAGCATGCCCTAATCACATACAAAGATATCATAATCAAATTAACATGTGAAGACTCCATTGTTCTTCAGTATACCATCAATGTTTGGGATGTGGCATGGCGCATAGTTGCGCACATGATCATTTCAAACAACACCATCACAACCTTTCAATATGAATACTCCAGAAGATAACACCTTCTGCATTCGTAAGATATTGCGTCATGCCGACACATACATTATCTACTCGGTGAAGTCTGCTGTAAATAGATTCGTAGATTCCTCACATGGAATCTACAAATCGATGGTTGATAACCTCTTTCTTGGATGATTGCATAACGCAATGAATATCTATGTTGAACAATTGCAAGGTTTTCATACGCTACAAGCATAACATTCCGAAAGAGCTCTACACGTTGTGAACACATTCTCACCTACATGTCCGAGTCATCAAGATTCACCACGTCACTAGACTCGCAACGAATCACTGTCGACAGGTTTGTATCTCGGCCGTACAACAAGAAATATGATGAGAAGGAAGCCAAAGATGTTTGACAACTAAATTGATATTCCATGACTAACCATGGTAATTGAATATTCAAGTCTCCAAGATGTCCCTTCTGTAGGACATACTTGTGCAACGCCCTCTTCATCATCTGTACAACACGTTCAACCAAACCATCTGCCTGTTTATGATCTCGAAACGTGGTCCGATGATTAATCAACGTCTTGTTACATAAGATCTGAAACTCTATACTCTGATCGATCAACACTTTAGTTAGTGCATCAAAATGATTGAGCATACTGTGAAGAAAAGTTTATGATGTTCCCTCACTCGCCTTGTCGGGTAATGCATAATCCACTTGGAAAAAAGCTTCCATCACTATCACCAACACATACCAATGATGTCGTACAAGCAAAGTTCAAACTTCAACGGTAATCCAATCCCATGAGAGGTAAGGAAGTAACTCTAGTATTGGAATATTGAACGATGTACTCATTTGATCACAAATCATGTTATGTGATACCAATTGATGTACTTGAATATACAGACCACATCATCAATACTAACCAAGGAGTAAATTGTATGTACGCGTCATTCCAAAATGTCCCAACTCCTCATGAGCATGCCACATGATGCACACTTTTTGAGCTGGATGGAGTACCGCTTGTACCCTACCGTCTTCCCACATTCGGAGTATATGTGCTTACTCAACTAACACACAACTCTCTATCTACCAATCACACGGATGTGTTGACATGGCACTTTCAACTAACACATTTACTCTTTATTTGTCAAACAGGCAGATTGCTGACGTGGTAGCTATGACTTGTACACGCTAAAGTAACTATAACTTTGTCTTGCGTAACCTCTATTTTGATTCTAATTAACTTAATATGATTATATTATTACTTTAGATGCAATTTTGGAATTTACTATGGAGATCTAATGTATTGAATGATAAATGTAAGATTCACATGGAAATAACATCACAATTATTGCAGTAACAAAATTTATATTAGATCTATGTTTGTTTCAAAGATACAAAATTACATCTCAATTCACTTATACATGATGATCGTACATTCTACATATGATAGATAGAATTCATAAATATCTATATTTTCATTTGATTAGCAAATGTGGAGTTAACAATCAAGATATGAGGTTTGAAGGTTTTGCATGGTAAATGATTGGCACTAAAGATGTAAATTTTGACATATTCATATGAAAATGAGTAATAATATACTTGAGTTCACAACAAAGTTATCATATAATTATTAACCACTATCAAATTTAAATGAATTATCAGATCAGACATTGCAACATTAAAAATTTATGCTAATCGTTAATTAAATTTGATTAATATTTAACAAGTATGTGGATTTATCATATGATGTTCTTAAGTAACACATTTCATTGTTACTTAAGAAGTACACAGATTTTTATTTTTAACTACTATATTCAATCTTTTTGTAACAATTAGTTGTATTGGTGATGTGTTGTTTTTTAATCACACTCAATCATTAATAAATACAAATATAAATTGGTTGTTTATCGTTTCAATTAATATTCAGTCTTTAACCAATACATAAATTTTTCTCATATGTCAATTCTATCAGATACATTTTTCATGAAAATTAAATTGAATTACATATATGTTATGAAATAAATTTGTTATTATTAAATAATTAAATGATTTTTGACATATAACAGAATTATTGAACATACTCAAAATTGAAAAAAAAACGAATTTGAATCTAATAGAAAGATAACAATATTGATACAACATGCAGAATTATTTTTGCAAACAATTTACTTCACACTTAAATCCATATCTATCTAGCCTTCAAGTGTAAAAGTACTCAGATTGTAAGTATGTGGCATTTGAAATTGGCTACAATAGATGCAATGTAATAATGTACTACTACTGTGTTGGAAAAGTATTTGACAATATTTGGATATAGAAAACAAAGACAATGGTAACATTTTAAAGTAGCTCTTTCAAACCTTCTTGGTGTTCAAAGGAACGTATAACTTGCGGAAGGTGTAATTGAAAAAAAATTCTTGCGGTTTTCTGCGGAGGGATCCGTATATCTAATATTGTATTGGTGAAAAAATTATCCAGATTGAAAAGATTATTCAGATTGCAGTCTGGAGACCAAGCCGTCGCCCACATTTGTCAATTGGTGCTGAAAATCGGTCATCATCGAATATTGATTGACTTATGAAATCCGGATTTGTATCATCTAGATCCGACCATTGCAATCCCCTTTAGAAAGAATTGGGACCAAATAAATAAAGCAGAAACGATGGTAATACCCTTCAATGAGTATAGGGAAACACGGGGCTTGACCCTAATGGCCACGTAGACGGAAGTATTTCGGATTGCACTTAACATGTCATAAAGTATGTACGTCCACGTTCTTAAAAGGACCCCATCGAACTATGAAAGTCAAACGCCCTTAGAACATTCTTACACGCGTTTTAACAAGTTTCACTATGGTGTCTGTCCTGCGAAGGTACGTATAAAAGCAGAGAGAGTGAGGAGATCATGGGTTCGGAACCCCATTATTTCATGATTCCTACTGCAGGTCTCCACTGCAAAACCATGTTACAAGATCTGAGTGACTTCGAATTGTCATTCGAAGTCCGGTCGACGAAAATTGATTTTGTAGATAGTGAGGCTCTGAGAGGCAAATTTGGATGGATACTGAGTCAGAGTAACGTGTTCATTGTGATATTTAACCGACAGTGTGAATATATTCATGGATCCGAAGTTGATCGGCCGAGAGGAATTCCAGTGGTACGAAGCGAATTTATCAAACCCATACTCTATGCCCTCTGAACATTCTGCGTTTAGTATGGCTGTTAATGAAGATCGTCATCGGCAGAGGATTATGGTTGATACAACGCCGGAAGATTAGATAGACGTCACGTCTGACTGGAATCTTTTTTACTTAGTTTATTCAGTAATCATATGGAGCGCACATCTACATCATCTGACACATTTCAGGAGTGATAAAGCTATAGAAATTTCGTAGGTTGTACTTGTTAGACGTGCTTGAGTGCGGATTTCAGTCTTAAAAGACTAACTCCTCCTACCACCACTGGATGATATCCAAATAACGAGGTTTGTCGAACCGCCGATGAGAAGACACGATTCAGTTCCCTTTACGAGACTCGGGCATTCACAACACAAAATCATGCCGCTGGAGAGAGGACCTTGAGAATACCGGCTGACTCTTGTATGTGGTGATTCCCCAAGTCTTATCTTGACTATGAAGCTGCAGTCTCTCACTGGAGCTCGTAGATGCCTTCAAGCGCATCGGGACATGTGTACGAATATAGTGATTGGTATAATATTGTAAGACGTGTTAGGTCGAGTATAGTACGAAAAGATGAGTAGTACTAGTCTAGACTAAACCCGCAGCTTGAAGGTCGATCACGGAAATGTGATACACGAGGCCTAGATCTAAGCAGCATGATAAGGGAGGAACTAAACTGACAAGTCGGAAGTCAACCTGAGGACTATGATGACTCACGCGACTGTACTTAATAATAACACCAACCATTTGCAGCTGCTTGGGGTACAGCAATATTTACTAAATGATCAAAATTCGACATGAAGCTTGACCTGTACATGTCAATATGTGACAAATATCTCTCGAAATTCGGTGCCTCGAAGATAGTCGAGAAAGTCAAGACACAAAGTATATGGTTTCTGAAAGAATCGTCCTTGCCACAATGTGATGGGGTCGTCAACGCTCAGATCTAGAGAGAAGGTGCAATCTCTTCGTGAACTCCCTCGACTCTCTCTCTCTCTGCTGTAACTGGTAAGCTGCATCCCTGAGCGTGATTAACGCTAGAGAAGACGAGAGAATTATCGACCAAGTTGATCAAACATGCTGATACTCTGCATCTTGTCATCCTTCTGACCACTGAGGCCGGACGCCCGAAACTCACTGGCGGCGAGCCCACGGGTGTAAAAGTACGCCATGAAGGACCTAAAACACTTGTACCAGTAAAGAAAGTAGTTGCAGGAGATGAACAAGAAGAGCCTTCTTTGGAAGTCACGCTCCCGCTTATAAGGAAGGACGCCGTAGGAGACTTTTGTTGTGACAGTATCCACGAGTACCGGAAGTCACAGTCCAGGGCCAAGGCAGATGTTCGAGCTTAAAGGGTCCTTTCTGGAGGCTGAGTCCAAGAAAACGGCAACCATTCCATGCTCGCTGACGAGCTTCCTTCGTAGCACAAATCGGACGAATTCACCGAGTCCCGCCCCAGCTGCTGACTTTTAGCCTGTCCGATCAAGCGGGCTGTTCCTCATCTAAGGGGATCGTCACTGCTCTTCTCGGTCTTTACCATCGTTCTAAGCGGATGTTCGACATCCCAGCGCCTTGTTTACAATAGTTCGGACAAGTGCAGTGGTCCACTACAGCTCCGTACATTCATTGACTCATTCTAGAAGATGACATCTTTTCTCTTCGTGAGTCGTCTCTTGATAGCTCGGCGCTCTTTGGCATGGTGCCTCGGACTCGTTCAGTAGAATGTCTTCATTCTAGATACACCTGAACGGAATTCATGCACAACGGAACGAGATTCAATCTTCGACAACCATCTTGTAGAATGCTTCCCGGCAAGCTTTTTCATGTTGTCACACTGATCGGAGTTTTGATTATGCAGTGTAGAAATTCAAGGGTAGATGCAAATTTTACGATGGGAACCATGGATTCGCCTTTCGACTGTAGCGAGGACGGAAATTTATGGTGTGAAGGAACGGCCAGTACAGAAGATGGTAATTTGGTTCTCACTGATTTTCAAGAGTCTCAGGGATTGGTTTTGAGGAGGGATCCCATCATTCTGCTGCAGAATGGGACTGGTCGATGGGATTCTTTCAGAACTTCCTTCCGCTTTACAATGAAACCCGGTGGCGATGGCATTTCTACTTTCAATGGCGATGGGATGGCGCTTGTGATGCTCAATGTTTCGCAATACGATAGACGCATGGGAGGCTCTTTCGTCGTGTACGGGAATGAGAACGTGCCCCAAGTCAAAACTCTGGCAGTCGAGTTCGACACATATTGGAATGCGGAAGATGAAGACGACGGTGATAACCACGTCGGAGTGGACACGGACAGTCGGATTTCGAAAGTGGCGAGGGACGCATCAGAAGTGAACGTCGAGCTTCTGGGAAATCGAACATTGTTCGCTTGGGTGGACTTCGACTCACCGACGAACATGTTGGAGGTGAGACTAAGTTACAACTACTCCAAACCTGGGCGAGCCTTATTATCTTACGAGGCGAACCTCTCCGATATCTTCGGTCGAGATCCCGAAGTGTACTTCGGGTTTTCAGCATCAAACGGATTGCCTGTAGGAGGACAACATTCTGTCATGGAGTGGAAGTTCGAGTCGTTTCCTGCAAAGTTTGGCGACTTAGAGCTGAACGAGACTCCTGCATCAGCTCCTGCTGAATCATCTGGAAACTGGAAGAAGGTGGCCCTCAATGCATCACTGGGAACCTTAGGTGCAGTCGTTCTGCTTTCAATCTTGGTATTCCTGGTGTGGAAACGGATTCGAAGGTCGACCCCTGAGTCCGCAGACTCTGGAACGAGAGCCTTGGCACCTGCAGCAATCCTTCTCGAAGATACGTCTGCCACAGTCCGGTACACGTACGACCAACTGAAAAAGGCCACTCTCCACTTCTCAGACAGGAACAAACTTGGTCAGGGAGGATTCGGAAGTGTGTACAAAGGCCTTCTGCCGACGACAGGCCAGATGGTGGCCGTGAAGAAAGTGAGTAAGGCCTCGAGGCAAGGCGACCGAGAGTTTGCGGCTGAAGTTTCCATCATCAGCCACCTCCGGCACCGAAACATCGTTAGACTTCTGGGCTGGTGCAGACACAGAGCTCAGTTGCTTCTGGTGTACGAGTACATGCCGAATGGAAGTCTCGACAAGGCTCTTTTCGAGCCCACCCAAGAGTCGGTGCTGTCGTGGAATGTCAGATTCCAAATCATCACAGGTGCTGCGGAGGCTTTGTGCTATCTTCACGAGGGCTCTCGCCAGAAGGTGATCCACAGGGATTTCAAGCCCAGTAACATATTACTCGACGAGGATTACAATGCCATGTTGGGGGATTTCGGCCTGGCTCGCATGGTGGATCGTCACAAGAGTCTTGCCACCACTCTGCTGGCCGGAACGTACGGCTACATCGCTCCGGAAACACCTTCCACGGGCAAGTTTACGCAGAAGACGGACGTGTTCGCATTCGGAGCCGTGGCCCTGGAAGTTGCTTGCGGAAAAGTGGCTTACAGTGCTCAGCGTCCGCACGAGGAAAGGCTGCTCGTAGATTGTGTGTGGAGAGCCTTCACCGATGGAAGGCTGATGAGCGTCGTGGATCCGAGACTGGCAGGCAATTACGACCCGGAGAAAATGGAAACCTTGCTTCTTCTGGGGCTGTTGTGCTCGCATCGGTCACCTGAAGAGCGGCCTTCAATGCGAAGAGTGGTGGAGATTTTAGCAGGAAGTGTACAACTGCCCCCGATCCCGACGTCCATCTATGTATATAACGAGCATAGTCAATTTCGATTTAAATCTGTGGCCTACTCATCGTCATTGTCTAGTATGTGGGACAGTCACTCCGATTCCTTCAAGAGAGATGCAGATTCAACGTCCTTCTCTTTCTCCCATTCTTTTTCGCGCTCGATACCCTCCACCGGGCATTCAGGCTATGACCTTCACGTTCAAGGCAGCGGCAGAGCTCTCGCTCAATCAGCTGTAGAAGAGGCTGCTTAGCTAGGACGTGGTTGCTGTGAGTGTGAATTTTATATGCAAGTTGGGCCGACTCCGATTGGATATGGAGCTGTAAATACAAACTGGTGTACATAGACATGTTGACAAGGTTGTACTTTAATGGGGATTTATCCACGATGACTCACCGTGATGTTTTGGGACCAAACGAATTCTCTTCTCATGATTCAAGTCTCATAGTTTCCTTCAATAGTTTGAGATATTCGTTGGTGCATGCTTGAGGGTCGGCTGCATTCTCGCGGCATGGAACGATGGCTGATTCGTTCGCCACAGGTGATGGGATCGAAATTTATATAATTCACGATAGACTTTTACGTGCTTTCGGCAAGTTTCACACCGAGTTTATCGGATCGCTACGAATCGATCTACCAGTACGTTAGCCTGCGTCCCTCCCGTGTAGTCGTGCTCTTGAGCGAAGCGAAAGTCGACGATTACCTTCGCTCGATCAAGACCATGGCTGTACGGGAGGATTAATTTGATGGGAAAACCCCAGCCATGTGTACGTTTGAAGAGAGAACAGAAATCGAATTACGCACGTCGCATTTATGATGATCCACGGTCTTCGATCATGGTCCGGGGTAGACTGAATTGGAAGGGATCCCTTTGTAATACACGATGAGGATCGGCCTTGGGAACGGCTGTCCATGAAGGACGGTCGAGCAAAATAACTCGATATAGTAACTATTTACATGGTTTGAGGTGGGGCTGCATGGTGGATGTGTTCTGCACACGACGAATATTGTAAGAGTGCTGTCCTCGGGGCTCCGCATCTCTGGTATGTGGTCAAGTACGGCGGAATTAGCTACCAGTCATCTTTCTCGAAGTCTCAATGTTGAACTTTGACAAATTGTTCGCAGTTGGATTGACTCGATGTATTTTAGTCGATACTGTAGATACGTGAACGATTCTAGCACTTTGAGACGTGTTGCAGTGACGAGTCCTAGCTTTAGGTGGTTACATACTAATCAGATTTATCGCTTCAGCGCGAACGTTCTTTCGTAGATTGGGAGGAAAAATTTCTCCTGATCCATATTCATTATCCAGCTGTACTGCATCATGTGCATTATCCCATCAAACCAGCACTCTTCTAAGAAGTCTATTTGACACTGAAGAAAAATGTAGCGCCATATAGGAAAGACACCTTGGTGGCTTGACTCGGACGAATGTAGGCTATGTCACATACATCAGACTTGTTGACACTGGGAAAATCTTTTGAGTCTTGTGTGGCCCACAGTCACGTACATAGTTAGCAAAACTTATCAGGTCAATGGTACATTCTCCTTCAAGAATGCATTCTGTTTGGATTCTGTATTTCAAATTTTGTTGGCCACATATGTGTGGCATGTCAATAGGCAAAAGTATCCAGGAATGTAAATGATGTGAACTACTTTTTAAAGACATTCTTGAATTGGATTTCAAGAAAGGAGGCTGTTCGTGGAAAGTTTAAAGAGTCTCACCTCGTTCCACACGTTCGTGCCCTTGACTTGTAGGCTAACAAGACTAGAACATACCACAGTCGTGATGGGCTATGCAGGACGCGGGGTCTCCTGAAAGTAGCGAGTTGACTGAATCTGAGCGTAAACGCGCTTCAGCCCCCACCTTCGGTTGTAGTAATTTGTAGTCCTCCTTATTTTTTTCAAGCATTTCGAAGATCAGATCAAGTGGTCAGCAAGAGAATCGAAACATGGAGTTTCTTACTGCTCTGGAATCACATGACGGACAATTCCCAGATCGTTCTGCCGTTTATTAGTTGAGGACATCAGAGAATGTCATTAAGACGTTAAGAGATTGCTCTAACATTTTCGTTTACATTGCTGGTAACTAACATGAAGTTTTGCGTCGAGATTTTGGAGAACCCTTGTTTAGACATGTGGGGTGGAAACTACATGTAAACAGGGTTCAGAGAACTGAGAATTGATACTTGCATAATTTATTTACCAATTTACGATATTAAAAAATTCTTGAGTGGGATGTCCGTTAATCTCGTCTGAAAGCATCTTACCTTAATGTGATTGAATTATTGTTGACAATATTGTTCTCAACGCAGATGCATCATCCTAAACTTTGATTTTCATTTTCATTTGGCAATATCTGGCTATGCGCAAACATTTCTCTTACTTTGATTGTTTTGCGATATTTTGTCAATTTTATGGGGGAAACCGCAGTGGTTGTGAAGCTCTTAGTACAAGATGGTGTGATATAAAAAAGGGATAAAATATTAGACTGTTGGCTCTATCCAACTGAGCTAAGAATGCAGTACTTTAATAACCATTTCGCAAAATAAGAGTGTAATCCGGAGAAGCTTGCTTCTGTCTTCTCTCCCGCTTTATTCGCATCGCCAATGAAGGCTGAAATAGCTAGCTTCACTGCAGTCATTGCCTTGAAAACCCAGTGCTTCTGTAAGGGCCAACAGCTAGAACTTGTCCTGGGTTCATTATATATACGACCTAAGTTCTTGCGGTGGCCAAGACTAAAACATTAAATTGACTGTTGTATTTCCACTCTACGGATCTCGGCCACCTTGCTTGGTAACCCGCAATTAGACTGTAGCAATCAACATATGGGAAATCATGATCATACAAAAATTGACGAATATTTTACTCTCCATAGGATGTCAATTGTGCAATCCCAGAAACATAGAGCCCATCAACAAGATCACATGAATCGCTTTGACTTTGACTGTCTATTCGTAAACGCTTTGACTTTGACATTCTATGTCAAAGTCAAAGCGTGACTATGTGAGTAAGATAGTAGTCATTTGTGGCTTTCATCATTGTCGAGTTTTTTCTTCCACACGAAATCATCTTGATTTAGATTGGCAGTATGCTGAGTTTTCGGATCTTTCATCCTTCCTGCTGGAGGGCCTGCATGGGTGCTTCATACCTTCGGTGTTCGGTTCGGTGTAGACGACGTGCTCGAGCTTCCCTGTGCATAGATCGTTGCATGGAGGAAAGTTGTACGAAACCATGTCTCCGACTGCTTCTGAGCAAACTACGGGCTGTGGTCCCATTGATCGTAGTTCTCTCGCTTTGCCCAAGAGACAAATATGAACGCGGTTGTGATTACAAAACAGGGAACCTTACGGTCGCCTTTGTAGCTGAGACGTAATCCGAATGGTGTGGACAGCGCAGCATCTGAGGATCTGATTTCCGCTCCGGATGTGAAGTCTCATGATGAACGATCTTAGCTGGCAGGCCATGGTTGGCTCCTGTCGACGCCCCATTATTTTACTCGAATTTCTCATATAGGACTGGTTGTAGATTGCAACATTTCTTCTAGCGGTGAAAGGAAGGCAGCTGTGCTACTCATCGTTGCCCAGAACCATGGAGTCTACCGATCGAGGTTCTTTAGGCTGTCACGACTACGGTTCATAGTTCGTGCCTCATGTATCCATCATCCATCCGCTAGTAGCCGCACCAATATTATCTTCTGACTTGGGTTGGTGCTGTCAAAGAGACAAGCTACTACTTGTCTATGGTTACCCCTGGAAGTCTAATCAATACTCATTCCCACCCGATGGAAGAGTCAGTTCTGACGTCACGTCAGACACAAGATCCAGACGACTGCTGTAAAATCCTTCAATGAAAATGTTTATTCAATATCTTGTAACTTTAGCGCAAAGAGGACTGTGCAGTAGGACGTCTATGATATGGTCGTTGTAGGTGGTGAAGCAGGTGATTCACTTCAACTTCAAAACCAGTAATTTAGAGCCACCTTGGGGGATTCGGTTAATCTACTTGTCACCTTAATAGAGGATGGATTCGGCGTAGAACTACTGAGATACTGTGGGAATCTCTCAGATAGAAAAGGATTTTTCTGCATCTGGAGGGAAAGTCCATGACATTCCTTGCGGAAGAAAAGCTATTAGTCCGCGCCTGCCATAGCATGTTGAAGTCGGAGGGCTGTTGTGCTCTCGTCTAGAGCGGCCCATCAGGAGAAGAGTGAAGCAAGTGTAAAACTTCCCTCTTGCATTCGGTAAGAACACTTCTATAGCACTGAGTGGAAGGAAAATTCCAAGTCGTTTCACGTCTGTGGTATACTCAGCGTCAACATCGTTCAATTCACAGTCATGAGCGTGTATTATAGTGAAGAGTCTCACTTCATGTCGTCTTGACCATCAAACGCGACTCGTTTATTGGAGAAGTGAAGTTTGTGACCAAAATTCGGTTCTATTCGTCAGTGCTCATCTCACACGAGGTTGCTTTACTCGCGGGATTCGGTGTCAAATTGGAGTTAGCTTGGCATGGACCACTTACAAAAGTGTCAAAAGTTGAAGATAGTCAGGAGTACCGCATTCAAATGTAGAGAGTGGTGCATAGATTTAAATCTACGTGAGTGCATTCAACAGATTTATAAGCATAAGTGTTTTCATCCTCTCCAGTCAGGTCGTTGTCGTGGAAAGCTTTCGATAATCTTCTGCAAAGCTTACTGCTTGAATTTCGTCTCGTGCATAAGCAGCAGGTGATGGCCACTGTCAAATACATGAGACGTGAGGCATTTGCCAAAACACAGGTTCACAGGGCAGTAATCAAAATGGGCCGTTTTCAAATCATAATACTAGAGGACCTGTGGTGGAGGAGCTGCTAAGGAGCTGTTATCGAAGACGATGAGCAATTAACGAAGACATTTGTTGTAATTTGAGTTAGATGGGTAAACACAGTTCCTAACTACAAAACACGCCCATAACGTAATCGTAAGAACAGAGTAAAGTCATCACCATCAGCTGAACAAGGACATTCCAAGCAAGCAACTGGGGATGATAGTTAGCTAATATGTCCAACAATCCACAAGCATGAACTTCTTGTGATATTTTACCATCATCTTTGTTTGATTTTGATAGATAGTGTCACACGTACAAAGCGCTTTAGAAAGATCAACATGTAGTTTTCACCTCCTGCTAAAGGGTTGTAGATACGCCCCGATACTAGCTTTATCTTCAAGGTTCCACGTTACGCCTTTTTGTTCTGCAGTGACGCTGGAAGTTGCATCTCTCGAATAGGTGGTTGTCAAGGTCGGCTTGTGGTTCTGGGCTGGGCTGTGAAACTACGGGCTTCAAACATGTTCTCGTTTTAGTTGGAACTCTTACCCCCTGGGGCTTCGTTCTGACACTCTCTCCCAGCAATTTCCAGTCCATTCTGTTTCCTCTCTTTTGCTTGTTTGTGTGGGTGATCTTTCTGGAGCTTGGGTACGTGAGCCACACCTTCGTGGCCATGTTTGATCTTCCAGGTTGTTTCACAGTTCGGGCTTGATGGAATTCTGGCCGATGGAGTTGGTGTCTGATTATTTCTGTAGTTCTTATCTAGGCTGGAAGTTGGCTTTTGCACGGCAGTCTGGTGCTCTTTGGTCCGTTGTCTTTTGCTCGGTTGCTCTTGCTTGTTGTGCACTGCTTTGCTTGCCTGGCGCTGGATTCCGTCTTTGTTTGTAGTAGTCGTTTCTGTTCGGAATACAGTGTTCATTCTAAATCAGTAACTAATTCGTTACTTATCTGCTCCTACACAGCGGTTTGACTATCACGTCGTGCTACACAACGGTGTGACTCCCATGTCATGCTTTCAGAGAGCGTATCTTCTAACAGTTTGATGCTCTTTGATCTCGTCTTTTGCTTGTTTGCTCTTGCTTGACTAGCGCTTGCTTCTGTAGTAACGCTGTTGTGTCATAAATTGAATTCTTACCGTAGTTTATGGTGCTCTTTGGTCCGTTGTCTTTTGCTTCGTTACTCTGGCTTGTCGGGCACTGCTTTATGATACACTACAGGTATATGCAGCCTCAGTATTGAGCACTTTCATGTAAAATGTATGACTGATGAGTATTCAGAATTTAAGTTAGGTCTTTGTTCACTCTAGTTATTCAACATTGGTTAGTGACACTAAGTCAGCTATCGCTGAGTCTATGATAGATTTAATTTTCAAAATATGACATCTTTTGTTTTGGTAGATGTAACCCACTAAAAGTTGAACCAATGTAATATGTGTGTCACTTCCGTTAGCTGGTTTTAGAAAAATCAAATGCTTGCATTTTATTTTTCAAATGTTATAGAAGCTTTTTTTTGCCTCTAGTTGTGGATGCATTTTATATGCATCACGTCAGAATGCTTATTTCAAAACTCACGGCGCCTAGATATCTGCATTAGTAGTGATATATAAAAAATTAAAGTTAAATATTGAATCTTTACACTTAAAGGACTAGATGAAATTTTCTGATCATGTTTGAAAGATGAGAAAAATTTTCATTGGACACATGACCTAGAATTTTATGGAATGCATAACACGTATTGAATAATATTTCAGAAGACACGTATGAAGTAAAAATACTAATTCACTGTGAATATTTTTTTTACAAATCACCATAGAATATAATGATATGAGTTGTTTCTGCCATGAAGCTTGTCTTCTGTATGTGAAAGCGATAAGTGTAAATTCATATTTATAATCATAAATAAGCGATTTTATACCAAACTGTGTCTTCATGGTTATACATTAATTTTGAATATAAAATACAATGAATCGCTTTTTTCTATGACGCAACCATGTGAGCGAGTTTCACATGTAGGTATCCACGTACGCAAATAGAGTGCTCATGGTACATCAACAAATCGCGTACGAACGAATCACGAAGCATGTTCGTCGTGGCCATGATTCTGTTGGCAGCAAAGTGCGAATCTCATCCGAGACAAAATGTTAGAAATTTGGGCCCCCTCGCCACTCCAACCAATCACAGCATCCGTTGGATATCCCGGATTCCTTACCTAGCTGTCCAGACACCTCTTTTGTTCCGATCTACGAGAATATGTCGAAGTCTTCTTCTACCTCTCTTTCCCATCTCAAGTACAAGTCACAGCAGACGCAAACAAATTGACCTCTCTAAAAGAAAAATAATTCCACTCCTCGAACAGAAATTCTCAGAGTTAATGTAACATAGGACTATTTTTGTCAGGCTTGTACTGTGCCAGGTTGCCATTTCGTGTGGCTATCATAGTCCTCCACTCTCTATTTTGCCCGAGGCTTAACAAATTTGAGAACTCTGGTCACAAATTTCTCACTAACTCCAACTAACTAACCAGACCCTAACTCACTTTAACTCTCATAGCTTTTTGAAAGCTAATCAAGAAATATATTTTTTAAATTGTGAAAAATCTAAATTAATGAAGTTGAAAATAAAGTTAACAATTTAGTTAACTTTACTCAACTTTCAGCTAACTTTAGTCAACTCGCTACTCAACAATTGGGATGTATTTTCAAGTACTTTCAACATCTTTTTAAGAGGGCGGCTTGTTATCCATCACCTTAGTACACGGAAGTCATTAATTGGTTCACTTGGTTTATAGGGTATGTGTGGGAAAAATAAACTTTGCAACTTTTTAATCTTTTTTATGAACATCAAAGATGTCTTCGTGGCAAAAGCCACGGAGTAACCATGACTGGCAGCTCCAGGTGCGAGTAGCCACGTCAAAAGCTTAATGTCGATGGAGCTGATTGCAAAGATAACTCTGCAATCGTGTTCCAGCTTCACAAAGGCCTGCAAATCCGTGAAATCTACAGTGCTCAATATCGTTTTGGCACCGCAGAAGGTTGCGTGGTGTGGAGGTAAGCCATTTCGTAGGAACACCAAAATTGAGTACCGAGAAGGCGGGACGCAAGAGTTTGCTCAGCGTGTATGCAGTGACGGACAGAGTGGTGGGACAAAGAAATGTGAAAGGTATGTGGTTCCGTGTGCGATGTCCGTCAAGGAATATGCAAATTTTGAACTTGCTGGTTTTCTCATGATTTTTGCTCTTTTGAATTTGATGTCGAAGATCAATCGTCTCAGGCGGAGACGTCGCAGCTCAAATTGTAAAGCAGAACGTCAAATTCATGGATGTTTTTTGGGATATAGAAATCCTAAAGGGATCTGGGAGCTCGCTAAGGCCCGAGCAACGACGAGAATTCTGTGAGTTCAATTTTGAATTCGCCGTTATGGACCATGCTACTTGTAGATATAGAAGAAACAAACGTGATCTTCATCGGGAGTGAAATCAGTGGGTTCTTTTCTGGAGGACTGCTTGCACGCAAGGGAGACAAGGTGCTGGTGTTGGAGAGCCACACGATCGCCGGAGGATCAGTGCATTTGTTCGATATTGAAGATTTTCACTTCGATTCGGGACCTTCTTTGTTCTCGGGACTCACCTCGAAAGGGATGCATGCGAATCCTCTAACCCAAGTGCAAGAAGCTCTCAATTGCACATTCGGAATTCCATCCCAACCCAACTTGATCAAATCCGATGGTCTCATAGCGTAACCTACTCCTTTCCAATCGTTGCATCAGTCGGACGCAGATCTCATTGGTCTCTGATGGCGACTGGGTGAGAGCATCGAGTGCGTGAATTACGACGACTGGATGGTTTACGTTCTCGATGGCACATTTTACTCTGCCTTGGCTCTTGGTTCCTCAGTGGTTTTTGTCACGGAGACATTAGAAAAACTGGAAACTCGTGAAGTTTATTTTTCCCACATAGACCTTATAAACTGAGTGAACCAATGCGTGAAATCCATTTAGTACGATGAGTGCTAAGTAGCCCCATGCTAAGTAGCCCCATGTAAGGGATAACTAGTCGCTCCCTTTTTAATCTCGAGAAAAAATTACTTGATAAGATCCCAACACAAAACCGTTACTTGGATCCAACACATATTATTTTAATCGATGGGATCTCTCTCTCCATACGGCTACCGTCATCCATGTTATAGTTAAAGTTCTTGTAATTATGGCAGCTATAGTGTAAGGGAGGGACTACTATCATCCAGATGCAGTTTGCTAGATTATCTCGAGCAGGCGCTGTGAATGAGATCTAGTACATTCGTATGTATGGAGTATGGCAAGACGCAATTGAACATCTAGAGCCAGAGTTGGAGTTAAAGGTGCCGCAACTCTTAAGCAAACAAAGTATTGAATTTTAGACCAAGCGTTGCTTAGTTGGTTGGTTGATCGAGCAACCGAGATGAGTGATATGTGGACGGAAAGACTCTGTGCTTGCCCATTGAGTCAGAAAAATTGTGTAAATTTTGAGATCTAAGAGCTCGTAATCTGGAAAGGAGGGGAAGACGGAGTCAACTAGAGCAGAGTAGGAAGAATAAATGGTCAAGAATTATGTTCACCGTTCTGGCATGGAAGAACGAGAGAGACAGATAGCTCAAGGCGATTGGATTCTTGTTGCTTAAGCCTACAAGAAGAATCGCGCTCTCAAACACCTAGGTGGTCACGAGCATACTCTTTCTTCTACATAGCCAACCAGCCTAGCGAATGATCGAGTGATCATTCATCCAATTCTGGAATTGATCGTGGACTTGGTTGTTGAAACCGAACGTAAAAGAGAAGATTAAGGAGGAGCATGTATGCTTCAAAATTGTGCATGTTGCCCCTGTAGAAAATCTTTGATGCTTCTTGTATCCTTGAATTTGCATCTCCAAAGATTCAGCTAGATCTCTTTTACTCGCCTTGCATTTTGATACGAGAGAGAGCCAAAGAGGAATGCAAGAAACGAATCCGCACAATTTCTACATGGTGGAGTACCATCGGATAAAATCATACGTGTTGGATATTGATAAGTTTTTGTGTTAAACATGGATTACATCAAGTAATTTTGTCTAATTTTACTAATAATCATTCAACTTTACAGAGTTTATACTTATATAATTAATATTTTAGATCAAAATAACAATCACATGAGGATGATGTGATAACAAAATTCATATTTTGATCAATTTTGACATGTCATAACATTGATAAGACTTCAAGACACATACTCTTGAACCTTTTTAATCTACACTTTGTGACAAATACCCAAAAAAGAAAAAAAATTTGATGCTGATTTTTTGTATCTAGTTGAAGCTAAAATAATTACAAAGAGAGATTAATCCAATTATTGAGATATGTTGTTGTTTAATAGAAAATTTTGCATCAAGAAGTTGTGAAGTTAGTTTCATCAGTTTTTAACATCATAATTAATGAATTTTGGTGTTAGAAATGGATGTATCATTGTATAAAAGTCATCAATTGATTAAAAGAAAATTTCTATTTCATAAACAAAATTTTAAGAAATCTACTTTGACATAAATATATCACTTTCAGAACATTATATAACAAGGAATACCCAATTGCATTTGATTTCATTAGCATCTTTGGAATTTAAATATTTCCATCTAGTTTTGAAGTAGTAAAAATATGTCTATACTTAGCTATATCAAAATTATGTTTATTGTTGACAACTCATATACAACTTGTATTGCAGATAAAAAACATCAATATAGATGAACTTGTGCAAAAAGAAAAACCCAATATGAATGTATATTTATCATATGAAAAATAATTTAATCAATATCGTTTTTTACGTATTTCTTTTAAATGATTGAATTATGTTTCATCATAAAAAAATAATTCGTCAAATAAACCAAATCAATGTAATCCGCATTTTACATCACCTCATGAGTTTATTAAGAAACATTGAAAATCAATTTTGAAATTTTTTCAATCTTCAAATCAACACCAATCATTTGTAAATTTTTTTCTAAAGTTATTAGAATTTTTACTCAAATAAAAATTCATAAATTTTTTAATATATTATTTTAACCTGCTTGCATTGTGTATGTTTTCTCTATTTCCACATTAAGTCTGTTTTTTTATCTCATTCCATTAAAGTTAAGATCAATCGCAGATTATATAATAATCTTATACACTGCATCTAGTATCACGTATATTGAAATTTTGAAACATCCAATCTTAAACATTAACCTTTTCTATCTCTAAGTATCTATCTTGTTTGCCAATCTTTTTAATGACTTCAAATACCACGGAGTGTATTTGCTCTACATCATATCATAAAATAGAGATTAAGGCTGCAAGCTACAATTTCTTCCCAAGTTGCAATTTTCAGCATTACTTACATTACACAATAGCCTCATTCTCAAATTCTTAACTCCAAACATTGTTTTCTGGAAAACCTTTACTTGTATTATGCCTTGACACTACATCTCGAGATGGAATTGTTCACCAATAAGCTTGACATGTCCATTTTGCATTATTTTTTTGCAAAAGTCGGCGGTCTTGCATATGCATCCATGTACCTAGGGATGCTGTTACACAAATGTAACAACCAACCACTGCAGAAACATATGTTTCGTTACACAATAACTCATTTGACACATTTGATATTGTACATGAGTTCCGTACCAACAGTATTGTCATAAAAATATCGACGTGGATTTGCGCCAGTGGGTACGTGACATTCTTGCTGTCTATTTGCAATTTGTCTCCTATTGCTGGTCCTGTGGTTATTTCTTGCAGGCGTGGAGTCCAAGGAAGGGATTTGTGTCGAGCTTGTGTATGCTGGTCGTCCATCGGCAGATTTCAGAATCTAATTCCGTGGAGTTGGAAGGAGGAGCAGCGCAGCGTTCTCAGCGTCAGCGAGAGCGTGTGTGGTGAGAGACCGGGCAAGTACCTGATCGAGCGATGGGCAGGATGTACTAGCTGCTCGCCACGACCATTACCTGTCAGGTTCGTGAGAACTAAACTCGTGTCGACATTTGAAGTGAGGGTGAAGTGCTCACTCTGCTTCCCTACATTCGACGACGATCATGGAGGTCAAAGTCCGATTTCATGTCGTGGTAGTGGTTCCGTAGTGATTTGCAGGGAGGAGAGAGTAGGCTTTCCACTTTTTCTTTGATTCTTTCTCTCGGATAGCTTAGGACGCCTTTTGTGGGACTTCAATGTTTATAAATTCGCGTCTTTTGTACAAATTAGTTCTTCAGAAGTAGGGTTGAGTCATTCTGATTGGTGGCATGTTTTTGGTGTCTTGACTCCTTTCTCTTCAATTGCATGCGTTCTTGGCCTGTTTTAGTCGCCTTTAATTCCACGATACCATCCGATGTACCTTGCTTTTGCTTGTCGTCGCACGGGGGAGAAGAATGAACACACTGGGTCCAGGCAGTGTGTAGGTTGTCACACTGCCTGGGTCCAAATACATCAGGCCAAATTCCTCTGCCTTCCTCCATAATTGTTCAGGCTTGTCACTTCCTGTCGAAGGATCACTGGGGAGAATTGGTGACAAAGGGGATGTTCAAGTTGTGAGGGTGTAATTTCAAGCATCTAGCTAGCAATTCACTTGTTTCTGTGTTTGCTAATTGTTGACTGGATACTGTAGATGTTTGTCTTCAAATTTACTCTAGGTTTGTTAATCTTGGGAGGTTCACGGGATTTGCCGAACTGGAAATTCATGTTGGGAGCAATGTAGAGAACCAGGCAGAGTATGGCTGTTTATTTCAGGAAACACTTTGTCCCGAATCTTGTCTCCTGCTTTGTGCCTGAGTTAGCGGCTGCCGATTTGTCAAGAAATTCATTGGCCTTCTTTTATGCTTATAAGCTGCCCAACATATACAAACACTAAAATCGGAATGGTGTTGTGTATATTGTTCAGATGCAGCAAACTCCGTAAGAAACTTTTACCGGGGAGCAAGACTCTAAGCGATGCCGGGGCTTGTGCGGAGAGACACTGAAGAGGATATATTTGAGTCGTCGCTGAATCTTGAAGGAGCACACTATCAACAGGGATTCGAGGAAGGTTTTGCTGATGGGATCGGAGCTGGCAGGGAGGAGGGCAGAGAGGTCGGATTAAAGTCAGGTTTCCAAGTTGGAGAAGAGGTCGGGTTTTACTCCGGTTGTGCGGATCTCTGGCGAGCGGCTGTGGAGATCGACTCGAGTGCTTTCTCGGCACGAGCGCAGCGTAGTATCAAACAGTTTCAAGAGCTGTTACGCGCATATCCTCTCTCCAACCCTGAGGACGAGCGGGTGCAAGACTTATTAGAGACAATTCGAGTGAAGTTCCAAGCCCTTCTGTCCATGTTATCAATCCACCTGGAGTACCCTGGTCACCCTAAGGCGCGCAGTGCTGATGATGCATCATTCTAGAGATTTGCAGTAGAAGAAGAGGTGTTTAGGTCTCTCGAAAGGCATCAGCTCTGTGAAGAAGGTTGTCAACTGGTTAGAGTCACAATGGCTCAGCATGGAAGTTCTGTGACTCAGCAGCGAACGCTTACCGCCCCTACTCAGACACTAGTTGTTACCCAGACCGTGCAAGAACAGGTCACTGCCCCTGCTCAAGCGCGACAAGAGGCCGTCACTTTAGTTCTGCGTCCACGCAAACAAGTTTCATGGCGAGATGGGACCGTGGACAACGAGCATATGCAGAAGAAAAGCTCCAAAATTTGCTGTGTATTCCACAAAAAGGAATCACTGGAAGATTACAGCGATGATGAAGATAACCAAGTGAAGGAGAAGGGCTCCTGTCATGGACATTCACACAGAGATGATGGATCGGGACCGAGTGGAAGTCACGATAAAAACCCAGAGGAAAATGGTGAAAGTCATGAGAATGTTCCGTCTGCTAACGGAAAGCGGTCGGTTGAAGAATGAAGAACTATTTCTTGAATGATTTTATGGAATAGTGGATTTACTGTTTCTCTACCAACTGAAATTCTAGAGTGGTGGAGATGCTGTCATGTGACAGACGACGATTGTGCAGAAAATCAATTGTTTCACGACTCCTTATTTTTCTGTACATCAGTGGGCGTGAACATCTGCATTTCGAAGGGAACTGACGATTCTGGTGAAAAGCGATGTTGAGTGAATTTCCATGGGAAGCTTGGTTGATTATGTGAAGTATATTCGTTGGCTTTTCCCTGGACTTAAAGACGACTTATTCTGATTGGCAGTGTCCCACAGGATTAAGAATTAAGGTTGAATGTGATTCCTTCTTGGTCAAAATGATGCAGATCTGCAGCGGGGTTTGATCGGCAAGTAGTGTTAAAGTCATGAGAGAGGCTTTGCTTCCAACTATCAAAGCCTTAGATCTCTGTCAACTTTGCTCATGTTTGAAGCCTAAATCCAATTTCGAAGATAATATGCTGGACGTTCAGTGCATATTTCCCAGTTAGATGTCTTTTCTGGCACGTTTGGAAATGTTTTATACTCGGTGCTTACAATTTTGGCGAAAAGTTTATGTTGATGATTATGGACGTGGACGCAATGGTACGGTTTCTTATCTTGTTGACTGAGAAAAACATGCTAACCCAGGTACTAAAATGGTTGGTGCTCATTATCAGTAACTTGAAAATAGTGACGTTTCTCCCGAAGGTATGGAGTGATCTAACTTGTCAAAGTGCTGGTCACACCGCACTTACACGGTTCTACACAATGGAAACTTTGACACGAACAAGTTGTTGCGAAAGTGTTGAATGGACATGTTTGTGTAGGTGGACGGTCAAGACTAGCCAGATGCTGTTTTAGTGATGTAGTTACATAAAAATTAAGAAAATAGTAAGGTACCCCGCTGTGGTCTAAACAATCGTGTAGACCAATGTCTACAATCTGCTGAGTGAAATCTCTGAGAGCTTGTGTAATATTCCTCGATACGAGCACGATGGGAAATGCCGGGTACTACGATAGGTCGTAGTTCATCTTAACAGGAGTTTTTGAAATTGGGAATTATTGGAGAAATTGATAACGCAGGGGAATCTTCACCTTATTGAGACACCCACGACCCATCAGCTTAATGTACTCAGTTTCGTTTCTGAAAGCATTAATACATCGTCTTTCTTATTGCTTAGATTGCTGTTGACCTTGGCAGTAAGAACGGTGCCCTTTCTTGTATATACTCTGAAACATTTAGAAACATCCCTTTTTAAATGGCTAGCGAGTTTAGTATCACTTGGGTATATATCTCCAGGACTAGATTTAGAAAAAATTCAACTCTTTGCATGCCCTACACTACATCTACAATATATATTATATATTGTAGATTGAGCATGTCATTTCAAAACTGAACTCAGATGCAATCATACCAATCACGGGAGCTTTGCCATTCAGGAGGAGATCGTTTACTTCCACACCAAGAGTAGACAAAATCCTCAGATGTGCGATTTAGATGCAGGAGAAGATGGCACGTGACGAAACCCTCCAAAACAAGTTACTCGTTGGCATCATCTTATCGTTAACTGACTACGATGATACCGAAGTTCTACAAGGTCTAGGTTGTAAAACTAAGTTTCAGCTACGGTAATTCTCCTTCTCAGCAAGGACAAACATAACATACAACCCATTTGGTCCCTTTTCGTTGCATAATTAGCAGGTGGTAAATATATGCCTTGACTTTGTTCAACGCTATCCGTAGTGTTCACTCCACATTTAATTTGGAACCTTGTGCTGCACGATTCTCTATATTCTCAACTAAGCACTCTACTGAATGTTGATGTACCATTTCGGATAACTTCGATGACGATGAACAGAGTAATCCTTGTCCGTAGCTGGACACTCTATTTCAATCCTACTTGTTAGGTAGAGATAAGTCATCTCCACAGTTTTCGTACTGATAGTGGCCACGAAGCAGCTCATACCTTTTCCTCCAACATTCTTAGAACATTCCTGAAAGTTTATGTCATTATATCTCAGATTTCGGATTCAGAATATACGCTTCACACCACCAAAAAATACCAGACAACAGCCCTCTCATCTTTCCAGTCCAAATCATCAATCTTGGACATTAAGGCCTCAATCAAGGCTTTATTTTCGTATTTTGATGGGGGCTGTATACCACTAGAATAGTGTATTTTGAGTTCCATACAAACACATCTAGCAGATCTACTTTTTGACGGTTGACCACGTTGTAAGCGCCACCACTTACGAGAGTACCATCAACTGTACATGTGGACGTCTATCATAAAATGTCTTCACGGTTGGGTCATCAGAACTTACTGCTTGGGCCACTGGGGGCATATAATCTGCAAGGAAAACGTCCAGAGGTACAACAGGAAAAGCATAAAGCAACGGAGATACTCCTACAGAATGACCAAATGATGTCCCTTAAAAGGCGCAACCTGTGCTTATCGACTCTCATGCTTCATCTGGAAGAATCTCAATAACGGCAAAATTTTAAGCAGCTAGGTTTGGCACTGAAATAGCGTTCATATTTCCATCTTTGTGATACATATGAAGATATGTACGGATAAAGCACATTTTCAAGTCCATGCTCACCGCGAAAGTGAGCCGCAGTGTGACATTTCTTACCTCGAGCGTGTCAAAAACAAGTCGCATTCGATCAGCAACCAATGATGGCTCCTCGGCATATCCAGACACAGCCATCTGCTCCAGCTGCAGAGTCTTCACAGGAAGCCTGAACGTGCCTCATACTACTTCAGTAACAATAAGGCAAGCATGATTGCGGTCCAAAGCTTAAACAATTCCCAAAAAACGAGAAACTATGGGGAAAAAATACAGTGTTTCACATGAGCCTCAAAATCTGACCCTGGCCTGCCCCTAGTTCAAGGCCGTTCTCCACTTCGACTCCTGTTCAGGCTTCGCTCTTCTAGCTTAAATTGTACCGAAGAAATCATAATTTAGGCAAAACTCCTAAATTTGTAACTGGTTTGAGGCTATTCTCCATTCCAACTCGTCTTTCAGGCTTCACTTCAGTAGCTTAATTTAATAATTATCATGCCAATCGACTCTTACCAGGCCATTCCCCGTGTGTAGTAGGCATTGGCAATGAGGGCACAAAACCCACGCCACTGAAACTGGGCCTCTGCAGATACGGCAGGAGTGTTGGACCAGCGTACTACAGTCGGAGGAGGCGAACACAAGATTGTGAGGAACACCAGTGACAGCCACAATATGCATTCCTCCACCTGCCGGAGAGTTTTCACGTGTTTGAGAAGAAAAACTCACGTGTAGTTAGTTACTCCACTATCTAGAGACTCAAAGAAGCAGATATGTTCCGCGGAAATAGTGGCTGCTTCGAATTTGGCAATGTCCTCATGAACTCCAACCATGGAACTTCTATTGGCTCCATCCAATCATGATTACCACAGAAACACAATTACTGTCATCACAAAAGTATGTATGATGTTAGGGTCAAGGGTTTAGGATCAGCTGAGCATCCGTTTCCTGATGTCACTGAACATGAGTATTTACCTCTTCCGTAGCCAGCCTGCTCTTCAGTCCAACACTTCCTCCAGATTCTTCATCTGAAAGCTCGTTTAAATCACCGATGCTGAGCAACTCCTTCCGCATTCCTTCATCTGTACAGCCCACTTCGTATGCCGTGACCCCAGCTCGAATGAACTCCTGAAATCCATCGCCACGTTACTGTCTGAAATCGTGGTATCGAGATCGGATAACAAGTCCACCGCTCCACCGATTCCGATACAAACCCCCTGCTCGAGATCCACAACTAAGATGGTGATCGCAAAGTTTCCGACCTTCCGCTTATTGGAACGAAGGAGACATCTCTGCTTCCTTCACTTCAAAAAGTCTTAGAATTTATGCCCTTGCTTCAAGTTCGGGGGGACTTGACACCAGGCTGTCTACAGAAAGAATGTACACGTTTCGAAAACATTTGGTTTTCAGCAGACTGATGTGACTGAACCTGGCAAAAAATAATTACATGTGATACTACCAGCCTCATATGCTGGTTTACACCAATTTCCATTCATGCTTACCATAGGAGATTATCTAATCGACTTTCTCGTGATCAGATCAGTGAACCTCACCTTCAGGTTGTTGCTGAAACCACCATTCAGAACATCCTTGTACCGCTTGTGCAAGCCTAGAGCAATGCTTCTGGAATCTCGAAATTCGTCATCATATGACGTCCTTATGAGCTGGAAAGATACCCAGAAAGAGATTCTTTGAGAACATTGCCACATTTTCGAGAAGTTCTGGACCAAACGCGAATGGAGATGCTAGAGAGCAGAATGCTTTACCTGTCTCTGGATGGCTTTGACATGAGAAAATGCCAATCCAGCTCGCCATTCACTTGCCCACCCTCTATGTGAGCACACTGCATTTCTAATTCTAGCTTGAATTGGACGTTCAGACCACTCGTTGCCCCTTTTTTTCTGCACACAGCGGGCAGTTCTTGCCCATGAGAGCACAGACATTGAACAAGAGGACGTGTATGCTGGGGATCAAACTCTCAACCGCTGCACCTTTCTGCGACCACCTTTCATTTTTCAGGTCCATCCCTTCCATGGTAAAAACTCATATCTAGCTCGACCATCTGGTGTGGACGACGATTGGCAAAGTGCCTCTTGTGTTCAAAGTTGCTCCTCCAGATTCATGAAATCCCTTGCCTTGCTCCTAAGCTCTCCCAGAGAAAACAAGATTCTTCATTTGGAAGTCCTGTGTCAAAACGCCAGAACATGGAAAGCTCAGACGAAATAAAAGTCGAGACGGAAGTTCGTAATGTACAGCACCTTCAGGCGTCTTGTGATTTCTAAAAAACTGGAGGAACCTCAGGTATGGCTTCACGGCATTGACAGAGTTCGTCTAGCACTAAGAGACCGGCAGCTGCCAGCCTCGTTGCCGTTCAAAAGATGCTGGAAACAACGAATCGTTTAAGTAGACCAAGAAGAAGTCAAATTCTGCTCAGCAGAGAGAATTCTCCTCAAACTTTGCCGTGGAGCACAACAATTGTGTCTCACGAGATTTTCGTGTTGCTCCTTGATTATCCCATAGGAGTCTAATTCCGCTGGAGTGGCAACAGAGAACTCTTCATGTGCGCTAATTCCCAAGAAGCTTATGCTTGGACGAATCACAATGACAATTGTCGCATCCTGAGCAATCTATGACAGAATTCAGTGCAGAATGCGAATTTGCAGGAAAGCAATCATGTCTCTGTCAAATTTAGCTGACGAATTCCAAGCTTTTGTCTACCTCTTGAATAAGCTAATTTCGCATCTCCTTATCCATAATTGAGCTGAAACTACAGAGCCGAATTACCCTGAAACAACATAATTCTGCGAGACTGTGCTCGAAGACAAATAATATCACCCACCCTTTTGCCTCAAATCTTTCCGGAATCCAGCGTTGCAGAGCACTCAAAAATCATCTGCAATTTCCATGCACTTGACAAGCAACTGACTTCGTCTTCACATACTTCTGATTGTTCAAGAGACAGCGAAGTGTTTCTACATTGGCAGCGCATGCAGGAGGATCTCGGGGCCCAGAGAGTCCACTGAGATAACGAACGTAAAGTAAAGTTGTGGTCGATTCAGAGATTCGTGGCCTGTCAGTGAATCTGGAACCGCTGACGTCCGGCCAACCAGAACCACATAATCCCCGGTATGTGAAACATTACAATAACCAAAAAGTATGCGGGTATAACCTCCAGTAAAATAACAATAAAATCACAAGGTGTCACATAAGATAAAACCATTAGTATCATACTGACAACTTACAATTATTCATGAAATCAGATCTTTTTCAATGTTAAATCTGCAAGGGATAATAATATACAATCCAAAAGTAACTATAATAATAAAATGTTTAACATAGTTATTCCATTTTACGTACTTGAGATTAGACTACAACGTTTTGTATTTTTTTGAGATTTATCATAATTCCAAAGGTGTTTGTATGTGAGATGAAAACACATTGTAATGTATGTAGAAGCTAATTCTACTTACTAGTGATGAGGAGAATACCAATTCATAATCTTTAAAAAAAATTGGTATACAATATTACATTGCAATTATAATGTAATATTGTATACCTAAATTTTTTTTGAAAATAGTTCAAAACAAAATTCCGGGTGTAATGGATTGAATTTACAATAATCTTGACTATTTGATTTTGTTTGATTCCATCTAAATGATAAATCTATTTAACTAGATAGATTTTTGAATTATTGATTGTTAGTAGTTAACACATGTTTAAACTAATTTAGATTAGTTTAACACTACTTAGAACTTAGTTTATGATGGTATTATTAAAAAAAGTTACCTAACCTCTCTAACATGTTTCTAGGTTTTTATTAGCAAACTTTTTCTGTACTAGTGGACGCAACTTGCTCTACCTGAATAGATATTAAGATATGCAGTGTATAAGATTAAAAAAAATTCGTCTAGTATCATAACATCATCAATCTCTTTCAATGAGTTGTATAGATTTTAGCTCTAAATTCATATTTTACTGTTGAGAAAAATATTTTGCTTCATATCAACTCTTTAGTTTTTTTGTTTTTAAATATTCTTTGATTTCATGCAAAAAATTTCTTACAAAATTATACTCTTGACACTTTTTTCTACAAATCACTGTTTTCTAATCTCAGAGCTGATCTCTTTACTAATACCTACCTTTAGATTTAATATTTTTTATATTTTTCGATTTGTGAACATTATGTTGAAAAGTCACATTTGATGTTGTATAAAAAAATGAAAGATATAACATTATTGTTATTTGCTATAACTCATCAGTACACAAAATACTTACAACTCCACAAGTGAAACTGCAAATCAATCTCTAAAATATCACAAATATAGTTTCTGAAAGTTCTAAATCATATAAATGTATAATCTATGATAAGCTCTCTTATATGATAGGAAGTTAATTAGATTCAAAAATTAGCATAAACAGAGTGTTAAGATTAATTCCGGTTAAAGTGTAACTTCATGTCACAGCTAGAAATAGTTGAGAGTTTCGACGGTGTTGGGGTATTCATACCCAGGTTTAGTGTATCACTCTGAATATTGAATATATTCTCATGCCTGAGGTTACTCCGCGGAAGTAGCATCTTTTTTACTTTACATCTTGATTACTATCACTTGATTATATTTTTGTTTTATGTGATTCTTGGTTGATCTTAACACGTAGGCTATATTATCACCTAACAAAATAATTATTGTCATGATGATATTAAAATGTGAATTTCTTTATGAATAAAATAATCATGAAAAAGTATAGTATGTATTGTAGTTTTTGATGTTAAGATAACATCATAGCATGTTCATTAAATATCACCATATAAATTCAAACATTAAAAATAATATTAATAAGCATGAAAAAATTTATATGCAAATTTTTCTTGAATCTTTGATTTGAATAAAATTTTGGAGTTGAATTTGCAGGGAAGAGTTAAAAATAATACGTGAGAGTTGCTTTGATTTGACAACACATTAGGTTTAACTTGGTTTTGTATTTCATATTTTTTCTTTCTAGTCTTCATCAATATCCTTTTAATTTTATAACGCTCATTTGGAAAAAAAAATTTAATTTTCATTTGATTTCTGCACATGATTACAATTATATTTTGCTATCTTATCAGTTTTAATTTTCTAGAATAATTTTTCCTTATATTCAAACATAAAATCATGTCAAAAATGATAGATAATACATATATACTTTCAGACTTTTCCCTTATTTTAATTAAAATTATTTTTATTTTAATATTATATATTTAATTTAAATGATAAAAAACATGTAACATGAAACATATAAGATAGATTCAGTGCATTATATTCGTAATGCCATTAGTAAATTAAAAATAATGATTATACTATATATATAATATTTAAAATTTTACAATAATTACGTATCTAAAATTTAATCATTAATATTCTGAAATTTATTTAACTTTAAATTTAAATTTATTATAATTTTAATAAACCAATTTTATAAAGTTATTTGAAATAAATTCAAACATGATTATCTTTACAGTTAAATAAAACTGTAAGACAATCAGCATAGTTTCGTATTTTACTTCTATAAAGTATAGAAGGTATTTCCATTTTGATATTTATCAATTGAATTAAAAACATAACTTTGCAATCATGTATGTGTGTTATGATTCATATAAAATCAAATTAATAATGCAAAGTTAGTTAAGTTTGAATCAAATTAAGAAGTCATTTTGAAAATCTATAAACTGGAATAGTTATGACTTCTTTTAATTTCAATAAATATTGATTAAATTTAATATAAGAAGTATTAGTTATTTTGTTTGATCGTCATTTTTTAAATTTATATGTTAAATTTATGAAAATAATTAAAATTTATATTATAAGTTAACAAAATTTTCCATTGGTTAAAATGATTAATTTATTTTCAAAAGATTGAGTCCAATGTTGTATTAAACATAGAGAACAGCTATCAAAAGTAAAACATTAGATTTTGATCACATAGAGATTGTATACAGAGACTTTGGATCATCATTTGAAGTATTTTATTCATGGATTTATTTAAGATTATTTTTTCAATTGAATAAAGAAATCTTAAAATTTTAAATTTCCTTTATATTAATTACCACTCTTTACACTAGAAAAAGTTTAAAATAATATTGACATCCAAGTTTTTTCAATTTTCTCATTCTCTGATTGATGGGTAATATCAAAAGTGTTAATCAACGATAGAAATTATCTATATTTCATATGTGCCATATAATCATCATGGCATGAGAATAAATCATATGAGTTAACATAGGATAAATTTATTTATCATGTTCAGTAATAAATTTTTGTCAACTGTTCATATTATTTTCTAAAATTATTGTGTAAACTCGATTTCAAACTAATCATGCTAGTTGCCATTAAAAAAAAAATGTGCAAACTGAAGATAATTGATGTAGATTATTCACATATCTGCTATTTATCATCATATATTTACAAGTGAGGCTATAGTCACCTAGCCCCATCTTCTGGTTTTGGTTTCATCGCTTTTTGATTTGATGGGATATTTCCATACTTTTTGTTATATTAATGTTTCACAACATGACAGACCGGATCTAAAGCATGGCCCCTAATGACGTTGCTTTAATGTCATTAAAGATGAGCATAACACATGCTTTCAATCAAAAGAGAAACTTGTATATTCTGTACCTTAAAGCAACTGCGACACCATGAATCGTACAGATTATTTCTTTCTTCCACTTCCCAAACTAGTTGTTTGGTGGATCTTCGCCTCCCCAATATATCTTCTGCCACCTCCACGAGCATTATATACTTTTCCCAAGACTGCTTGGGTAATACAGTAAACAAATGGAGCACTTATGTGGTGAGATTTTCTCACAGAAAAAGATTAAATTATGAGTAAAGTTACATAGAAAGGAAGTTCAATGCAATTCATTAAATTACAGACAGCGTACTGGAAAATACTTTGACTTTTCAACGAGAACTGAGATATTAAATTTTTATATCTTACCATTTCCAGCATCTGGATCGCGTGGCCTAATGGATAAGGCGCTCGCCTCCGGAGCGGGAGATTGTGGGTTCGAGTCCCACCGTGATCGCTTTTGACTTTGTCGACCGATTCTACGTTTTGAAACTCAGACAGGTGACTTAGTTCGAGTCCCACCGTTATCGGAAACCGTGATAATGTGACGGCGGTTTTGGTTTTAACGACCGACTTCTACGTTTTGAAACTCAGACAGGTGACTTAGTTCGAGTCCCACCGTTATCGGAAACCGTGATAATGTGACGGCGGTTTTGGTTTTAACGACCGACTTCTACGTTTTGAAACTCAGACAGGTGACTTAGTTCGAGTCCCACCGTGATTATATGACGGCGGTTTTGGTTTTAACGACCGATTTCTATGTTTTGAAACTCAGACAGGTGACTTAGTGCGAGTCCCACCGGATCGGAAACCGTGTTTGTATGACGGCGGTTTTGGTGTTAACGACCGACTTCTAAGTTTTGAAACTCAGATAGGTGACTTACTTGTAATGAAACTATACCGAAAAAGCAGCTTCTAAAAATAATTTGCACGTTTTAAAAATCTGAGAAGAAAATCTTCTTGATAACATACGATTAAATTGTAAGTAAAACATAAATTCGTTGATGTCTTCTTCAAGTAACTAGAACTATTTCCGGCTGTACTGAAGGTCTGAACAGAATTAATAGGAAATCTAAGTGGTTTTCTTCTTCATCATAATATATAACCTATTCTCAAATACTCAACTAAATAAAAAAAATGTAAACAGAGTCTTTAAATCTTCATAATAAAGCAAGCATAGTAGAAAATGTGTTGGAAGAAGGCTTTCTGAACCAGTTTTACAAAATCAGACTGTCAGAGGAAACAAGACTGCCGTAGGTGATCAGAGTTGATATTCAAAATAGAACAGTGCTTATGAAAGGAAAGGATGGTGTTACACCACATCTGAGATGAGGAAGCGGTTGACAATGTAGTAAGGCCAAATAAGGTAAGGAAAAGCAGGGGCATCATACTACATCATATGAATCCCATAGAACTGAAAATACACTCATGAAAATGGAAAATTCACGGCCAGGGCTCGGAGCTTGTGCTGGGAAGGTCAAAGGCGGACGGGCAAATGGGCGAGTGTCAGGAGGACAAGTGCTTTCCCAAGTGGAACTCTGGGCCGTGCAGCCGCCAGCAAGCAAGTCGTCCATGCACCACATCCATCTCTGGGGAGGGATGGATGCCTGCCTCCCGGCGCTCCGGCTGCCATTTGTGGCCTCTCCCTCCAGTTTGGCCCACCAGCAGCCAGCAGCACGGCAGATGCGGATCCTGCAACTCCACACACATTGCCCTGCGGTGAATCTCCTCCGATTCTCCTGTCCAAGCTCGTCGGGCCTGGACTCGACTCGGGGCCTCATGATGGCACGGCACGGGGGATTGCGTCTGGCCAGCTGCTGGCTGCGAGCTGGATTCTGAGCGATTATTGCTTCCCTGGGCGGATTTGAATTCGGGTCGGTGGGGTTCGTTGCGAGAGGGCTGGCCAGAGCCGGAGCCCTGGTTACGGGGAAATGAGCGTCACACCCCCTCCCCCACAGATTGGATCCTCTGAGAAGTTGTTGCAGTCAGTACACTCTGTTTGCCCTAAGATGAGAATCTAGAAACGTTCTTGTCGTACTTTGTGAATTCCGCAGGTTTCGAATTTCTAGTGTTACAGAATCTGCTGTACGACTGAGTAATAATTCGCTCGGGCCGGTGAATTCGGAAGCTTTTGAGTTCTTCTTGGTGTGCATCCTACTTACAGCCCTTGGAAGATTTTAGCTTCAAGTGGGATACATTCCGCGAGTCTACGGAGGTATGGGAAATTGGTGGGCGATGAAGAATAATTATCTCATAGTATCTATCACCCGGAGTTGATGTGAACTTTCTGCTGGACCAGCGGATTGAATCGGAATTGCAATGGAGGACGAGGAAGGGGCGAACAGGATAAGGCGGCACCACCGGCGCCTACTTCCGAGGAAAGTTCCCACCCCCATGAACATGACAAGCAACGCGTCGGAGAATTCCCATGCAACACTTTTAGCGAGGCTTAATTCTGCGGATAGTGACTTCGAGAACGCAGAGGTTTTAATAATAGACGGGCCCAGCAAGTATGTCAATGCCAGAGTTCCGAGAAGGACTAGCAACAAAGCTCTAGTTCAGACCGTCAGAGGTGGGACGTCCCTGCCTCGGTACCATGCTCTGCGATGGAACACGAATCAGGAGTCGTTGCCCTCGCCACTTCAGATGACGGAGCGAAGAAGGGGGACAGGATTCAGACAAGTAATCAGCCCACAAAACTTTGGAATTGTTTTGCTCGGAGGGTTTACTACTTTGCTAAAAATTGGAGGACTTTTACTGGCACGGACTTTTTGTGGTGATATCTGGCCCTACGTGCAAGTGCTCAGCGTGTGCGCTCTGAGTCTAGACCCTCTGAAATCAGTGGTAATTAACGATCCCTTCGTACGGATTTATGAGCAGAAGCAAGTGAACTTTCGCCTCTGTGCTTGTTCCAAATGTGCTTTCCGACTGCCCTCGCAATGTCGCGTGTTATAGGATGGTGGTTTTTTCTTAAACGTCTGTGGATTGTACGTAAGTTGCAATTCGAGCGAATCGAATTCTCTCCTCGTGAATCTTGAGGTGTAGAGAAACTGTCTAGTACTGTGTGGAAATTTCCATTGTGTATGGACGCGTTGTTTCTGTCTTATCTCTCTTCCACGTGCTTTGGGTCAAAACACCGCAGAACATCTTGTCCTGTCCAGTAGTCATACTCGGTCATACTTCCCCAAGCAAATGCAACATCCGACAGATCATAAGGAGATATATTTGGTCAGCACTATTTGATCATTTTGAGGTCTTTCCATTTTCTAATCGACGAATGGAACCGTGTATATACATCTTCAAATGTATGTCCATACTGACAGGGAGCCTTTCACTTGCAGGTACCTAAAGTAAAAAACATCGATATAGGGCCGTTGCATGCTTTGGCTGGTCCAGTGCTCGGTCTGACTGTTGCAAGGCCTTTGGTTCGCTGGGGTTTGCCTGATTTGTATCGGACTGCCAAATTCTGGCGTCGTCTCCTTCCCATCTACTGCGGGTGTGTAGATCATTTCCTACTCACTAGCAATATTACAGCGAAATATTGCAATTTCTCCCACAATATCTTCTTCAGTTTCTTCAGAGGCTTGTTTCTCCTGTAAAAGAAGGAATGAGTTAAGACCTTATGGGGGAGCAGGTACATGAAGACGAAGTACACCGCCATTCGAAAGCCCCAGGAAGATCAACAGAAGATGTGGGCTGTTAGGCATGAGTGGGGTGGTGAGAAAGTACACAGGTTGGTTTTGGATCTCAGCGGCTTTTATGTCAAGTCTGCCCAAATTCTTGCCACCAAGGCTGTGAGTTCTCTAATTTGGAACCTTATCGTTTTAAATTCCAGTCGGTTGAAGCATGTAAGGAGTCTGCTTCCTTAGGCTGTGTTCGTTGGCTAGTTTTGAAATCTTTGTTTGCTGTAGTGGCTAGCCTGAGAACTACTGATTTAGTGCTTCCTGTCGTCCTCTAATACCGGACTTTTCACTCGTGAAACATATGTAACAGGACTTTGTTCCTGAACCATGGATTAGACGACTCTCCAATCACTTTGACAATGCACCCCCACGTTCCTTCCCAGAAGTAGAAAAGAGCATCCAGAAGGAGCTTGGAAGCTGCCCACAAAGATCTTCACTTCCAGTGGACTCCAAGGGTTTGGTGCCTTTGGATGCAGTGTTTTTGAACGTGGAAACTACGTGTATCGCAGCTGCATCGATAGCACAGGTATCGCTTGAAGTGCACCTTTAATAAAAAAAACTTAGTCTGGATCACTCTTTACACGGGGCGGTTAACTTTGATGACATCTCTTTTACGAGTAAAGGCTATTAGCTTACTTAAGGTTTATTCTGGGTCTTATTGTAGGTGCATGGTGCAGAGTTGAAGGATGGTAAACGAGTTGTTATTAAAGTTCAACATTTAGGAATGGAGGTTGTAATGAATTCTGATCTCCGAAATATTGTCTGGGTAAGTTTACTTCAGATTTGTGAATTTGATCAAGCTAGTACTTGTTGCGAGTCAATCGGTCCTTTTCAGCGCTTGCTTTCGAAATGGCAGTAGTTGCTCATCTGAGTATAATTTCCACTTTTGTTTCATCTGTCGGTTTCGCAAGTTTAAGTCGTCAATAAATGTGTCCAGAATGCAAATATGAATACTGAGAACTGAATATGTACTCCAAGAGACGCAGGCTAATGTATCCATTTGTTGCAGGTTGCCAAATTTCTCGAGGGTCAACTTCCGTTTGATCTCGGTCCGGTTAGTGAAATCCTTTTACGCCTGGCCAACGCTAGAGTATTTGTTTGCGTGTGGAAAAAACACTTCTTAGTCTACAACTTACATGTTCGGCTTGTTAGTTTCAAAGCTTTTCTTGATGGGACCAAATTCCTGATAGCCAAAACTCCTCGTTTCCTGTTGCCGCTATAAGTAATTTTTCAAATTTTATTCTAATTGCAGCGTTGGTCTTGTAGGTTGTACGTGAAATACAGAAAACTATTCCGTTGGAGTTCGATTTCGAGCGCGAAATGTATTTTATGGTATGCTGTCTGTAGCACACGTGTTTCTCTAATGATTTCCATGCATTTAGACACGAAGTCAATTAACGGTGTCCAAAGTGGAGACACGTCCGATTAGTCTAAGTTTAGCTGGAGATCTACACATTTCAAGAAGAGGTAGTTTTAAAAGAGACGTGGATAATATTTGATGACATGATTCTTACCCTGCCGCATCTGTTTTGGCAGAGTAAAATCAGTTCAAACCTGGAAGTAGGTGGATTTGATCGCATTGTATGCCCAAAACCGGTCGTCGAGTTTTGCGCCAAACGTTTGCTGGTGATGCAGGTATGAAAATGTGGACTTCTGAGTCCGACGTTGGACTCGGATGAGTGTGTTATGCGTGCCATAGTTATTTCTCTGTTCATGTATACGAAGTTTAAGCCAACATATTTTTTTAACCTTTCTTTTGTATTCAAGTCTTGAAGAAAATTATACTGGTTCATCTGAAATGCAGAGGCTTGAAGGTATCCCTTTTACACGAATTATTCATCCACATGCTCCTGACGAGTTAAAGCGCAGGTAGATATTTTCAGTCTACCAGTTTGTAAATCGTGGGAATTAAAGCACTTATGTGCTACCTTTTATTACTTCAAGTGAATAACCTAGCATCTTCTACGAGCAAAAATGCTGTTTTTTTTTTTCCAAATTGAGACATAATTATTACTGTCTGGACGTTTCAACGATGCAGGATACCTGAGGTCGTGAGCATGGTGGAGTATCTTGTTCACGCGTTTGGCCAGGTAATAACTCTGGGCCACTCACGTGGGTTTTTGTCTTACACGTTTCTCGTGTTCCATTATTACAGTTGGTTTCTCTATTACTGGGGTGGGTCTCTTAAGATTGATCGTGATGGAACTTTTATTCAGATGTTTCTCGTGGATGGAGTTTTCCATGCCGATCCACATGCTGGTAATTTGCTGCTGCTTGATGATGGGCGGCTGGGACTGATAGATTTTGGCCAGGTAATGCCTACTTGAAATTTTGCAATGCAGATTTGTGGTGGAAGATTTCAATTTTCATGTTCGTTGAAGGAATTTTGAAATTTGTGGAATCAATTAACGGAAACCACTAATGTTGTCACTTCTGCAGAGTAAGGAGTTGGACAATGGCGTACGTAAGAAGTTGGCCATCATGATTGTGGCTCTGTACAGGAATGACGAAGGAGAAATCGCTCGTGCTTTGAAAGGGCTGGGAATGGTATTCAAAGATGCCAGTGGTGGAGAGGTAGCAGATTCCACATTGGCTGTAATGGCACGAATCTTGTTCGACACTTGCTATGTACAAGAAGCCACTGTATCCCCGATGTCGAATGAGTCTATATTGAGAAACACTCCACTAACAACTTTCAACCAAGCGTTGTGGCTGGTAAGTCCATGCTTCTCAATTCCGTTCTCAGGTGTGCGGAAAGTTTAAGTTTTTTATTCAGCTGGAACTCCACTTTGTCTGTAGTCAGTGTCTTTACGAATTCATGGATTATTCTTCTATATGAATCTAACAAAGGAGTGAATTGTTTAGTGTGGTTCCTCCTGGATTCAAAAAGAATGTGAACGAGCTGATAGGTGGGAAGAAATGACTGTCCAGGTGGTTCGAGCGATGGTTATATTACGAGGGCTATGTTTTGGCCTTAAAATGGATGTCTCGGCGTGCACAATATGGCGGCCATATGCGATAAAAGCTTTGGAGGAGCTAGAGCACATTTCAGATTAAGGTTCGAGTTCGAAAAGAGATGTGGAACTCTGAGAATGCACACGTGGAGGGGAAGAAGATAGTAGAACGAGAAAACAGGCGCAAGGAGACGCAAGGTGGCATTATACATGTCAGCTGTTCAATGTTCCCAGATCTACAACTACACCTCAGTTAGCAGCTACGTATGACCCGGTTTATTCTAGATCTCTAGTCCAGCACCTGGTTTCAGTTACGGCTCCTCACCATACTCCAAATATATAAATACATTTCACTGTGCAGCAGTGTTCTATTTTACTGAGGGAAATCTTATCTGGAAAGATTAATCTATCCAGGTCTTTGCAAGTCAGTCTCACAATCTTCAAGTGCAACAGATTTACTATTCCACATTTTCCTCAGTCTTGTCCGTACTCCAAGAATCTTTGGCTTCGCCGGATGCCCGATTGACAGAAGTTGCAAGTGATATCTAATCTTACTGTAACCAAACGTCATGCTTATAACTGTGCTTGAAAGAGGCATGATCACTGCAAGTCTTGTGAAATTTCTTCCTTGTTATTCAAGTGTCAGAACGTTCAACTTCCAGCGAGTGTCTAAGATAGGTCTCTACACCGCTCCTTTCGTCTCTAATATTATAATATTTTCTGCACCTTGACGAAGGACATGACGTCGGGATGGTTCTCCTGCCCTTTCCTGCCCACAGCACTAAGTACGTGTGCACTGTAAGGGTTGGACATTAGAGGACGCATGAAGACTGTCCCACACCGCAAGATCTACACCAATGAGTAGGCTGCAGCAATGGCTCAGCGTATCCCACGCCGCAGAAGCCCAGGCTAATCATCAAGAGATGGAGAGAGAAAAAATTCTGAAGGTAGGCTTCTCCAGGTATGCAGAAGCATCATCTACAATGCTGCCCACGAAAAAGTGATTCACAATTTTTCGGCCGGTCGCGAGCCCTCCAGATTTTGAATCACTCTAGGAAGGACAGCAGATCCTGACTACATGGTGAAATAAAATACTTGAAGAAGACCTCAGACGCTCGCAAAGCATGTGTGACTACGATACTGTGGAGATATTTCTTGGCATGGATGCACGAAAAGTGTAACCCATACGACAAGTCTCGAACTCAGATGCGTCGCACTCAAATCATGCCTTGCGCTTTTGAAGCAACCGTGTGTAGAAAAGTGAAAAATCTCAATCTCGTACAATGTTCGTGGTTGATCCAGTAGTTTGCTGTAACGTGTCACGTCGACAATCCCGAGGGAATAGTTCATCCAATAAACTTATTAGAAAAAATTTACTGTCGATCAAGAAGCTCGGCAGAGTCAATGCAGACCTGCACTGAAAGAGTTGAACAACACGTCCCGCCGTCACTTCTCTGGGCTGCACGGTTCCTGCTTGACTAACAGGGAAAGAAGCATGTAATCATTTCTGATTCATTCAGCTGTGACTTTACAGCATCACTGTTGCTATGCAGTTCATTATGACTCAGGGACGTACAAGATTATGTTTCGTCTTGGACGAAGAATCTGCGAGTACGACCGAAAGAGGATATATTTTATGGCCTTGTCTTTCTGCACACTTCAAGCTTCCAGAGTCCTCACTTTCTAAGTTAGCAGAACAGCATTGACGAAGTTCACAAACCACAGCCTCTCACACTTGGAACACTGAAGCATCTGCTGCAGTGCTCGTCTGTTGTCACGAGCTGTTTTGGTATCAAGTTCAACTCCGTGCGTCGTATCCGGAATCTAACTCAGAAATTCCTTGTGAGTACCGAATTCCAAGGAATCCTGTCTGTCGTGCGAAAAAAGTGGGCCTTCTTCCAAGAAAGGTTTCGTGTCCCATGAACACTAACATTCTCCCATACTGCAGATCCTCGTTGTATGAGATTTGGAGAGCTTTAATTACATTAAGAATGTCCTTGTTCGGCCGTATGCAGAACCCCAGGCACAGTTTCCCATGCATGTCCATAGCAAGCTATGCGGCTGTAGCGCAAGAGGTTTGGTTCCCCCGCATCTGAACTTATCGGGACTAAGCTGGTGTGCGTCACGTTCTCCTCGGAAGCGACAGTGATACATTAGCAAGAGAAAAGGACAATACACTCAGTGGTTTGTCTTCCAATGAAAGATCACGTGTAGCCAAATTTCCTACCACGCTTCACCATAAGACCTTCCCAGAGGTAACTCAGAGTTTGGTGGATCACGATCAGCTCCTAGAAGTGTGAATATGTTGGTTATCAAACTGGACATTTGTTAAAACATCTCGATTGTCAAAGGCAATCAGCAGAGGCATGGGTCTCGAAGTCAAAGCAGGACGAGATTGAAGGTCAGAGAGTGTGCAATGGAGATCTTAGAGTTGATGATAAAACGTCCTGCTGCTTACATCGAGCAGGTAACTCTGACCCCTGAAGATGGACGTGGCAGATATGCACGCACGGCGGAAAGATATGTGTTGAATGCGTTTTTACCTGTTGTCTACGACTTGATAGACCACATGAGCCTTCAGGTTGGGTCAGGTGCAATTGCTATTGCAGACTTGGGATGCTCCATGAGCCCAAACACTATCACGAATATGGAGTCCATTATCAAACGCTTGAGTGAAAGATATAGAGCGAATCCTGGACGAGACTCTGAAGGCAGTGAAGAGGTTCCAGAATTTCAAGCCTTTTTCAACGAATTGCAGGGTCACGATTTCAACACCCTGTTCCAGCTTATCAACATTTCAAAGACAACTGCAGCAGAGCAAGGTGACGGTGAAGCTGTTCAGTACTTTGCATCAGCTGTCACAGGATCTTTCTATGACCGTGTACTGCCTTCTTCCAGTGTCCATCTTGTGATGTCATCTCTTGCGCTCCACTGGATCTCCAAGGTTCTCTTCGACGTAATCTTATCCGATACAAGTCTAAATTTCCTCTTAGTTTCAAGTACTTTTCAGTATAATTGTCATTCCTCAGCTCAAGATCGGCTCAGAATTTCATTTCCTTCGTGTTCGTTGCCCTGTATATCAGATTGTTTTGTATTTTACATCAATATCTCTCTTACCTGGATGGCTCACTGTAGATTCCTACAGCTGTTTTAGACAGCAATTCTCCCGCTTACAATGGAGGTCATACGGACTTGCATCGATCCAGCCGAGCAACTCTGGATGCTTATGCAGAGCAAGCAGAGAAAGATTTGGTGGACTTTTTATCAGCTAGGGCGGCTGAATTGGTAACTGGAGGATCGATGTTCTTGGTATTTGGAGCCAGGGATCACTATATACCATACAGAGTTGTCGATGAATCCTTCGAAGCTCACGAAACTGTCTGGAATGAATTAGCTCAAGAGGTGAGTCCTCAAAGAATTGTGTAGTTCATATCTCATGTCATCGAGGAATATGGGAGTATGCAATCACAGTACCCTTGAACATCACAGCAATCTCCTTTCAAGTTTAGACAGGCATCTGATTGTGGGTTGTTTTGAACAGGGTGAGGTGGCCGAAGACCTGCGAGACTCCTTCAATCCGCTAACATACTATCGATCGTTCAGTGAGGTGGACAAAGTACTGCATGCCTTTAGATCAGTGTTTGAAGTGGTAACGAAAACACTGTTCCGCAACCTCATATCCATCTGTCTACAGGGTGAGTCAGATGTCAAGAAGAGAGCTCATATGTGTGCATCCATCACAAGGGGAATGTACTCCAACATCCTGGAATCACATTTCGGGGAGAGAGTGACCAGCCTCTTCATGCATAGGCTTCAACAACACTTGCTAGAGAGAATCAAAAGCAACAACATCTATGCGGATCGTGCTCATCAAGGTTGTTTTCTTAGTCTTGTCCTGCGTAGAAAGTAGGACAAATCGTTGCATCTCGCAGATTGGTGGCTCAAATCCATCATCAAGTTTCGAAGTACTGCAACTGAATGGGTGCACTCTGCTATGGAATTAATAGCAATGTTATGAGTTCATTTTTAACAGGGTCAATCAGTTCACACATGATTCTGCTGAATCTATGACGGCTTATCCTGTAGTATCAGAAAAGTGAGCTCAACCTCCTGATATCAAAGCAATCGCAGGAAAAATTTAATTTTCTACTCAGGTTCTGCTTAGATATATTCATAACACAGTGCGTCATTCGAGCGCTTAGTACAAAACATCACACAGAAACACAACCAACAGATGTTGCATCCAAACAAGAAATAATCATGTCAGAAGTGAGAGAAGGTGCAATACATTCACATAAAAAGAAGAAATGACTATCACACTAAAAAGGTGCGTCAGCTTCTTAGCACTGTAATCTCAAACACCCAAACTTCGGGAAGTGTCCTTCGCTCCCACAGTTGCTGGACATGCTGATTTTCTAAATTAGCAGGTCCAAATACTACACTAGAAAGAAAACTAGTAGTGCACATGGTTCAAATGTACTTCATGAACCTTGCTTTCTGTGCATTGTTCTTATCGGTTGGTGGCTCCTGCTTGCAACTGTACGGCTTCCACCTTTTGTAAATCATACTCTCATGGTCACGACTTCACACTGGCTGACCTGATCCAGTAGATCGGAAGAAGTTCCACAAAAAGTTTATTATCTGAGGAGGGCAGATCTGACCCGGTAGATCCAGCACTCCTGCCAGCCACCTCCACGTCAGTGCTCACCATAATCAGTACGAAACTGTAAAAGCCCAAAAGTAACCATAGATGTCGAAGTGGCAGGATGGTAGGCACTTGATGCGCACGGAAGAGGTATACTTGGACCTAAACATGTTGATGTCTGGCGCAACATCCAGTAACTACGCTGACCAATGTGTTGAATTTGCTCCGTTTTTAGCTCTCTACAAGTACAAGTTCAGGATATATCTTCAGCAACAGTAACACCAACCCAGGATTCTCTATTTTACCAGGAAGCAGGACAAAAGGCTTCTTCTTCTGAACAGTATGGCAGTGAATTGGCAATCGACTGTACTGTGGTACTTCTGCTCAGCAGCTTGATGAATAAAGGTAGAAGGGTAACACAGAAGCGTGCAAACAGGATAACCAAATGGATGGAAATTTTAATTGCACTTAACGCCTGACTGATTCCTCATTTGGAAAAATCAAGATCTATGCTGGGCTCAAGTCCATGACTTCGTGCATCGAGTAAGACTAGATGATGACAAGATTTGAGGTTTACTTTGGCGACAAAGCTGAAGCGACATTCTTAAAAGCTAACAAGTCTGAGAAGTCAAAGCTATGACCTTTCCTCAAAGTATATTGCCTAGGTCGAATGGAGCATTTTCTCCGGAGGTAAACCCCATAGCTAATTGAAGAGCTTCTTTAATCTGCCCGAGTTCAGTATGGAGCCTTCGCTTTTGTCAATATGGCTACACTCCTCACTGTTAAGTATCCAAAACTAGTACTTCCCAAATAATCATGTATGGCAAGACTGAGTGCAAGCTGTAGATGCTATGATGAAGTTCAAAAGGCATGGTCGGACAAAGAATTACGCATGGGAAGCAATTACTAGCGAAAGCTTCACAAATTAGACTGCTCATATAATTGTCAAAATTGTAGAAAAGGCTATCCAATCTAAACGTAAACTCTTAAACTCATGTTAAGCACGAATCGGATGAAAAACCTTTTGAATTTACGGAACAAATTACCATCGAGGAATGTAACAAGTTGGAATCTAACGATGCTGAAAAGAAATCCGTGGACAAGAATCTACTTACGAGATAAGCCTGCATCAACTTGGGCACAATGTCGCAAAGATGTCAAGATGTTCGAGTTGAGATACTTTCAGAGATATGAGTTCGGCATATATCACAGCCTCTAGGCACCTCCGATATGGCAGAGGAGCATCAATATTGCATGCAAGGTATTTCCCTCAAACAATAAACCACACATTACCTACAGCCTGACGTAATCGTAAATATGAGATTCATTGATTGTTACTAACCTCTTCCGTATGTAGCTATTACTTAAATTTGAGGCTTTACACCCATCAACCACCTTAAGATTACGTTATCAACTTTTAACGTAGAGCTGAAATCTGAGCCATGGACTTTGTGTATATTACTGGTCTAAAAGATGTTGACATCATGCTGGAATTTGTGCTAAGAACTTTACATGTATTACTAGTCTGGCTGTAAAGAACACAGGTGGAGAATGCATGAATCAATGCCTCCATAAACCTTCTTGACAATCCAGCTTGAGTGCTGGATTGCCAAGAAGTTGAGTGTTCTTAGCACTCTAAATGAATTACGAGTTGACATCATCTCCAATGTGGGGAGTGCTAACTGAAGATTTTGACTCCATAGTCAACTTCTCATCGTCAACCTGAGGCTTGAAAGACTTAAAAATATCAAAATAAAAGCATTGCTAGCTCCACACCGATCAAAAAATCAGGCCGCTGTAAACAGAGTGGAATAGGACACTTCTCTTGATAAAGAAAAACTAAACTTGGTATATACAAGTTCAAGCGGAACTCCGATTTATACTACATCGGGCACTACTATGGTTACATAGAGGAAAGCTGCTAGAAAGAGCATGACTGTTTATAGTCCCTATTTACACTAGGCGAACAAGCTTCGCCTGCTGCACGCTTACAAGAGGTCCGATCTGACTCGTTAGGAACTGGCTTGGCACGACGTGGTGAGTTTTCAATTTGATCGTCTGGATCTGGTTCAGCAGCCCTCACCAGTTTCTCCTCATGGTCATCGGGGTCAGGCTCAGCTCCCTTGGTCATCATCTCATCATCGTCGTCTGGGTCAGGTTCATCCTCTTTTGCTAGCCTCTCACTACGGTCATCTGGATCTGGTTCAGCAGACCTCACCAACTTCTCCTTTCGATCTCCATCAGGCTCATTAGGTCTCGAAAGTTTTTCTACGTGGTAATCTGGATCTGGCTCCGCAGCACCCATCAACTTTTCCACCCTGTCATCGGGATCTGGCTCAGCCCCTTCAGACATCAATTCATCATCGCCATCTGGGTCTGGCTCGGCAGACCTTGCGACCTTTCCGTCTTGGTGGAGAGCATGTGGTTCACCTCCCTTGGCAGCCATCTCATCATCGTCATCTGGATCAGGTTCGTCACCTCTTGGCACCATCTCGACCTCATCATCTGGGTCGGGCTTTGCACTGTTTCGGGGAATATCTGTATCATCATCAGGTTCAGGTTCAGTTCTCGCTGGGTGTTCGGGTATAATCTCCATAAGATCGGGGACTGGCTCTCGTTTCGCCAAACTTCCCTCACCGATAACTACCACTAATTCGCCATCCATATCATCAGGATCTGGTTCATGTCTGACTGGCTGCACTTCAGACACAAGTGGCTCTTTCGAACTTGTTAGACGGCTGCTTCCGCCCACCGCAGTACCAGTAGTAACGTTGTCAGCAAATCTGCGTAAAGCTGCAGCAGCGGCCGCTGCTCTTGGATCCATGTAGCGAGCCTGCTCCACACTTCCTCCAAGTCTGCGACCTCCGGTTTTATGTACACCACCTCCATCTACTGCATCCTCTTCTTCGAACTTTACTCCACTCCAGGTCTGACCTCGTGACTTCGTCCAGTCCAGCGTAATAGCTTCTCGGTTTAGCTGTAAAAAACAGTTAGGATGACAGTCATCGAACTGATGGCACTACAAATTGTACCAAAAATACTTCCCGTCTAAACCGACAGTTTTGTGACAGGGCTGCATGATGTGAAAAATCACTGTCTCAGTCTGGAAGTGTGAATTTGAACTACACGTCGACAGAATCACTATACCCAACACTCGCATTATTCAGAAAAGACTGGCCACTCCAATCCACATCACATGCGTCCACACTGCTTGGAGGAGAAGAAACGGCAGCCTACATCCACTGCCTTTTCTTCTTCTTCAAACTTTGCTCCACATTCAATATGACCCTCTGATCAGGAACAGACCAGTTCTTCACTTCTCGGTTCAATTGTACAACGTTCAATGCACGAGTGTGTTAAGGTACTGATGGCACTTCAAGTTGCACCCAGTCGACATTAACGACAAGTCTGCCGAAGGCAGACGTGATTATGACAAAAGGTGGTGCATTTCAGAAATGTAGAATCGGACCAAACCTACACAGAAAAGCGAATCGACAAATACATACCGCTCCAGACCAGATCAATAACAAAAGAATTTGCTCCACAAGAGGATAGAGAATGAAGTTTCCTCACAAACCTTCGAGTCAAGTGCAAGAAATTTCTCATCGTGTTCGTCGTGAACCATATGTGCCTGCATAACAAATAACTTGATTAGGCCAGCACTCAAGGAACGACGCTGGCCTATAAAGGAGTTTCATCTACGGACATATGAACATAAAAAAATCCTAGCTGTATGATGTTTTATTTCCAGGATATGTGCGACTTCAACATCCGATGAAGTTAAGCAAGTAAATGAGAGCCGAAAGACCAGGACAACTCCATTTACCCAGCTTACCAGTTCATGAAGCAGGGTCTTCTTGATAGATTCGTACTTTCGAAATCCTTTCAAATCATCTGTCCTGAGCCGCAATGAAATTTCTTGCCCGCGATTCTGAGAGGAGTACAAAAGATTAGTCCACTTGTCACATTAAGCAGACCCAAGGCTGTCTACACCTGTCTTTCACTAAGAAACGCCAGATAACTTGTCCATTTGAGCAACAAAAGAGGGTTTTAAGAAATTAGTTGATGAATTGATTCCAGAGTAAAAAACACATGAGAGTGTGGGTCAAACTGACCTTGTTAAAACCCAAAATACACTTCGGACTGACACCGACGTAGCCGACTGGAGCCATCTCAGTCATCACTCCCACTCGCCAGCGATACTGAGACATCGAGCCATTCAATAAGGAATGGGATGAAAGAAAAATTCACAAACCCCAACGTAAGTGAAATTAAGACGAGAGTATCCTCGGACCTCACTGACAACCAAACGTAAGAAAACGACGTAAAACTCGTAGTTTAAAGGAATTTATACAAGACGCTGAAACATTATGGAAAATAATATCGATAATAATATATAATATACGCTAATGACTTGAAATATTATGGAAAGAGAGAGAGCAAGACAACTGAAACCGAGATATAAGGCCAGTACCTTGTTCATGATAGCCGTGATTCCGCGGTCACTGGCAAGTGTGTGCATGATTTTCAGCGCCATTGATGGTGGAGGCGTCAGCTACACCATAAACCAGACTTAGAAAGAGGAATAATAGCGTCTTCAAAAAGTCCATGAGACCGAAACATACAGCCCTATGTTCTTTGTGAAACAGAAACAGACGACTGAAATAACTGACAACGCTTCAATATCTTACCTCAATGCCGGGCAGTGTTAGAGTACGAAATTCACAGAATATGTAATTGCCTTTAGGCAAAGGGTTGGAGCTGGAATCATAAGATGAACGCTGTCTCGCCAGCTCTTCTTCCTGATCAAAACCTCTCACTCTGTCCTTTCCAGAGTCATGCGACACTGATGCAACTTCAGCTGTGGAAGACCCCATCATCCTGACCATCAATCCCTGTATTTGCGTGACGATCGATCAACATTTAGTTTCATAACGGCATTTGGTAATGTTCGATATAATAAAAACTATGGAATCCCCGGGATTCCAAATCGACAACAGCATTGAAATTCACAATTGGAACGCAGTTCGACTCCTTACAGCCGAAGCTATGTACTCTTGAGAAATTTCGACTCTTCACTCGATCCCCTTCATTCCTACAAATTCTGTTTCGAGCTCGATTTCCACGCTCCTCCATCCTCTAGCTGAAAGCAGCAAGTTGCAAGTCACGAGCGCACAAATTTGTAAATAGGAGAAGAAACACATCATGCTTACCTCGGTAATGCCGGATTGATGGAGAAGGATGGACTTGTGCTGAGCCGACATGGGCTGCAGAACGGGTCGTTTCGGCAACATGAGTTTCAGAGTATGCGGAGCCACTCCAGTAAGCTCCACAAGCTTCATTCCAAGCTGCTGAACGGTGGAGCCTGCCGGAAACGTGAGCTGAAAGCTCTTACTCCGGTAGGACACAGTGAAGTGAAAATCATCCTTCGGATCCGCCATCACCACCGATGCCTCCTCTAACAACGAAAATATCTAATACTAACCCCAAAGGAGTACCCACAAGGTCTTTCCAACCTCAACCACTTCTTCAACACGCGATCTTCACACTCGGCTCAATTAAGAGCTTCTCCTGCACAGGCACAGACTTTGCGCCACCTACACTACGACTACACTACAAATCGACGAGCTTTATGTACACCAACTTCTAAGGACGAGAACCAGATCCTTCTTCAACTCCTGCGCCAACAAACAAAGCCCTCAAACTGCTCAGTATCCAGCGTTCTCGCCACACACGCCACCAGAATCGACCAGCCTCGAGCCTCGTTAACACATATCCGAAGCAGAAAATTGTGCATCGCTAACTCAAATCGATTCCAAACATTCAGAAATCATCACACTGACAAAGGCAAAGGGGCCAATTGACGAACTCACCTCCACCTGCTAACTCAAATCGATACCAAACAATCAGAAATCATCACACTGACAAAGGCAAAGGGACCAATTGACAAACTCACCTCTACCTGCTCACCTCTGCTGCTCACGGGACGCACACTGCAAACTGTAACCACTGTGAGCCGACAGATCGAGCTTCATTTCATGCTGTCGAGCCGAGTCTTCAAATGCACGACAGGGCCTCGGGCACGGAAGGAACCGGCGAACGCTCCAGAGATTTCGTCGGGCCCCACCACCGTCCCTTTGGAATTGCTCTGAATTGCCCTCTCCATTCTCTGGCCTCGTCCACTTCACTTGCCGAATGGAGTCACCGACACGAGATGGTTTTGGAGACCTCGATTCTTTTGGGTTTCGTGCCAAATACCACCGAAAATAATAATAACAGCCCGTAATAACAGAGCGCCGTTTTATGCTACTTCTTCAGGAATCAGAGAAAATCTGCTGTTCGCTGAGCAAATCCGCTTCAAGGACGAGGCTCTCTCTTGTCTAATTACGGGTATATATTATTTGGAAAATGTGGAAAACTGAATCTAATAAACCTTTAAAGAGTAAAACCTCCAGCCCCCCTGAATACTTCTGAAGCTACTAAATTTACCTCCCGCTGGACTTTTGCTTGTTCCTAGCGCTGGCCGCATGATTTGTGTGGGCAATGTAAGTTATTCAGCAATTTTAACCCAGATTGGCATTGTATCCTTGATATATTTATTGTACTTTCTGTTTCTAATGGTGGAAAGATAGCGTACACTGGAGCTCTCGTTGCACAGCCAACCGGGCATCAAAGAGAAGCGTATGAGAATTTTGTACAACTGAAGAGCTAACTCATCTATAACATAAGATTCACGTCCAAAATGGCATAAATTGAATTTTGGAGAAACTTACTACAATTGAACTTAGAATCTTATTTAAAAATCTCGTTTGCAATTACTGACTTCTAAACGAATTTTTGTAGTAAATCATAAATGTATAATTCAAAACTACATGTTATCATGAAAATCACACAAATATTATGTACGGTCAGATATTATTTATTCTTATAATTATCATTGTGGCTATTGCATTCTACATAATTTTTCTTCCTTCTAATTTCTACTTGTTGTTCCTGCAATTTGAGCAAAAAGGGATTTGAGTGTGGAGTGTATATGTAGCAAGATATCTCCATAGTCATATTTCAGCTCCTTACTTCTTCATTACGATAATTAGTTCAATAGAAATAGAGAATGATAGTATAATACCAGAAATGCGGTTTTAAATTAGTTTGCCATTGCAAACTAATTTATAAACCGCATTTCTGGTATTATAGTATTATTATTTTTGGTATATATTTATATATTCTGGCGCTGGATGAAGATTAATTTAATAAGCGATATACACATAAAGCAAAAATCGTACCGAAAACAAGTAACTTTTGAAGAAACTCTTCCAAATTTTGTTTTTTTCACCATTCTCCTAGTAACATTTCGAAAAGAGACGACATTTGGAGATTGGTTTCTTTCACACGTTAAAATATCGGGAAATCACCAAAAGTAATTCAAAGAAAACACGAACACAGGACGAGGTTCAACCTGTCAAGAGCTACGTCCTCCAATCGATTTGATACCATTGATAACAAAATTGAGGTTGCATTTGTTCAACCTCAGCACAGGAAAATATAATAAGGAGATGGAGAAAGACAAATACAAAAGCCGTATAGACAGTAGTTCGCCAAGTTCTAGGATAGGGAAAAAATGTGATGGAAGGAATAATATGTATCTTAGAGTGTACAAAAGAAAAAAAACTCGTAAAACTGATGGCGGAAATAAAATAAAGTTTTTTTTAGTAACCCGTGGTTTTCAGGTGCACCCCCGAGGGATGAATTTAGGAAATGGATTTTCTTTTCAGGAAAGGAAGGAAGTGAAATGAGAGTAGATCATTCAAATTTACTCGAGGCAATGCTGGACTTCATTCGGACGGGATGAGGGGACGGAAGGTCGAACGGACGGAGCACTGACGGACGGGGAGAGGGTTTTGGCGGAGAACAGTGCGCAGACAGGAAGAAGGGTAGAACAGTGCAGGGGGGGATCCGAGTGACCGTTCGGCGAGAAGGGAGGCAGGGGATTGGGATCTGATCGAATTTGCTGCTCGGAGATTTTCGGTGCGGAACGTCGTGCCGCTGTGGTGGTGGGGAGACAATGGCTGCGGCTAAGTGTGCAGAGATTGCATGTAGCGGTAGCTTGTGGTGCAATGGGGGAGCTGACAGTGCTGCTCTGCATCGTAGGGAGTTGGGGAGTGTGAGGATATCTGGATCCAGGTGCCGGGGTCACAATCTGGGCCTCGTGACTGCCTTGGCAGCTGAAGATATTTCTGACAATGGTTCGCCACTGCATTCTTAGCTCCGAGGAAGTGAAGTCTATTTTCTTTTGGATGATTCATCGACCTCTGCGGAACATGATGCTAGTTTCTTTCAGTCCATTTTTGCACATCATGCCGTCATGTGATTAGTTCTGTAAAATGTGATGTTCAGTATGTTCTGTAAAGTAATTCATGTAGGATAAGAATTGATACGTCAGAATGAGGATTCAGATTCACGTGATTGTGCACAATTTGGAAGAATCTGAATCTTTCGATACTTGAATCAAAATTGGTCATAACCAACTTTGGTATTCTGAGGGAGTGAGCAATCTCATATGTCATGTTGCATGCAGAGGTAACACTTCTTGACTATGGAGGTGGAAATGTGCAAAGTATCAGGAATGCCATCAAGCTCATGGGTTTCAACATTAAAAATGTAAGTATAATAATCAGTGAAGGATATATTCGCAATATTAGAGCTTTTGGGTTTAGGGTTTTGCACCAGTCTATTGTGGTGGTGCTTCACACCGAATCAGTTCAACAATTTTAAATGACGTATGTCCGATCAAAACGCCAGAAGATGCATGCTGTGACGTGTTTCGTTGCCACCAACACAAATTTCTATCTTCTTCCAGGTTGGGAATCTGCACTAACTAAGAACGAAGTGCAGTTGTGTCATCAAATCTCAACTGGATCATTAACTTCGGGATTCGGAAGCAGTCTTTCTTGACATAATTCTGGGTCTGGAGATTACGACTTTTTTCGTATAGGGCGAGTGTATTTTCTACCATCTTGTCTCTCCGCTAGATCAAAATTAGACTGAACATGGTTGAGTGCACCGAGAGTAAATAGACCTGCTTGTCCAGGTCCACTCGCCGAAGGACATTGAAAGCGCTAAGCGCCTTATATTTCCTGGAGTTGGAGCGTTTGCAGCAGCTATGGATGTTTTGGAGTCAAGAGGGTGAGCATAATCTCTTCTTGGCGAATGATGTTTTCACCCGAGTAGGACTGAATTTGGCAATCATCGGCATATTTCAGGATCGTAAATGACATGTATGGAATAATGGTTCCTCCTGGTTTGACGTTCATATCTTGTGGAAAGAAAAGATCAATTGATTGTGAGGTCTGTGTGCTGGTAAATCTTGTCGATAGGATGGCAGACCCATTGAAGGATTATATTAGGCAAGACCGCCCCTTTCTCGGGATCTGTCTTGGTTTGCAGCTCTTGTTCGATTTCAGCGAAGAGCACGGTCATGGTATGTGCCTTTATATTTATTAATATCAGAGCAAGTATGTGTAGTGAGCGAAATGTTGTGCTTCATAAGCATGTAAAATTTATCTTCCAGCATCCATCACACTTGGAAATGGCCTTGACACTTAGATATGGCTATCAGCTATATAAGTTCGTTTCTTTGCCTTGCAGTGGAGGGGCTTGGACTTATACCAGGTGCTGTTTCTCGGTTTGAGGCTACAAATGGGCTAAGAGTGCCCCATATCGGCTGGAACGGCGTCAAACTGAGATATCCCTCAGACCTGCTGGAGGGTGTGAATGGACGTCATGTTTACTTCGTGCATTCGTATCGTGCAGTCCCTGTACGTTCTTCCGAGTTTAGTTTTATCACATTCTTTCTTCCAAATGATAGTCCTCTGTGAAGAGGTAGCCATAAAGCGCGTTACTTGCACTACAGTAGAAGGCTGTTTACACTGAGGAAGATGTCAGATCAAGGAGCTGGGAATTGAAATTTCATAGCCTTACTTTTACTCCATCAACACTCTAATTTTCTTCCAACTTACAGTTGACAAATTTGTTTTTAGTGGCTTGCAGAGCGAAGCGAACAATGATTGGGTGCTTGCAACTAGCAACTATGGAGGCGAATTTGTTGCCGCTGTCAAGAAAGGAAATGTTCATGCAGTGCAGTTTCACCCTGAGAAGAGTGGAGGTAAGTGATCTTAGTCGAAAGAACTACTACTGCTGCATGAGTGAATACTAAGGTCGAGAGAGGATTTGGGAAACAGTTTTCTGAAGGTTGTGTCACTGATAATACTGCGGATTTGTGCTTTACTGGAGGTGAGCGAAATTCATTCTAACTTTTACGTCTCACGGAAAACTTCGGTGTGCAATTTTTTTTGCAATGTTAACCTTTATTGCATTTTCGAGTTGTTAACTCACCTGATATGTTGTTTCACGAGTGTCTTCACTAAATTGTTGTATTGAATGTGTCTCTTGTTGACAGTTGTTGGCCTGGACATCCTGAGAAGATTTCTAGATGGAGGTCGCTCCTCAGATGCCGAGGTTCGTCGGTTTCACCAATTTCGCCATCTCACAACGGAGCGTGAATGAGTTGGAGTCCATGTTTTGAAGTAGAGGAACATTGTTATGAGACAGCTTGTAGTTCCTTGGGGGTATATTCCGAGAGATTGGTCTAGCTTGAGACCGAGCTACCTCAGTTTAGTGTTTGTCATTAGTCATTAATCTTTAGTGTTTGTCGCCGAGTGTGTGACGAAGAAATGAAAATGACGTAAAACTAGAGCGGCTGCCTAACACAGATGATAAGCAGTGACCTACTTTGAAAAGTTCTAGTTTTTGGAGGTGGGTTTAAGTACTACTAATGCTCTATCACCTAGGTGCGCAATTCTACCACCTGAAGGAACTTTGCAACTTACAAGAGACTTTCTTCGTGGGGCATTTTGCAGAGAGTTGCTCATTTAGCAAGTCAGCATAACTCACATCCAGCTTCTTCATTGGCGAAAAGAGTGAGTGCACGAATGAGCTCGTTTCAATTCAGGTTATTTTGTTTTAGTGCTTATCCCAGTGAAGTACTTACGATTTTGATCACTGTGTTCAAATCGCATTGGCCTAACATCGTTAGCTGGTAAAGCAGGTTATCGCCTGTTTAGATGTGCGATCAAATGATGCTGGGGACCTTGTTGTTACCAAAGGGGACCAATATGATGTTCGAGAGGCAGGTGATGGACGTGAGGTAAGAATCCCTTGGTTTTCAAGAACTCAAGTAAATCAACCAGCATTATCGAAATCTCATGTGATTTTAGCAGTTCTTGTGTCTTCTGTTTGGGAAGATGAGATGCTCGGAAGTTCGACTTAACAGCCTTAGTATCCCAACATAGGTGCGCAACTTGGGCAAACCCGTGGAGCTCGCAGGGCAGTATTTCAAGGACGGAGCTGATGAAGTAAGTTCGCCTTGAAACTTGAGTTGAAGCATTGTGATTTTAAAATACTTTTACGGTTTAGTTTGAAACAGTAGTCAGTACAAAGAGAAAGGAAGCGTCACAACTCTTGAATCTACCCATCTCGGCCGAAGCACCATTTGGTTTACCTGTTGGATTCGTTCGTTTCCTGTTAAATGCCTGGGTTCCATCGTCTGATGTGCAGGTTACTTTCTTAAACATCACTGGTTTTCGAGATTTTCCCCTGGGCGACATGCCAATGCTTGAGGTATGCCTTAGGTTAGATATGTCAAGGAGGCATCTTTGAGGGTTCAAAATTCTACGTGTTTAGTTATGCTTTCATCTTTAACAGAAGATGTTTTTGCGCTGACTATTTGTTCACTTCTACCTCACCAGGTATTGCGTAGAGCATCGAAGGAAGTATTTGTTCCGCTAACAGTGGGTGGAGGTATTCGCGATTTCACCGATTCAGCGGGCAGGTATGCCCTTTCTCAGCTTCTTATCACAAAGCAAGGCGATGTCAAGGAAGTCTTTTGTGCGTTTTTTTAATAATGAATAAATTTGCGTTTTGCCGGTCATCTGCTCAAACTGTACATCTCCAATCTTCCTTCATCTTCTTCAGAGTAGTTCCTTACACCCACCTTTCACCTTCATATGTCGTCCTGTTTTACGCATATCTTTCTCAGGCAAGTCAAATTTTCACATCACATGATTTCTCCCAGTGGTTGACGTGGAATACTGGAATTTTTTTCTCCTATATATTATCAGGAGGCTTTCCATGGAATCGAGACCTTCTGGATAGATCATAGACTTCCGTGATGTAGAAGAATACGTGAATCTTGAAAGTTTTGGCAATGGCTTGACAGCTTAAACACGTCTGGATACTTACCATCTGCGTGATTTCCACTTTTTGCAGGTTTTACTCAAGTCTGGAAGTTGCATCTGAGTATTTCAGGTCCGGGGCCGATAAGATTTCTATTGGAAGCGACGCAGTGTATGCTGCAGAGGAGTACCTGAAAACCAAGGTAGTGGACTAATCCCTTATATATTAAAATGAAGAGACTACCGAAACCCATTAAACTATAACTGGCCTGAGTAGTATATCAATGTCAAAGGACCCGGCCTGGACTGAACTAACTTGAACTGTAGTGACTTATCTTTTCTTGTTTTTGCCCTGAGCACAGGTCAAGACAGGAAATACAAGCTTGGAACAAATCTCATATGTTTATGGGAATCAGGTATGAATGACACTCATTGTTTGACTTCTTGGTGTGAAGAACGCCTTACCGTTTGAAACCACAGGACAAGAGGGACCACAACTCACTTAATAGATTAAGAATTACTAACCCTGTGAGATTTTCGTATCCTTCGCTAATATATAATGGACGGTTTTTTTGATATGGATGATAGAAAGTTCGCAATTGCTTAGGCAGATGTTCAGGCAGTGTGGTTGCGTCAAACTACGTTCTAATGTGAAAACATGTGTGAACGTACAGGCAGTTGTGGTGAGCATTGACCCACGAAGAGTTTATGTTAAAAGTCCATCTGAAGTATCTCACAAGACTGTGAAATGTAGCAAACCAGGTATGCATATCTCCTTTGCTTGGTGACATGCCTTTCGTACCTTCACAACTATGTCATGTTTGAGGTCATCTTGCCTTGTTTCGGACTGTGGACTTAGAACGAAATAGCGGCTGACGTTAATGTTGGAAGTAAAAGCTTTCTGCAGTTTTAAGGTTTGGACGTTTTTCCTCTTAAGATAGCTCATTTTTTAAATGGTTGAAATCATTGACAGGTCCAAACGGAGAGGAGTATGCTTGGTATCAGTGCACGGTAAGTAATGGCGCGCGTCGAGCTTCGAGACTGTTTTTGTCTTTAATTTTTTGGTTTCATGAACGTGTGGATTATTAGATTTTACATTGAAAGAAGCTCAAGTGACCACCTAAATTTTGTGCAATTTTGAGTATTGTGTTCAGATTTATCTTTACTGTGAAGTTATCATTCAGTAAATCAGGACCATATACTTCCATATTGAAATACAAATTATTGTTCCCTCTTTTGTCGAGTAGGTGAATGGTGGTCGGGAAGGCAGACCAATTGGAGCTTACGAGTTGGCTCAAGCAGTGGAGGCGTTAGGTGCTGGCGAAATCTTGCTCAATTGCATCGACTGTGATGGTAAGAGATGTTTTAATTTCTTTCTGTCTAATACTGTGGCGACGAAGCTTGCTTTTGTTCTGTGCGACGGAAAAGAAGGCTTGGGGTTTGCGAGAGGTTTCGCTACTACATCACTGGTTAAACCTTCAGCCAGGGATCACACTTAATGTTGCACGTGTTGCATACTTCGTTGTTTCTTGTGACTGAAAGATTGCACGGTCTGGTTATTTTCAGTGTAATATGGTAATGGACGACAACCTCGTCAGGATACTATTGTGGAAGTGAGACGCATAGCCTTAAATTGACCTGTGGGCGTTGGATGGACAGGTCAAGGGCAAGGATTCGACACTGACTTAGTTGAATTAGTGTCCGAAGCTGTCACCATACCAGTAATTGCGAGCAGCGGTGCAGGCGCTGTGGAACATTTTTCTGAGGTCTTCAACAAAACTGGGGCTTCAGCTGCTCTCGCTGCAGGAATATTCCATCGGAAAGAGGTAACGAGAGATCATCCTGATTACTTATCTGGCCAGACAAAGCCTCATTCTCGCAGCATATAGTCTATGTGATATTTACTTTCAAGACTGGGAGCTTAATTATCTTACATGAACTTACATCTGGATATCTGTTGTGATCTGTCAATGTGTTGCAGATATCTATTGCCTCAGTCAAGGAACATTTGGTTGAATCTGGAATGGAGATGCGACTTGTATAGATACAGCGGATGGCGGTAAAGGTTGAGCCTAATCATTTTTGAGATAGAGGATATTTATGTGCGTCTTTGGAGATTCATACCGATTTTGTCTCTTGTTCAATTCTTTATGCCGCAAAAGGCATCCGTCCAAGTTTCATGAACGCAAGTTGGTACAAAGAGGATAGACGAGGTAATTTGGAGCCTGAATTCGGAAGGTCTTTTTTTGTATTTATCTTCAGCATAATTTGCAGCGTTGAGTTTAAACACATGTTTACACACATGTGCTATGAGAAGTCTTGTCCAACACAATTTTGAGTGTATTTCGAACTTATTTGAATGAATAAAATTTGGTTATTGCCCGTTCTACTTTCTTGTTTCAATTTTAGTTGTATTATTCTTGAAAGGAGGACTAAGAGGCAGGTTCACATCTGCTTCTTGTTTTGAAATTGTGAGTTCGACTTTGTATCACTGGAAAGTGGACTCGAAAAGCTATTATAGCTGAAACCTCTAAACTCAATGTTGTTCCCTCGATGTGCTTATTAGAGTTATCATTTGAAGACAATCGCTCTTTCCATTTTGTTTCTAAATGTAGACAGCTTCCTATCCTATTTCAACGTGTAGAAGGTACTAGTATTGAATGCAAGTAGATGACCTGTCAAGAACTACCACCATTCCGAACTGTGCTCTCACATGAGCAAAATTTTTCACCACCATTCCAACTATGTGGCACCATGTACAAATTTCTTGATTATAATGCATGAGAGCAATTGCGGAAGAACACCAACACCACTCATGCATTATTATTACGAGTTTCTACATGGTTATCCCATGTTTGGAATGGTGTGAACAATGTCCCATATGTGAGTTTTCTCCTTGTCAAATATGATTTCTCAAAGTCTTCATAACATTTTCCAAGATACATAAATCTGTCTTATTTTTACTTCTCAATATATGATCACCAGATGAATATATATTTCTAGTTAATATTTTCACTTCTAGATCTGGTTCATGAATTTATCCTATGAGCTTCCAAACAAAAATTTTAGCAAATATTTCAAAATGATTTAAAGAGTACTATTTGGTCTATATCTGAGTTCCAAGTACGAGGAAAAGTGATAATTCCGCGCATAGTGAAGTCAAATTAGTTTCAACTTAACTTGAAGCTTTATAATTTTTCAAGGCTGACAACAACCTTCTGAGCTAATTTAGCATTAATATTGAAGTTAAAAAATTATTAAAAAAAATCTAGATGTGCATGAAACACTCAGCTGTTTGAGACTCACAAATAATAATTGACGATTAATTTCATGTTTTTATCTTCAGAATTTTTTTATTTTTTTAAATTTGTAAAATTGTTATTATGATATATTTGTGTTTGCTATTTAAATGTAGATAGATTGAATTTTTTAGAATGTAATATTGACATTTCTGCAACATAATAAACAAACAATTTTTCATTACAATTATAGTTATCAACGTTGAAAAAGTAAAGCAAATAATACAAGTATGGCCGCGGCATCACGGCGCCCATGAGTCCCTCTCGAAGCCGGAGGTAACTATACTAGAGATGAATATGATCACGACAGTTGTGTACGGCACCGATGAGACTGCCTCGAGAGAGCTATAAATTCGAACGTTCAAGTTCATGATAGATGATCATGAGCCTAAGATCTAGGTCCAGAAATACTTCCAGGACTACGAGCGGGAGGTCCACTTCTGCTTTGGGGATGCAATGTCAGATTTTGCACTATGACCCGTGAAGCATCCAATACCTCACTGTGCACTGATTGAATCCCGTATATTGTTCAGCATGCCTGTTGAGAATGGGGTATAAATGCTACTCTATTCTCCTTGCGTAGGTCTTTGGAGTACGAGCGTGTCCTCCAAAGCAAACCTTTTTTTAAATCATCAGCCGATGTACATCTACTTCAGCCTATGGAACAGGTAATGTCGGAACTGAAGGAGGCCTGGTGAAGACAAACTGCTCTTAGCAACAATTTCCTGCATCCTACAAGGACTTCGAGGTTTTGGACGCTTGTGCCGTGAGACATAGTTCTGCTTTCGCATCGAGCCACAACTAGTGCTTGAAATTATACCGACGGGATTACGGTCAGGTCTAAAGTCTGCGGCTATCTCTGATGCATATCCAGGACCTTCGATTTGATCGAACAACGTTTGTCATCTATGACTACTGCACAGATCTGAAGAGGCTCCATGGCGTGGCACCTCCAGGCCCTGAACCTTTTGTTCTCCAAGAAATTACAGTCCTGAGTATAAGATTGAACATAGTATAACAGCTTCACAATCCGCAATGACTGGGACACCTTCACAAGCATATCGAGTTTGTATACATGTCACAGAGATCAGCATCCCAAGTTATTACTTCTGTCCAGGACAGTAAAATATGATGATGACCGAGTCCTCAGCCATTCCCCTACCATACTTGCTGTGGAACTCTTCAAATATATCTCCCTCCTCTTATTCCAAAGCATGCGCATACTGTGACCGCGTGAGACCATTTTCACACTCTTGTGTGCTTCTATATATAGTCGAACGCAACTTCATTCGAGTGTGGTCCGGACTCCAGATTGATGACTCCAAAATGTGGCTCCAACGTTACAATCTTTGAGGTGCCATTGGTGGTGTTGGCATTTTGAAGCTCGAGCCTTCACAGACAACAGGTTCTCAGATGGAATATGACTGAACTCCTGGACGCGTCCCTTTCTTCCTTCAAACTCACGTATATACGTTTTGACTGTTTGGACGACCGCAAGGTTGGCATTGTCCCATGATCACGCCATGCGTATGAATAGGCTCAGCACTGTTCCTGTCCGAAGATCCCCAGATAGCGTCTGGCTTCTGCCAGGTAGCCTGACATTTCGCCCTACATAAAGCCTGTCCTAGTGAGTGATCACACGATAGCTCGTAAACACTTGAAAATCGAAGAGGGCATACATCATGATGTGCTGTGGGTCGTAGATTGGTGGCTTCCTCAAGCTTCTGGGAGGAGCAGCATCAGAATGCTTCTCGACGTAGAACATCCTGAACTTGTAACGACGGGTCTAACCTGTACAGTTTGAATCCAGATCCATAGGCCAGAAGGAACCGAAGGGCCATGACGGTATGACACGAGCTAAATTGAGTTCCTCGTGCCAAATAGCTTCCAGACCCAGTGGAGGGCAGGTAGCAGGTAGCTTCAAGGTTGTTGCATTGAAGCTCCGTAGGATGTTCCTGGGGAGGATTGTCGGTTCATCCTCTCTGAGTGCATTGCTGTCGATACAGCTGAGAGTACGTGTGTCCGTGTTTCAAGTCTCGATGACGTACGTGCATACGCAGCTGAGAATCTGATTTGTGTGCGACTCAGCTATGCACCCGAAGTCATGTCCACATCAAGTCATGAGCAAAATGTGTGCTGGGTGAATATGTATCCTCCGAGCTTCAGCACACGGTATAACAATGGCTCAAGCTGCCGATACTCTTGGAAAGCGTCCCAAAGTATTTCCTTGAAAATGTCAGTTACTTGACAGTGGATAAAAGAAAGATGATATTCCGAAAGTTAACGCCTTATATCTACCTATACCCTTAGTTCCAATATTTTCCCGAAAGTTTCACTGGACAGAAGTTTAACGCAAATGCATTGTCTCCGTATCTTATGGCCCCATGCATCTTGCACATCGAGTATGCACATGCAAGCGTCTTAAGATCTCGAGTACTGTTGTGTCTTCAGAAGAAAGAAAACTCGTCCTAGGGACTGTTCTATGTGTTCATGATAGTCTCAACGCGCGACACGATAGAGATCGGCATCAATGAGAAGGCTGAGTCACTCCTTTTATAAAACGTATACATTTACTGCAAAGTGCCAATGAAGATGGTAATCTCACCATTCTTTCAGTCCTCAAAGAGGCTTCTAATATTATATGTCTCAGTTGAGTAACTTTCTCCTCCGGTCTTAGATCTTCCAATGATCAAAAGTGACTCATCATGCTAACATCTGAGTCTGTAGCCTTATTGATAATATAATATATTTTGTAGCCAAAAGAATACCCGTGGATCCATTTTTTAAGAAATCGGAAGGAGAGCTTTTAACTGAATAGTACAATAACAGCGAATAAAGCAATGATTGGTCGTATGAGCATCACAAAGACCAGTTTTGTGTAATATTGGCAATGGTGGGTTCAAGACCACATACGTACAGATTCCTTCACAATCTCAATTTCGGTCACCAGGATGGCTATTCATGAATGTGCTGTAGCTCGCAGATCTGGATCCGGTCCAGTCCTCTCATTGTAGAAGGTCAGTCTAGATCTGGTCCGTGTGTGAGGGATCGATCTGGCTGTGGAATTATTTTTAATGCACTTAATGAACGGGGTTCATTACTTGTCAACCGGATGGCCCGACACATTAAAGAACGCATGCAAACAGCGATCATGAGTCGTGAGTGCCAGGAGCGCAAAGCTTGCATCCAGGTCATCATTTGTGGAAGGTGAATCTCCTGGGCACAACTAGAGAGAGCCCGGTGCCGAGATTTACCCGCCAACCACCTTGCCATGGCCTGATATTGGTAGTTGTATATAAGGTGCATCTTGGTTCCACTTCAAATCATCCTTATTCTCTCTTCTCATATTGATCTGCCTTACTTGGATCTTATGAGAAGATAGAGCCGTGACAAACATTTTGAGTATCGATTCACACCAAAGTTGACAGCAGAATTCCAGATTACACTCAAAATCTTGATTTTAGATGTTGACACAGGCATAGTTTAGACAGTTCTCAATTCCTGCTAGTACGATTTGGTCGAAGAAAACCTTTCTTTCTCATATTCTGGATTCCTAGTTCAGAAAATCAACCCTGAACTTCAACCAGAAAATCACCGAAAGAGTGAGTGGTCATTCATTGAACTTTGCATTAGCACAGAAGAACACCGGATACATTAGAAAAGATCCGACAAGATGAAGCTGAGTATACTTTTGTTCAGCTCGATAGCATTACTTTTCTCAGTTGCGCAGGCGTCCAAGTTTTGGGACGACTTCTATGTGAATTTTGGACATTGGAACGTAAACTATCCTGGCAGAGACGTGGGCAACATCGTGCAGTTGCAGCTCGATGACACATCTGGTATTGCTTCTAATCCTTTCAACATGATTCTCGACAGCTCCAACGTCGAGCGTCATCTTTGCCTTTAAGTCGAGTCATAGTAATTAGGAGTACACAGCAAGTTAGAATCTCCTTCCAGCAGGACGAGTTTCTTCGAAGCATAAGATGTGTACATTCATCTTTGCTTTCTCTGTCAGCATCATGAGTAGCCCGATTTATTAGGTAGGAGCCCGATGCTTGTGTTCAGCTTTCATGTGCTAAGTCTTCATTCACCCTTGACCTGCAGGATCTGGATTCCGATCAAACTTTCCTTACCTTTATGGCCAATTCTCCATGAGGGTTAAGCTGGCTGGTGGTCACTCAGCCGGTACTGTGACTTCCTTTTATGTAAGTAGCTTAATGTGGAATGCTTTCAATACTTTTCACTCACTTTCTTACTCCGGAAATAGGTGATTCTAGGCTAGTTATACTGTCCTTCATATTGCAAAGAGATTCATTTTAGAACCAGACCGAGCTTGGAATATAGTTGTGATCTTGGCATTGAGTTGGCCAGGAACTTCGTCCCTGGTTTGAGAAAAAATGTTCTCGTGAAAAAATGTTTGACAAATTATGACTGAAGCTTCTGGCACATTTGTAGATGGCTTCGGTATACGAGCAATGGTATGAGTTGGACTTCGAATTTTTGGGCAACGTTACAGGGGAGCCATACATTCTTCAGACCAATGTCTTCGTCGAGGGAGACGGCTATCGAGAACAGGGTATCTATCTCTGGTTCGATCCCACGGCTGACTATCATGACTACGGCTTCGTCTGGAACCACGAGCTCATTCTGTAAGCTCTTCGAACTTCCTCTGGCCTGATTGGCTACTTTCATACTCAACTGATGCGCTGAGCAATCTGCCAACTTTGGCCTTGCGTTTAGTTCGATTCTTGAAGATCCGGACACTCTAGAATGGCTCGGCTGCAAGAGCAGCTATTAGAGGGCCAAGGCAACTGCAGCACTGATGAGTTTGAGTTGTTTCCAGCTTCACGGTGGACAGCCGCGTGATCCGAGTTTTCCACAATGCCAAGGACCTCGGAATTCCATACTTCGAGTATCAGCCAATGTACATTTACTCCAGCATCTGGAATGGAGAGGAGTGGGCCACTTGCGGGGGTACCGTGAAGCCAGACTGGACCCAGCAACCTTTCGTTGCATCATATACAGCTTTCAATGTCTCGAACGCTTGTTCAGTGCAAAGCCTCTCGGGAGAACAAGCCATGAACTCGTGCTACGAGAAGTTGCATCAAAGTTCCTACGGTCAGGACCCAAACCTTGCCCTTTCCCAGAAGCAAATCGATGACCTTCGATGGATTAGGAAAAATTATCTAATCTACGACTACTGCAAAACAACGGTGCACGAGAAGATTGAAGGTGTGAAGAGCGAGTTCAAGCTCGCTCCCGAGTGTTCGAGAAACTGGCCTTGAAATTTTGGCGACATCCTTTTTAACCATCCATAAAAGATGGAAGCAGGAAAAATTATTTGAAACCACCCAAGTAGCTTCTTTAGTGTGATTATTTGGTCTCTCCCCTGTAGATTTTTTCCAATTGATCAACGCTGTACCTATTTTTGTCCGACAAGACAATAAAACGTGGCTAATATGGCCAGAATTTATTTGCATATCTTAAACTTTTTCCTCTCTATTCACTTGAAATTCAATTCCGACTCCTCCAGAGGTGAAAATAAATGGAACAAATCCCGCTGTTTCTCTCTACACCTGTCTTGAATAACAGTCGTACAATCTATGGCCGCAAGATACCAAGCAAGACGGGTCACATTCAGCTTAGAGGAGAAATGCTTCTAGTGGCATCAAGATTAGAGTATTTGATTATACTACTAATCTTGAATTATTGCTAAATAAATCAAACCCGGGTACCCAAAGTATCAAAGTTTGAAAAACACACGACAATTCATTCATTGACCAGGAAAAATATACTAAATACCTCTCCCTGACTAGTGCTTAGTGCACTAGAACGATGAATAATGACATCTCTCGTGTAACAAACTTAACTATAAATCAATATCTGGAGTAAATAATATAAATTCTCCATATTTATTTTATGAACTAGTCTAATCTTTTGATATCTTGTAAATGTAACAAACACATGCTCTTCATATTCTATATTACCTCCTTAACATACATACAAATCGATACACTCCTGTAAATATTTGATCATCTTACTTACTCACTTCTTTAACGTGCAATATATGAACATGAAAATACTTGCAAGTAAAAACCTTTGTTCACAAGAAACAAACCTAGAATTCACATGAAGTTGAATACATGACAATGCATATACTTGCGATTACTAGGTGTGACATTATCAAATTTCGACTATCCTAATGTAGTCACATATTTTATATTACTATTGTGCCTACATATTATTACTGTCTATGTTACTTGTTTGATCAAAGATATGTGCTGGTTAGTAGAGAAGTAGAGAGCAGCTAGTTATACCTCAATTTACGCTAATTATACCTCATACTAATTGTAGTTAAGGACAACAGGTTTTTTCTAGTGGTAACACACAAGATAAATTCCCTTGATAGCTCTATTTTTCTTGTTGCCAACCATGCGTTTGTGTTTAATCATGACGGGTTAGCCCTGACTTAACGTCAAATCTTGCACTGCCGATAGTTGTGTGGGAGAACTCTGGCGGTGGTGGAGAGAACTTGTTCATTTTGAAATGAGATTACTCAGACCAATCATAGACTTATTTTCTTTAGCAATTTATATAATTTTTGCAGTATGAGCAAGCATGGTTATAGTAGTCACTACTTTAAATAACCTAAATATTGTTATTTTAATCTACTCAAAAAAATTACTTTAGTCTCCTCAAAAACGTTAATTTAGGTTAATTTAGTGTACTTAAAAAGTCAATTTAGGCTAATATAATCTACTTAAAAGTTAATTGAAGTCAATTTAGGCTCTAAAAATTTAATTTAAGTTAATTAAATCTCTACGTTTTTTTTCATTTAAAAGATTTTACCTTAATTTACCTTAAAATAAAAAAAAATTTACCTTAAAAAATTCGTCAATTCTGCATAAATGTGCAATCCCCATTGGTTGCAACATATAGTCGCCAAATCACATCCAATTTAATTTAGGCGCCTAATCACAAGACAGTTTAGATAATTTAGGCAATCGTATATACAGTCGCCTAATACAACCTTACCTGAGTATTGAGTATGAGAGATAACTAGAATAAACTGAGGAATAAATAAAGACTCCCAAGAAGTATATATGGAAATGAAGTGAAAGTTTCTAAACTGAAGAGCATACCACATTTGCCATTTAGAAATGTGGGTATTGACAAGCTTTGCCCCATAAAAAGGGCCGGAGTTCTATAATATTAGAAGTGTAAGGAAGTGATGAAGGTGGATACGGTAGTTGCGGTACAATTTCTACGTATCATATACTGCATGGGCTTGAGTTAGCGTCTGCTCACGGAAAGGCAAAGGACTATCGTCACAATATACTGAAGTCGAAGGTTTGTAGGCCTATGAGCAGAACGCATATTCCAAAAACAATTTAAAGGAATTTTAAAACGAATGTGAGCAGCTGTGCTCGCAGAATGTTCTCGCGTTTGGTAATCATTTGTAAGAACACTATGTAGAGCTCGACACAGTCAAGGACAAATCGTCTTCAAAAAGCCATCCGGAAGGCAGGAAATTGCACTGTAGAGTGTCTCCAGCCCTTCAACATTCCAGTATAACTGCCATAAGTTACTCCTGAACCCAACTAATTAATTCAAGTTTAGGAATGTAAACGAGTTTTTGTAACATCACATCGGTAGATATATGCGTTCTTTTGGCGCTCGTGACTTTTCAGACTTCCACACTACACTCCCAATCCAAATGCCAGCCAACTAGTTGCAAATTCACGGAATGATGTCGTTTGGAGTGACGTATCTGCGAATCAACCGCAAGGACAGAAGATCCTCAGTGCCTTATGTTGGACTTGATTTGTATGTATGAAAGTTCTCTCCAGATCCAGAGGAGAGATTGGTCCGTAAGCAATTTCTATATTAATTATGTATTGAAAACCTTTCCTTCGATTGTATGCGGTTCTCAGATAAAAGTGGTAAATAAAAAAGCTGTAAATGAAGGTTGCTCCAGATCCAGGGTTCGCGCATGCTCCAGATCCAGTCATGGTATGCGGCAGCTGAAAATTTCCAGAAATCAGAACAACGTAAAGGAGACAAAACGACAGCTACTCTTAGATCTGAGTATCGGGTAAAAATAGAGCTAACGTAGTTTTCGTCTTTAGATCAGATCCGCCCCTAAGAACTTGGGGTCCCTTACTCTCCGGTGAGGGATTTGTACCTCGAGTTGTATACAGGACAGCCAAGAATAATCAATCCGGAGAACTCGCTTTCACAGTGTCGACTTGATCCTCTAACGGAACGCTAGCTAGCTAGCTACTCAGCATCCTCCTTCCCTCGTCGCTGTCGGTTCTCGATCGCTGCAGAGTATTTAAGCTGCTGCGTTGCAAGAACTTAACACCATTCACGACTTTCTATTCTCTCTCGATCTACTTCAGTGGCATCTAGTTCGAGAAGAGAGTGGGAGTTGTAGTAGCGCTATACATACCATCAACCGCCACTTTGTAGTCGACAACATTAGACAAGTCTTCACGCCATTTTAGTACCAGGCACACTAAGCAATTGCTTCGCTGCAGATCAGGACATTACCATTGACTCTCGTCAGTAATTTCATCTCTTTTGATACTGAAAGAAGATGAAGCCCTTATCAATTCTGGTTTGCGTTATAGTACTTTTTAGCTCGGTCGCTCATGCGTCCAAATTTTGGGATGACTTTTTTGTAAATTTTGGAGGCATGAACGTCAAGTATCCCGGTAGAGACACAGGCAGCACTGTACAACTTGGTCTTACCAACCGAACCGGTAAGTTGATACTTCTCAAGTTTAGCGGCTGATGTCACTGTCACAAGCTCCTGAGTAATCGTTTGTCCTGTTAATACTCTCTTTACGATGTATCGTCGACTGATTATGGATAGAAGCTAGCATTCTAGAGTACGTGGTTGATAAGGGTGTGTATGCCAAATAGGTGTTCGGTCGCTGATTCCTGGATGATCTGTCTGGAACTTAGGATCTGGATTTCGATCAAAGTATCCGTATTTGTACGGCCATCTTTCTATGAAAGTCAAACTGGTGGGAAACAACTCCGCCGGTACCGTGACGTCGTACTATGTAAGTAGCTTGTTGCAAATTGGTTTCAGTTCTCTCCATGAGTAGAATGATTATGGGATCATTACATCTGCAGGTACACGTTCATTTTGAGAAACAACATACATTCTTGTACCACACATTGCAGATACTTGCGTGTTGGCCCTCCGGGTACAATACCCATAACTTCATGGCTCTACTTGACTACAGCTCCTGATTCAGATGTGCAGCTGAGTGATTCATTCATTGTTGTCTTTGCAGATGGCTTCAGTGTACAAGAAATGGTGTGAACTCGACTTCGAGTTTCTGGGAAATGTTTCAGGGCAGCCATACATTCTTCAAACCAATGTCTTTGCTCTCGGAGAAGGCAATAGGGAACAGCGTATTTTTCTGTGGTTTGATCCTACGGCTGACTTTCATGACTACGGCATTCTGTGGAATCAAAACCTCATTCTGTAAGTGCTGGATACTGAATTTGAAGAATTTCAAGCCATCCCATCTGATGAGATGCTTTCAGACGAGTTCCATGCAAGTTTCTTGGCTATGATTCCCTAAGTGTCAACCGCCCGACTCCTCGCCATTGAACCTCGTTATTGCGCATCATTATACTAACGATGACCCCAACTTGAATGCTGCAGGTTTTTGGTGGACAATCGGGTCATCCGAGTCTTCCATAATTCCAAGGACCTCGGAATTCCATACCTGGAATATCAACCAATGTACATCTACTCTAGCATCTGGAACGGGGAGTCGTGGGCGACTCGTGGAGGTCGTGTGAAAACAGACTGGAGTCAGCAACCTTTCCTTGCATCGTACACTGCTTTCAACGTTTCGAACGCCTGCGTGGTCAAGAGCGTCACAAATTCTACCCGATGGAGCAGCTCGCACAATTGTTACAGGCAGTTGTATAGGAGTCCATACGGTAGGGCTCCCAACCTCAACTTGACGCAAACTCAAATCGACGACCTCCGATGGATTCAAAAGGGATTTGTGATCTACGACTACTGCACAGATTTGAAGAGGTTCAAGGGTGTGGCTCCTCCAGAGTGTGCCAGGAACTGGCCTTAGACTTTCAGAAGGTTATATTCATTCCCACATGCTCACCACTAAACTATTTTCAGTGGACAGCACTGCTAAGATGATCTTCGATGATCGAATAATCGAATGATCATGTGAACCAGCCAAGGTTTTTTATTTCTTTCTCTAAGTTCCTAGAGATGACAGGACCAGGAGAAGCATTGAACCTTTTTTCTTGAAAGAGTGGCTGTGTCAGACTTATTGGTATGAACTACATAGACTCACGACCTTGGCATTCTACCGGATATCGATCAGAATGTCTCACTTATTAGGATTCGATGGCAGGGAGCTCGGTAGGTCGCTGATGTACAAGCCAGAGACTGATTGGAAAAACTAATTAATTAGGTGAGGAAGCAGCTTATCGACGGCAGCTCTAGTTGATAGTGGATTTCTGTTTCCAAGCTAGATGACCTTTTTGTTACAGGGAAAAATAGCAATGCAGAGTATCTGGACAGACATTGGTGCATAGAGTTGATAAAAACACAATTTAATTAGCTTTTGAGTGATATATTACTCGTAGGATGGGTAGGATACTCTTTGAAAGTATGCTCCTGCATACGTTCTTTTTCTAAGTGGGTTTCGGTTGTCATTCTTGTCCTCAAAGACCGATTTTGAAATTGTTCGAAGCCGGTTGTGGCCATTTTTTGTCACGTGACTTCTTGTTTCCACGTGCAGTAATTTATGATTTTCATTTCGTCAAAAATTGGTTGCAATGCTGTCAACATGATCTTTTAAGTGCTCAGTGATTCCAGTTTCCACCCGTATACTTCATGTCCAAGCATGCTCCATCGGTTTCGGGTTTCAAAAAAGCTCACGGGCTTTCGATCTCAAGGACAGCATCCATCACGAGTTCGAGACTCTTATTTCGATCGAGTCTCCTTGGACCTTGTGTTCCATTGTTTTGAAGCGACTAGCTCTGTCTGTCGAAGACATTCATGACCTCATTCTATGTAGACTCATGGCTGTGGACGTACGTTTATCACGAAAATTTCCAGGCCTGTACGAGTAAGAATAGGCCCGTAGTTACGCTTCCATCCTAGGAAAGTATTCTTAAGTTAAAAAAAATCAGAAATTTGTGCAGCTCCACTTGGGCGGCTGAACTTCCTAAATCGTTAAGAAATAGGAATCTCAGCCGCCCAAGTGCTTGATACCGCAGTCTGCGAGGCATAAAGATTGTGTGTTAATACTCAATAGTAGATTTGATCTAAATTAAGGCTCACAAAATGTTGGACATGATTGTACGTATCTGAAGCTATTGGTATTGGGGTGGCACCAATTCATGCTTATTACGTAGGACTATTAACTGATAAGAACCCGGACTTAGTAGCAGATAGGCTTACGGATCATAAAGCATATCTTTTGAGTCCGGAAGTCTTGACAGTGTTGGATCTCCATCTCCGGCCTTCTATCCGATGTAGTGGTGTTTAGAATGTATGAAGATTTTCGTATGAGGCATTCCGTGATTTGTGCAAAGATTAGTCTCAAATCTTTGCTTTCATGTCGTAGTAGTCGAAGAGTTCGGGTCAGGTGGTCTGGAAGCACCTCTAAAGTACTAAGAGGTGAAAGAGTCAATGTCCGTGTTATATGTAAGACTTTTTCTTTCCGGACCGCATTTACCTCAATAATACAGTGCTAATATACTGCTAGTCGTGCATTTTTTATTTCCAGTTATACCGGATTTATTACATCTCGACAAGGGAGGAGACAAATAGAAGCGGTACGGGCAAAAAAAGGACCGTAATCAATACTTAATTGTATCACTTCAACCTCGATTATCAAGGGGAACAAAAATCAAGTAGAACACATCATATTTGTAGAGTCACAAACACTTTGCTTGAAGTAGTACGTAGAATAAATGAATTTTTAAAATCTCAGTCGCGGATTTCTTAGTACCTGGGACTCACCGCATCCTCGGAACGTTCTCCACATTAGCTGCGACATACTGACACGGTATACCGTGCAGTCAGTGGCATCTAGAATACAGAAGGTGTACAGAATAGGGCGACGTGATGAGTCTAGTACCTCCGTTCGACAGGACAAAGTTCATCTGTCTGTGCTCTCGCCTGAATTTCGACAGCTTGTCTTAGCATCTACACCATGCGAACGCGGCGTGGAAGTCAGCGGCCGAGTAGATGACCAATAAAAAAAGCCCGTTCTTAGCATCTTTCAGGTTTCTGCTCCGAGCTTGCGCAGCATGAAGCTTATCTTGTTTCACTCGGCGGACCACTTGCCAAGTCTTGCAACGTGATACATAATACCTTCCCCTTACTTATCAAGCCTTTTTCATTCCCCTTGATTATTTATTTTTGTCTTGTGCTCTCACATGTCCCTTCTGAGCACTCGTGGACGTAATATTCGATTCCATTGAGCACCCTTTTCGGCATCGAGGTGATTTCGGCTATTTAACAGTGCGATCTGGTCGAACTCCATATCGAAACTTCCAAAGTTCTTCATGCAGCCCTTCACCTATTAACATGTCTGTGCGTTCAAACACTCAGATGAGAACCGTTTCCGCGCTTTTAATTAAACTGAACAATAGGGTGTGTAGACTGAACGCTATGGATCTGCCTCCTATAATACAACACTTCAGCTGTCATGCAGGACCTTAATCAGTGTGAGACTAAAAATACCACATTGTACCTTGGATCCAGCTTACAGTGATCTTGCTAACATACGAACGTGAGGATGTCGGGTGCAATTATTCTGTCCTATCCCTGTTTGCCAAAGACTGAGCTTCTCTGATCCTTGTTCAATGGATCAAAGATGCTCAATCATTTGGCTGGAGCTTCCGGATTAGCAATGGTTTCTGAATATAAAACACCTCATCTGAAATACTTTTCCTGCTCATCATGCCAACCTTGCATTCAGCTTGGACATACAGCTCCAAATCGGTCATAGACTGCGAAATCTGAGACATAATCACATTTGCTACACATCTCAAACTCAGCATTATGGTTCCACTCTGGATACATCTGAGTTTGATCGTAAACATTCAGGACATCAGCTGAAACTAAAATTAGAAGTGTACACTGGACGTCCTCATGAGGTACTTCAGGTATGAGGTACTAAATGAGCCGTTTTTAGCACATGTGCTGTTCGCAATCCAGTTTTCTAGATCTCTTCCGTTTCCCATTGAGGAAAATCCATGACCAGACTAAGAAGATCTAGAACCTTTAATAAACTGAACCAAGTTACAAATGTTTTTGCTTCCTCCCCTAGGCTCGTCGTGGAGCTGAAGGGAATCCAGATTTCATTTCTCATCAAACATGCGGCATGTTTGATGAAATCTGGATTCCAGCATGTTACATGCCGTATACTGCACAGCAATCCATGGGGCCGATCAGAATGATGCAGTAATACTTCTGTTTCCATCAAAGACACTACTTAGTGTTTTCTTTATATCCTCATTTTTAATGTAATTAACTCCGTATCATTGATATGGAGGTGTTCATTAGCGAAAGAGCATCCCAAAAACAGGTCTGTCTGTTTTGTGAATATGAGAATCTTCCCTTTCACTTTCGCAGTTCCCTTTGACTTAGTCACTGCGGGTGTGCCCTATCTGAATATGAGTGTTGGTGATTCTTGATCTCGTAACAATTTCATGCATTTAAAGTCCACAGTGGCCACGGGAAGTCAGGCTGGAGACTTGAACGCTCATTGTGGAATAGCCTCTGGTTCTACGGTAGCTAGTACTTTATGCGCCTTCCTCCCTCACATATTGCCTAAGATTTTCTACAGGTGTAGGTTAAGTTCTACAGGAAATATGGAAAAATTCTATGAAAAATCCACGATTGTGGACGCGCTTTGAACATGAACTGCCGCTCGATAGATTCGGAGCTTCGTCGGACCAGCTTTGCTTATGTACTATGAGGATGCTTAATCATGTTATACAAGTCTGGGTTTTAATCACTGGCATCATTCGAGTTCCTCGTCTCTCGACCGCTATCCTCAGAGGGAGGGTAGAGTTGTAACTGACACCCATCTGCACTTCCTGACAGATTAAGATCCTCAACCTATATTTGTAGTGACTGGAGTCAAATCTATGCAAGATGAGGCTTCTGTTCGAAGTACTCTGCTTCAGTTCACTTTTCCTCTCAGCTGCACAGGCGTATACATTTTGGGATGATTTCTATGTGTTTTTTGGTGGCGTGAACGTACACTTTCCTGGCAATGTGACAGGGAACACCGTGGAACTGGGACTTACTAACAAAACTGGTACTTGTTCGGATTCAGACACTGGACTTACACTCATTTCGCTGGAATTTATGGTTGCAGGCTCGATGGTTAAACAAAAATTGCCAATGGTCGATACCGGATTTGTAATGTTCCTGGATTAATACTAAAATTAACTTCATCTTGAAGTTCATTATTGTCGATTCTTTGTTAATGTCAGCTCACCAAGTTTTCTACTCTATTAGGATCTGGTTTTCGATCCAAATACCCTTATCTGTATGGCCAACTCTCGATGAAGGTGAAACTTGTGGGAGGCAACTCCGCCGGAACTGTCACTTCTTTCTATGTAAGTGACCTTACAGAAGTCAGGCTCTTTTCTTCGTAACTTAAAAGTCGTCTCCCAACTTGAAGACAATTTTTAGAGTATTTGCTAGATCTGAACTTCCGATGGCACAGTGAAAATACAATACAAGTACAATACAGTGAGTACGAAAACAGCTGTTTAATAACAAATCAAAACTTGCAAAGTTATTATCCTATTGCATGTCTGAAATAGGATAATATCTATTGCAGACATGCAATACGTATTTAATCGGTTCGCAATTTCAGGTACGCTCGACATACAAGAACTGGTGTGAACTCGACTTCGAGTTTTTGGGCAATGTTTCAGGGCAGCCTTACATTCTGCAAACCAACGTTTTCACTCTAGGACAGGGCCATAGAGAGCAACGCATATTTCTTTGGTTTGATCCTACAGCGGACTTCCATGAATACGGCATTCTTTGGAACCAAAAGCTCGTATTGTGAGTGATGAAAACTAAACTTATAGCCTCAAATTTGTGCTTTGACCGTTTATTGTTGACCTTTCTGAAATACACAGACCTCTGGCTCTGCTGTCGACACAACGCGCTAAGCCTTGGTATATAACATTGTATGCTTCGAGTAAGAATCGGGACCGCTCACGGATCAGAGCACAGACCCTCGGATACAAGTGTAAACATTCTCTCCTTGGCTGCTCTCAGGTTTCTGGTCGACAACCGTGTCGTCCGAGTCTTCCACAATGCCAAGGACCTTGGGGTCCCATATCTGGAGTATCAGCCTATGTACATCTACACCAGCATCTGGAACGGAGACTCGTGGGCCACTCGTGGAGGTCGCGTGAAAACAGACTGGAATCAGCAACCTTTTGTTGCATCGTACACAGGTTTCAACGTTTCGAATGCTTGTGCAGTTAAGAACGTCGTCGGACCTAGATTCATCAACACCTATAACTGTTACAGAAAATTGTACAGGAGCCCATACGGTCAGGGCCCCAACCTCCAGCTATCGCAATCTCAGATTGCTGATCTGAGGTGGATTCAGAAAGGCTTTCTAGTGTATGACTACTGCACAGATGTCAATAGATTCCCAGGGAAGGTGTATCCAGAGTGTGTAAGGAACTGGCCTTGAAATCCATAACCCTTCATTCTTAGCCTAAATTCTTTTAATCTCGTGGTTTTACAGCCCGTCATTCCCGAAGTCGTAGAGCTATGTCATCAGCTTTAGACGCAAGAACATGTACAAATGATGGAGATTCATCAGCAGACCCCAAGTTGAGTTTTTTGTTCTTCCATTCGTAGTTCTCGTGTCCATAGAACCGAGGAAGAATTTCACCAGTAAGCACGGGGTGACAGAAGTAAAAGATTTTGAATTAGTGACTACAGGATTGGACCTTGTTTTCATTCTCAAATAATTAGTGGTTTCGAGATGTAGATCAACACCGCTCAAGGAGGCTGTAAATCAATCTCTTTTCTACTTGGTCGTGTCTCTTCTACTTGTCTACCATCAGTCTGAAACTAATTGAACTTCTATCATCTACAGAAGTCGTTTTCGTACTTTTACGTTCTTATATCTGGACATATCAACTTTACAGCATAAATTCTCATGGTCATGGCATTCACTGCAGATATCTTCATGTTCGAACCGATGTCGACACAAGGTCTGTGACGCGAGCGCATAAAACTGCTATTTTACTTGTGCTGGAAATGTGGGGTGATATCTGTCACTAAATTGGTCGGAAAATAAACCGGCCTGCAAGTCTGTTCAAAGCTTGCTCGCTATACCGTTTATGCGAAGACCAGAAATACCATTGCCTCTTCCATCTGCTGCTGTACAAGATACCAACCATCGGCTTTTAGAAAGATCGACTTTTGAGTACTGATCTAGGAATCCCAAAGATTGCGGAAGCCTGCCATCTGCTGCAGGTGCCGTCGAGACGAGAGGCACAGCATGAGCTTGTAAGGATTACATTTCACCTTGGCTTTAAGTCAAATATTCATTCATGTGAGTAAAAAGTGGCAGAGAAAGTGTCGCAAGTGAATTCTCTCCTCTGAATTGCATGCAACACTGTCATTTTGCAAGGAGTTCAGATGTACAGAAGCGATACTCCCGAAGTTCTGGAAACGCGTCAGAGTTGACGTGACGTAAGCTTTATCCACCACCGTGATTTTGCTTTAACAAAAAGCTCATGACTGCTGGACCGTATCAAGAATGGCTCTTCAGATGCTTGTGTCTGGCATTGTGGAAGAGATACGTGTAGGAAGCCATCAGCGATGCATGGTAAGAAGTTCTAGACACTTAAAATCGCTCACATGGCTCTAGCATGAATACGTCTAGGATGAGTATATCTGTCTGCCACAACATGAAGAGACTCGTCCACCAAGAACTCAATTCTTCCTGGCAGATGTACCTAGAAAACATCTTTGCATCGTAAGGCAAGTCTCATCGCTTTCCTTATACTGGAATCTTGCTGGACAGCCACAGGCAGATTTGCGCTCACGCGCTCGTTGGATGCCATGATCAGCGTACTAAAATCCATTGACAACTGTTTCGAGTGCGCTGTCCGGACCGCCATATCCGCTGAGACATGAGCACGACTAGTGAGACGGGAATGTATGCTGGCAGACGTGCTCTCTGCATTGACCCACGGGACTGTTGTGGGGCTATAAGCTTCATGTAAATTGGCCTCTAATGCTTCCGCATCTGTGGTCCTCTATTTGATCTTATTGAAAGGACAAGTGCCGGGTACTTATCGAGAGGTACAAGAATAAGGTCCGGGTTCACTCAGATTGAGCAGTTGGTCCGATTTGAGCTGCAATTGCAAGTGCCAGAGAGCAAATGCAATCTGAAGAACCCAGTGGCGTAGATCTTCAAGATTAGACAAGATGAAGCTATTTTTCTCACTGCTATGGTTTACCGCAGTCTTCATCACACGTTTGCAGGCTGCTAAATTTTGGGATGACTTCTACGTGACTTATGGTAACGAAAACGTGAAATATCCTGGCTCTGATCCGGGCTACATCGTTCAGTTGGGTCTCACTAACAGATCAGGTATGGAAAAAGGTTTCTAGCTAGATGTGGAATCACTCTGTCACTTGCAGGAATCTGAATCTATTAATCATGATGGTGGTGGCCAACTCCTGATTTTGCCCTAAAACTGCCGCAAAAGTTCCCTCTCGATTGTGATGATGGTTGCCGCTGCGGCCCCTGTTCCTTGCTGTTGCACGAACTGACTTGTCCTTGTGGTGGATCTGGATCAGGATCTGGATTTCGGTCTAAACTTCCATTTCTGTACGGCGAGCTTTCCATGAAAGTGAAGCTGGTGGAAGGAAACTCAGCCGGAACTGTCACAAGCTTTTATGTAAGTGGTATCCATTTTATGATTTGTAGGCGAAATACAAATGCAAGAGGGCGAGCTATCCTTAAAAATTTACTCCAACGATTCTGTGTCAAAATTTCCTCTGAAACCGGCTTGTTTCATTTTATTTTGTTTTCGAATTCAGCGCACCGAAGCATTCATAATCCGATCTCACAATGATTTCGACGTCCATTCTATAGAGTACTGATACGAGGTTGTGAATGAGGTAAGCCAGAACGCAAAGAAGTTGAGAGAAGTGTAGTTGTCAGGGGTTTCTCTTTCTCTGCAGTCTTGCACTGCGAGCTGTGGAAACGTGAATCGAAGGATGACTGGATAGGACTAACCCCCCCTCCCTTCTTCCGCGTTTGTGCAATTTCAGATGGCTTCTATCTTCAAGAACTGGTGTGAGCTAGACTTCGAATTTCTGGGCAACGTGTCGGGGCAGCCCTACATTCTTCAAACCAATGTTTTCTCTGAGGGAGTGGGTAATCGAGAACAACGGATCTACCTTTGGTTCGATCCCACGGCTGACTATCATACCTACAGCATACTCTGGAATCAGGCCCTTATAATGTAAGTGATCAGACTCTTTTCGAGCGTTGCAATTCAATTCAATTCACTTAATTCTCATCGAACTCACTCCGCCAGCTACTGCTTCATGGAATCCTCATCTCCACATTAGCATATCAGAGTCTCGTACAGATCAGGAATTCAACTGTATGAGACATGTCTGGAAGCATTGTGAAACAGCTCACGGACTCAAGGCGTGGTGTCACCTCCAGGTTCAAGGTTGATAACAGGGTCATCCGCGTGTTTCACAAAGCAACAGATCTGGGAATTCCGTATCTAGATTACCAACCTATGTACATCTACTCGAGCATCTGGAACGGAGAATCGTGGGCAACTCGTGGCGGTCGCGACAAGACCGACTGGACTAAGCAGCCTTTCGTCGCATCCTACACAGAATTTAACGTTTCCAGCGCCTGCTCGTTGAAGGACGGCTACGTGACGGAGGATTTGCATGCCTGTTACAAAATGCTGTACCAGAGTTCATACGGTCAACCTCCCAACCTCGCACTCTCGCAATCTCAAATCGACCATCTAAAACTCATCCAGAAAGACTTCTTGATCTACGACTACTGCAGAGACACGAAGAGAACCAAGAACGTTCCACCCCCCGAGTGCTCCAGGAACTGGCCATCCATCACACTTTCCTCTGCTATAACAGCCGCATCGACTGAAAGTCACGGTTTCTCTGTGTTGGATTTATCGCCAAAACTGTCTCGGGACAGACTCACGGTGTAGAGTACTTAAAGCACTCGTATGCTTCGAATATGCAGGTGTTGTGTGACTAGGTGAATGTACATTTCCACCCAAAAAAATTCCTCGTTAAAGTAAACTAAAACGAAAGGCTCTGAGAGTGACCTGTGTTTGATCTACGCGATCTACCAGCTGTAAAGCATTACTGCCAAACTTATAAACTGATTCCTCCAAATGAGCATCGCCTTCTTTCCTCTCACCGCTGAAACGAAACATACATCACGTTCTTTGTAGATGACGAAAGAAATAGAGAACCTTACTCACGAATATACAAACTTACAGGCTATCCTAATCGACAACACTATTACTAGTTACAAAACTCATCCAAACCACTAGCACTCTTGCTGGATCCACACCCAGCACGTATCCAGCCTTCTCAACAGAATGGCCGGATCTGCGAGCGTCGTCCTGCTGACAGGACTTGACTGTGTTGCACCCACGAATACGATGGGACTCAGTCCTCCATCTTCGTGTATCCAGGCACACAAAGTCGAGCGCATATGAAGCCCTGGAGATGAACGAGAATGAGATGGGGCTGAAACCCGAGACTGAAGAACTTCTGAAATTCCACGACTCCGCATCACGAGCATGCCAGCACGTGGGTGGGGTACACGCAAGCGGAGGGAAAAATGCGAACGCTTCTATCGCCACTGCCCTCTCGGAACTACTGAATCCTGGCACCATGCGATCAGGCCCTCATGGATGCGAGAGCGCAACATCTTCTTCTGGCGCTTGCTGCGACGGCGCTAAAGCCGTGTCTACTACCTCGAGTCCCTCATTCCCGGCGACGCGGCCGGAATCCGTTAGAAAAAATTTCTTTGCGTCGTTGGATATTGTGGCCGCCAAATTGTCACGTGAGGATCTGCCATCGATCTTGCTCAATCCACGGCCAGGCTTTGAGGATTGTACACGCTCGGACGTTTTATGTTTGACGGCCTTCGGGCATTTCCGTGTTGTGCTTGTTAAGACGTTTTCGCAGCAGCGATCGGGATCTCGAGGAATTCGAGGACGAACGGTTATCTACTCTCTAAGGAGATTGGTGTGACGACAACAACCAATCTTCACATTTGGGAACATAATGAAATGTGATGGTCTAAGGAGAGCTATGATCGCTGATCCATAGTCATTGTATTCGTGTTATTCATAAGAAAATGTCTTATATTTATAACTTCGAACCACGAATATGCATCTGATGTTTTCGGTCCATCCGGTACATTAATGTTTGCGAAGCCCATGTCCCTCTCCTTGCTTTTCGTTAAGATCTATAAAAACATCATCAAAGTAACATGGATCGTCTTCCTTCTATGATAGAGGAACCACTTCCGCATAGTACTACAAGTGATAACGATGAGATGTCTAAGTTGCACTCGTTACACCATAAATACCAATAGTGAATCATGTTGAATATCTATGTGCAGCAGAAATAACTATACATGTAGATAGAAGAGTGATTTTTTAAGATTTTTATTTTAATGCATTTACTGCAATATTCAATAAATTTTACATAGAATATACAATCAACATTGAATTATTTCAATGTTGATTGTATGTATCACAACATTTATATGTTGTGATAACAATGGTTTTGTCTTTGAAAAAAAACATATGATATGTGAAGAAAAAAATGTAATGGCAAAGTATAAAGATATATACATATAGTTAATTGATTGATTTAATAGATTTATTAATTTTAAAAAGTATTGAAATCATACAACTAAGATTTCAATGTAGATTTGAAAGGAGAAAATGCAGTGTCAATTAATGATCTAAATCTGCAACAATAGATGTCTAACTATAAGAGTATAAACAACTGACATTGAGGCAATTTGTTTTATAACAATAAGCTTCACTCATCAATATTTCATAATCATATATTTTATTTATCAACTATTATATATGTTGCAAGAAGTATAATAGCAGAACATATATATATTTTTTTATAATCTATCATACATAACTATGTAAAATTGCAAGAATATGTTATCAACCAAGTAAATCTATACAATGCATATAATATGAGCTTTGGGCTTTACAAGAATATCATCGAATCTGCATTTGAAAGATAATATAAATGCTGTCAATTTATCATACAACTAGAAAGATATTTAATGTTGAACTTTACTTATTATAGATTAAAATATATTTTTATTCTAATAAATTTAAAAATTCATAAAAATATATATATATTCAGATATAATTGATATATATTCATATAGTTTATGAATTATTTTTTATTTTGATTTTAATTTCAGAGATTATGATTATTTTTATGATTTAAGATCTTCAAGACAAAACATTGCATAAGACACAATAAATATTCAAACAATTTGAATTGAATTAATAAAAAATTTGAATTTAATTATTTAACAGATGATTTTTAATTTTTTGGAAAAATCTCCAAATTTTTTTAAAAATCACAAGAATATACATTCATCAATTTTGAAAATATGTGGTTCACCATTACGTCCACTGAAATGCAATGGATTTCAATGAAAAAACCCTAGAGTATCATCCAATACTTTTGCTAGTTTACTTTTGTAACAAGAGGCTAAACTAAATACTAACTTGTATTATACTAACAATAGTGATAATTAATCGTGAGTTATAACCTTAGTATCTTTATTCATGATGTGGAGATTGTAATATCCATAACAGATAATTTTTACTTTACAAAAAGTTTAAAGAAGATACATAAGATATGAATCTATTTGAACTAAATCAATGAATTGTAAATCACATCAAAGTAAAAGAGAATAAAAGTATATCTAGAGACAACAAAATTGTTATTCAATTCTACTTTGTAAATGCTATTCAATCTGGAATGTAACTTGAGTTCCAAAATTATTTTCTTGTCATTTGTTGCGTTGTACTTTAGATTGTGCATCAATCTACTATCAATCAAAGTTTGAATTCTTTGAAGCTCCAATACTTGTAATTGCAATCTATTTATGATTGCAATTCACACTCCATAATCGTATTACAGTCAAGCCTATTAACAAAGATTTGAACTTTTCACGAGGAGAAGAATCTTCTTCTTGCAAGATTAACACATTAGTTTCAGCATTCTCAGCATCAATATCATGATTTTCATAAATTGATGAATCAATTTATAATTCATACCTCATAGAAGCTCTACTACTGCAGTATGATGATCACCTAACAAAAAATACTTTGTTCTGGACAAAAAAATTTGATTAATATCTATTGAATGAATACACCAATGATATAATGCTTCTTAAAGTTTTGCTTTTGAAGACTTTACTTTTTTCTAATATAATTTTTCTTTGTGTAACATCATTTATTGCATAATGATACACCTCTCCTTAAAGAAAATTTATAAATGAAGATTTGTTCTTAACAGTGTATGGAGCTTGAAAAATCTTGCAATGGTTTTGTCTCATCCAAAGAAACATACCTATTGATATCATCTTTATATGCTATCGGGACCCATAATCTAAAACCTTTCACATTACTAACATATCCAAGAAAAAAATATTTTTTGGATGTAGTATTCAACTTAGTCATATTTCTCTTAGGTTTGGAAAGAAAATACTTACAACAAAAAATTATTGAACAAATATAATTGGAATTAAATTTATGACACACTTCAAACAATGGTAAAAAATGCTTGTATTAGATAAGGATTTATTTTAAAAATACAATACGGTATTAAAAACTTCATCTCAAAATTCATCTAGTAAAGCATAATGTACCAACATATTGAACATCTTTTACACATTGTTTGATGAGACTATTAAAAAGTTAATTTTATTGTGAAGTATACATTGCAGGAGATTACAAGTAATCTATTTTTAATAACTTTGAAACTTGACAACATTATGATACACATCATTCATTATACGTAGGTTTTTTTATCTTGTGTACAGTTTAAGTTTCAACTTGAACTTTCAACTTTTAAAAGTTGTAAATGTTTCATATTTTCATATGAGAAAATAAATTTATCAAAATTTAAATATTTATCCAAAATGCATAGTTTAATTTTTCAGATATTGACATTTTTGGATGTGAAACTTTATACGTAGAATATATTTAAATTTGTGGAATCCAACATCAAAAATTTTCTTATGTGTTTGCTCATAGTAAAACATTCTCAAAACTTTATATCAATTTTACATATGTATGGTAACAAACTGCTCCCAACAATGAGTGTTTTTCATTTTTCATGTGTTTAAATCTAGAATGCTACACATACATAATCTCAACTTGAGATTTAGTAAAGTTGAATTTTTTCATCTAATAATGTCTTTTAATATGTATATATTTTTGTATTTATGTGTATTCAATATAATTTTATCATCTATCTTCACCTCAAGTACTAATTTTTTGAAATCTTACTCAATAACATTTCAAAAAATATTATTTTCTTTTTCATATTATGTTTGAATCTTGTTTGAGTTAATTGATGTTGCATCCATCAAATGTGTAATTTTGAACAGATTCCAATATTGATCATAGTGACAAAATTGATTGTTGTAAAACTGGAAATGAAAATAGTAGTTCATTTGAAGATGAAATACAACTCTAAAGACGAACAATGTCTTGAATGAATCTATTCTTCCTTGAATTATTTTTTTCAACAAGTATAACGAAATAAAATCTCACCTTTATATGTCAACAAACATTTACATGTGATTGTTGACATGTCCATCTTGCCACAATTTTAACATACAACTAAATTACTTTCTAAGGATTCACTTTTAAACTTGGATCTGCGTTTAAATTCAAAATGTATATCATTTTTTTCATTATGTGAATATGATCTATGTTGGAGACATTATCTCCAAGATAGTCCTAATTCTCAAAGCCAACAAATATAATGAATTGTGAGGATGATTACATAGATTCCAATCATGCCACACATCAAGTATGAAACATTTCATCCATATGTTTTGCTACACTGGACATTATAAACTAATATAGATCTTGATATAGATCTATCACAACAATAATTTCATCACTTACTACTTCTATGTGCTTATAGAAATGTGATAGTGGTTACAATCTTCTTACGTCAAAATTGAAACATTTTATTCATATGTTTTGCTTCATGATGCACTAGCACAATGATCTAGTCATCATTTATTTTGTTCAAAGCTCAATTTCAATTTCGTATTCAAATCAAGATATAAACGTCTCATAAAAATGTACTACTAGTTACAACCTTCTAAACAATCTTACATACAACCCTTAGACTTTTGTTTCATCTAAAGTTAACATTCATTCAAAAAATTGCTCTAACAAAACTTATTGCAATTTAAAAAAAATATAACACCAAGCATACGTGCAGAACGTAGACACATCTAAGTGCCAACTCGAAGTACATGATTATGAACAGTACAGAATTCAAAAACATTTTAGTGATAAAAATCCTAAATGTTAAACAAGAGCTTTGGCTAATTTTCAATTGTACTAAAATGCAAAATCTAAAGTCTAACAAGGATGAACCTAAATCAGTCAAAAAGATCTGAGTTAATATTAACGTTTAGCCACATATTTAAATAAAACCAAGAGAATAATTTTTTTATACAGAAAATATAAATTTTGAAGTAATTTAGAACTTATTTTCAAAATTGAAAATGTTTTAAATCTAAAAAATAAATTTTGATGAAGAATGAATAGATCAATGCCAAGTCGAGAGCGAAAAAACTTTATATTTTTATATTTTCTTAATAGAGCTTAGTAATAATTTTACTTCATTATTCTTCAACTTAAACAAAACTCTTACCGAATATTCCAGATTTTCAATGTACTTGAGGTTTCAAAATCATCAAAAGAGCTATACAAGACGCTTATGCTCTCAACTCTATTAAGAGATAAAACAGTCGAGTAAGTCGAAGAGAATCAAACACAAAGAATAATAAAATAGAAATATAAGTCCCACAATCAATTGAGAAATTTACAATCTTGATAAACAAAGTTTCATTCAGATATTTTTCACTTTAGTTAGTGAATATTTCTAAATCTTGTGAATAATTCTTGAAATTTCTAGAAATATTATATATATATATATTCATTCATGAAAATGTGTGATGTTAATCATGAAAATGAACAATTGCAATCATTCTTCAAGTATGAATTGAGTGAAAAATAACTCAATGTTCAGAAATTCAACCCGAATATATGCTTAGATATAAAATTCAATAGCAACAAGTGTGAAAAAGCCAACTAAAGCATTGGAATGTAGAATCAGCTTTCGCAATTTGAAGTAAATGTTTGAATTTGGACTGGAAGTAATTTAACTGTTGGGGGTAGTTCCACGGAACACACCAATATACAATCATATTCTTGAAAGCTTCTCTTAACCGCAATGAAGTCACATGATTCTTATACTCTTATACTCCTCCAAAATCAAGCAGTCTTAGAACCGGGCCACCTTGTTGCCACTAACGTGAACTATGAAATCCAAATCTGCGTCGCAAATTACTTTGCAGGCTTGCTGGTTAATACTGGAGTACAAGAGGACACTTATCCAGTAGGATGCGGCCTGTATGTGGGCAAAATAGGTTCTCTGTAGCCGAGATAAAGGTAAGTGTGACGTCCACAACATCTAAGTCGTCATTAGTGAGCTGTATGGGCAAGTGAGATTGCGCAAATTGTCGTGAAACAAAAGTCGCAAGTCGCTTGCAGAGGTGTGCAAGGTCCATGGCCTTTTCGCAATCCAGAACAGTGCGAGGTCAACGAGTCGGCGACGTCAAGTCGACACTTCGCGAAGTCGATGGGCTGGCTCCTCGATCATTGAGTGCATACAGTTATTGCGCGGCGGTTGCGCTCATAGTTCGGAGTCCAGACTGAAAGAACGAGGGGCGAAGTCGGATGACAGGAAGATGGTGGAAACGACGAGGGAGGAGTCCGATGTAAGCGTGGACACAAGGATTCTCTGGAAGTGGGGACACAGCTCACATGCACCTGAGGCTGAGGAAAAACTTCCCGGGGACGATGCTGCATAATCCAAGGTGAAGGGAGCCGAGGGAGGTTGCCAGGTCGTTCCCTCAGCTGGCGTCCACATTGAACTTTTCTCGTCCAGTGCGCAGCGCATGTGAGCAACCGAGGTAGTATTCCTCCGCAGCCTCCTTGAGCGTGTAACTCGTATTTCCGTCAACTCCAGACTCCAGACTCAATGCACACTACTCTACACTGTATGTAAGACAACGAGAGTTCACAAGGGAGGGGATGAGCACATCAGGTATCACGGGGATAGGCCCAAGAAGCATAACCCCGGCAAATATAACTGTACCACTCAAAGATATCCTAACTTTTTAGATCGTCGAACGTGGAAGCTTCAGAAGAAGTTTCACGTAAAGTGATTTTTCTCATCTGGAATCCACCTAGAGTATGCTGTATTTCAAGGTAAAGAAAGTGACTATAGAATGAAACCCTTCCAAGGGTTTTCACAAACATGTTGAAATGGAAACTCGAGGAATGAAGATTTGACATCTCTAGACACTCATCTCTAGTCGTGTTGTTGGATACATAAATTGCTCATTCTCCAATGCCAGCCCATTTACGAAGTTCGTTGGTCAACCCGCTTTGGAGATTGTCCAGTGCAGTATTGAGAACTACAGCGTTTATCATAATAATCTAGAGCCTAACATTGATTATAGTCAACCAAAGTTGATTGCAACCCTAGTCTAGCATCAAAGCAATTGTATGCATAGTTTTTTCACATTCACAGCTGATAGTTGAGAAAGTAAAGATATGGTCCAAGCAAAGTATAAAAGTGTAGAGAAGGTAGCTCGCTGTTCACTTGCTTGCTTGCATTTGCTCTCATGAGAACTGCGCTGCATCTTCTGTAATGAAGACAATTGTAGTCGTCACTTCCGCTGAGTAACGTGCTCGAAGCTTGGAGTGTTCGACTGAGCTCAACAGGGAAACCCCTTTTGAGAAGCGTGCTGCGTCAAGCAGAAATGCGGAGCATTTAGCCAGGGACCTAGTGTTGGAGGAACACAACTCAAAAGGCATGCCCGCGGGCGAGGGCACGGGGGCATGCCTCGTTCGCATTTTCCATACGGGGCATGCCCGTATGTACGAAAAACTTTATACGTATATTCCAGAGTTATAGACGGTGGGATAAGTCAAAAAAATAAATGGGAAGTTATTCTTGCTGTTGGGGCTGCATGGTACTGAAACTGCTCTTGGAACTGAAGGATTTGCCAAGTATATGCAATGCTGTTTTTCTGTCGGTACGTGGGATGTTGACAGATACTCCGGCTTGTTGATTGTTTCCCCTTCTAAGAGTGCTTTATTTTCATAGAAGTATATTATCTGATACATCAAACATACGTATTTTAATACGGGCATGCCTCGAAAATTTTTGTTGTGCCTCCAACCAACCCTACAGGGACCTGCCGTAGTGACCGGGTATGGACCGTGGACAAGCACCCGCATCCCTTCTATCAGCACCCACGCTCCGCTACTGGTCACCGGCCGTCGGACACGAAGGCAGAAGAGTGCGTCAGGCGTCTGGCGTCTGGCGTGCGGACTGCAGCAAAGGAGAACTGAGGCCAGGTCAGGGTCAGTGTCAACGGGGCCGGTCAAGTCGTCAGCATCGGGGGTCCACTTGGCACAATCACGCGTTGAGTGGGATGCCCGGTCGGAAGAGAGGTTTTGGACTCGCAGGGATATGATGAAGATGAAGATGCGGGCCACTCCTCAGGCTCTCAGTCACTCTCTCGCTCTCCCGTTCAGACTCCGTTCCTTCGCTCGGCTTTCGCAACGAGTCCGAGAGTCGCGTGCACTGCCTAGCTTTGAGCCGCCCTGCTGCTCTGCTCGAACGTGAGGGTGGGGGTGGGGGTGGGGGCCGGTGGAGGACAGACGCTCAGAGGTAGGACAGGGAAGGTGTGATCGGTTCTGCACTGCTCGACTAGATATGACCGTGCGAACGATGTCAGTTCAGGCCCCTGCACAAACAGATATGAAGCTGCAATCGATGTCTTCTCCGGCGCCGATCGTTGTCGTGGTCGAAGAGAAGAAGAGGGTTTGCCACACGAGGTGCACCAGCCGGGACAGGGGAATCGGACAGCTGGTTCCTACGCAAGGCATCACTGTGGTCATTTTTATAGTCATTGCACTGTTGCTCAAAGCTGAAGAAGCCGAAGATATTGTGGAATCTCTGAGAATTGCTACCGAAGTTGTGCGTCCGCTTCTGGCCCCTGTAGTCTTGGCAGTGTGTGGCTTCCTCATCCTGGAAATGACTTCATCATGATTATAGCACAGGCAATCGCCCCGCCTGACGTGTTTCCGGTCCGTCTCTGACCACAGACTGCTGCTGCTACTGCTACCACCATCACTTTTAATACACACTTGTAATTGGCTCTGGAAGAAAATACGAGGACAGACGCACGGGCGCTAACGAAAGTACCTCTTCCTCCACCGATTGGTCTCGTGGTGAGCGTCTAGCGGATTGCATCGACTCTGCCCATCGATCAATCGATCAGTCGAATCACCCGTACAGCAATGATGCCACAGACGACGAAGATATTTGAGTCAATTTGCACCACCGTTCGAGGGCCTGGTTATAAGTTAGCGCTCTGGATGCACATCGTTTGCGTGGTTGACGTGTCGTGGGCTCTGCTGCACATTCTCACGATGGGTTTCGCTGCTTGGAGGGTGTAGAGAATTAGGGAGACCTGGGATATCTTTTCCGTAGGGTGGCCGTCCGCATGGTTGGAGAGCTTGAGCCTGATGTTCGATGAAGAAGAGGTGCTTTGCAGGTATCCATGGATCGATCAGAGTTCGCGGGGCTTGGAGACAGAATTGGCTGGTGACATGGTTCCGCGGGATCCAGGGCCTGCCTCTGCGTGTTTGTGATGCACAGCCGGATTGAATCTCGCTACTGTTATGCTTGTAAGGGAGGGGAAGAGCAGGCGCTTGAGGTTTGTTACGCAGTTCATATGTGGGCTAAGACTTATTGGGAGTTCTGGATATCCAGAGGGTTCCTCGATTTTCATGTACACAGTCCAGGCAGTAGGCTGGATGGCTAGTTTCTGTATGTGCAGAAATCATTCTTTTGAATCGCCGGGGGCTTTCAACTATTGCAGTTATTGGCGAGGACGAGTTCGCAGTCGCTATGTTGTATCTATAGAACGGCCAATTGGCCGCCCTGTAAAAATGTAGGAATTTTTTCATCATTCATTCCCCGGAGATTCACTAGCAAATAGGATATTATTATTTGGTGACGCTACCGACACAACACATGTACACTTACTGGAACGAAGATGAAGGATTGATGCTGCTCTACAGAGTTTTAACCAAACGAATGAACCTCAGTGGAGGCCATCGATCGCATGAGAAGGCTAAAATTTCGTCGAGAACGAGGTCAATTTACAGCACGATATCAAGTAGGTTCAAGCAGCGAGGAATTGAAGGAAAATCTACGAGGAAGGAAACCGATGCCAATGCTTGAAGGGCTCAGTGGAAGAAGAGGAGATGGAACAGAGCCTTCTGGATGACGTCGGAGAGCGCCACAGATGACATCACGCTGCCCTCAAGGAGTGACCGCTCTATTGTTTGATTCACCGGCCGATCCATCCTTCAGAATTAAGTTTTTTGCATATTTGCAGAATCAAGTTGTACTGCACTCCAGTGCTCATCGGATGTATGAATTAAGTTAAAACTGTTTTTTCTGTGTATAGCCCAATTTCTTCAATCGTGGACATGGAAGTCTAGGAGAAGCAGGGAGGGGAGTTTAACGCTTAAAAGCCTCTGTCCCTTGTACTTCTTTGGGTGCCGGTGAACTTGAGAACTGTTAAAATGTGGAGCCTTTCCAGTGGGCATGAATGAATCATTCCAATTGAACCTCGTAAATATGGTGTCATAGTATACTGTTGTATTATCTTCGGAAAGTGAAGCTGGACAGAGTATGTGAAGGCCATGTCCCATCTTCTGAAGGACTATGATCGACGCTCTACATCATGTTCTGATCAAGAATTCTTGCGATCAACAGTTTCAGACAATGTTAATGACATGTCTAATTACAAGGTTTCATCTCGGTTGAATACGTCGAGTTCGTGCGATTTCGCCACTATCTTTGGACAGAATATGAAAATTTCCGATGGTTCAAGAGGAGTGCTAGAGAGAAGAAACACGGCAATCGATCCAGTAAAAGAGTAAAGCGTTCTCATTCTGCAGTACAAGCACAAACCTCATGTAAAGTCGGTACCCTCTAACTAGTACCCACGATGCCCAAGTGCCTCTCTGAATCTATCATCCATGTCTTCAATAATTGTCTCTCGTTGTGTATACTACCACAGTGGGCCAATGAAAAAGTAAGCATATTTCTAGAGCTTTGCTGACTTCACCAACACACCGAGATCAACCAACAAGGAGAATATCTAGGATTGCCTGAAGAATTATACTGTATTATATCTTCGGCAATTGTCTGGATTTCCATCTTCTATTGAGAAATAATGAATTCTGTCTTCAATAATTTGAGGAAGAGGCTTAAAACAGTACACTACTTCAAGCTTCAGCCGTACATCACGTAAAGAAGGTGCTCAGAAAACTGCACATGACATTTATCATCGTTTTGGAACATCACATAAACGCTTGAATGTAGATCCCATGAGAGTCAGAAAGGATGAGGACTTTTTTATTTAATAGGTTTTTACAGGTCAAATTTTGTGTAATTTCTTTTGAATGAAAGGGGCTTAGGATTTCGATCTCATGTGAATCTTCCTGAATTTTATTACTTCCATTCGTGGCTTTCCTATGGTTGGCAGTATATCATCAGATGCTTGAAGTCTGTTAGTTCCAGATGAGCAAACGATTTAATTGTAAAACCCAACGTGCTAAACGTGTTCCGTTTGTTTATAATTTTCTCAAACTCTTTTGGTTGTCGGTCTCTGTTCCCGAGAATGTATATCTGGATTGATCATGATGTGGACATCAATGTGTTCGTTATTCGCAAAATGTTCAAGTTAACTGCAGGCTTATTTGCAATAAGTTACGGTTAAAACTGGCAGCTGAAATAGCAATATCGTTTATGCTCAATCTACAGAAAGCATCACTAGATGCAACACTACTGTTTTGATTCCTGTAATCAGAGTTAGCTCCCTCGCTAAACATGTAGTGCACTTATGCGACCAATTCCGCAAAAAATTGATCAATCCTCAACCGTCGGTGACGGCTCTGTTCATGTCTTAGACTTACAGACAGATTTCTCCAAATTACAATTCGGTTTTCTCAGTAGAAGTAAATTTCACTGCAGGTGGACAGTGAACACCACAAACTGAAATCAACAGTTGTGTCAATCCAAAAACAGAAACAACAAATGAACCGTAAACAACACGTATCAGCTCAGTGCAATCTCGTAATAAATGTGTCACCTTCTCACCAGCTGATTGTCACTCTTAGTTGCCATCCACAAAAATGAGATACTAGAACCTGCTGTCATGTCTCGATCAAATTAAGTTAACTGCATGATGCATGTTATGTACTCTACCTTTGCTGTTTTGATACGATAACACTTAAATCGAAAAAATGTCTATGATTGGTCCGTGAAGATTCAGTTCAACTTCTAGAAAGTGTAGTAACTGAAGATTCAGAATATATCCATTGGATAAACTCTACACTCTATATATTTTGGTCAAAGTGCAAATCTTCAGGCGCTTGAAATAACGTAACCATTTTGTGTCCACCGAGAGTGTGGAGAACTCATGGGTGTAGCTCCTTTGACATGAGCGCCATTTTCATAAACTGATCATCTATTTAAGAAAATGACGGAAAATTGAATTGATCATTGGACAATGACCTCGATCGAAAATGTTTTTACCTGAATGTGTGGCTTTGCTACAAGCTTAATGTCTTTTCACTCAAGGTTATTAAGGAAATTAAACGAGAACAGGAACGTGTAACATTCCCAAGCAACATCCCTCGTCCAGAAAAAGGTTTCCGGAATCGACGCTGTCTCTCTCTCTCCTCTTCTTCATCATAAAGACTTTCTGAAGATTTCACTCAAGCGTTGAACAGGAACACTGACATCAACCAGATTGAAACAAGATTCTTTCTCCACTAAGAACATATTGTTATAAAAATCAAATCATGGAAGCCCTTGGGCGCGATGTATTTTACAAAGATATAGATACTCACTCCGGATCCAATTCATGAGGGAGAAGCTATCATATCTTAGTTCAAGGCAACTCCTCTCAATTGTAAATTTATATCAACTAGAGAATAAAGTGACACTAATAAAAGATTTGTCAAAAATGATTTTTGTTGATATATTTTCCAATAGAAAATATTTATACATCAAATAAATAAAATAATAATTTTTCTGTGCTAGATGTAACACAAATGTTTTACACAGGAGAAAATATTTTCTCCCACGAAAATCTTGGAACTAGATCTATTTTTATTTATTTTAAAAAATGCTAAAAATAATTTTTCTTCAATATTAAAATTAAAAATTATAATATCAATGTTCAACATCTAGACATAGTTTAGACCAAAGTCTGTACAAAGCATACTGTATTTTTCAACAAAAATTAATTTATTCTATGCTAAGAACCTTACCATATTCCCATCGACAGCTGTGTGGTGGGCTTTCCCAATGGTAGATAGTTCTAAGGTTTCGTTAGGAGTCGCTGTGGAAGGTCCATTGTCTTCATTGTCACACTTCATTCCACTAAAACACGGAAAAAATATCTTTATTTTTTTCCAGAAATTTTTCATCTTGTTTACGACCTCCATAGTAAAAAATCAAGTGAAAAGATACATTAAATTTAACATAAAATTTTTATATATAAATTTTTTTAAAAAAATTATTACATTAACACCATGTATTGGTGAGCAATGTACTTCTGTGGAGAGAAACTTGAGTGTCTTTCAAAGCTCAAAGTGCAGACACTTGCAGCACTAGTAAAGAGGGTACTGTCGAGATACCAAAGATTCTCGTCAAAAGACTACTTGAGTGAGTCGGGCTTTGCCACTTTGCCGGATCACCCCGGGTCTATTTTTGAACGTCCATCGCGTACTCCCTTCCTCGGAAAAGGGAGGGAGGAATGCTCAGTACCTGAGGAAAGTCCCAAGTGTTAGTCTTCGTCTTGTCAGCAGACCTGACAATGTGGTGAAAATCTTTATGAGAAATATAGAGGTGACATGATTTAGCTCGCGAGAATATTCTGAATTAGTACGAGCTGGACAATCAGAGAAGAACATGAACCCCGGTCCTCCGGGAAACAGGTAACTGCCATCTGAATAGCACGAGGGTTCAGATCCTCACGTGGACGTTGAGCAACGTCATCTACGTTTGCGTCACGCCTAGTCTAAACATTGGAAGATCTTGGACAGTACATTCCACTGATCAAGACTGCAAACCGAACAATTCCATGTACCTGAATCCAAGGTTCTCAAAGCGATCTTCGCTTAGGACATGTTTCAGCATACAGGACATGCAAGCAAGGCATTCTTCAAAGCGTGTACTTCGCATTCAATTCATGCGAACTATCACAGAGGTCTAATGTTTTGATTACTTGTCTTAGGATACGGGAAGTAATCATCCTACACAACAAAGATAGCGAAATGATCTTGCTTGTTAAGCTTCTAGACCAAAGACGAGGCACGGCGTTGCATCGAAATGAAATAACCCACTTGTATGCTTTTTATTTATTGCGATTCCACGTTTCCTTCAGAACAAGACCGCTACTTCCTGCAGTACACTACGCAACTCACCACTCAGCGTCACCTCAAATTTTGGCTTGATTTATTTGCTGTCGTATGGCAACCGAACTATTGGGAACGACCATCCAAGTTCTGAATCAATGTTTAACACGAACTATTGGGAACGAACTTTGCCGCAAGCGTACGAACTAATGTTCGTACGACGTCTGAGGAAACAGATGTCTTGTCGTAGTGCCGAGAGTGTGGAGTATCTTAGAGTAAAAATTTGCCTCTGATCATTTACTTCCAAGTCGTCTGTCCCGATGATTCACTCCATATAAGTAACTGCGTGTCACAACAGTTGCCATTCGCACTCCGATGCTGAAACTAGAACAAGGTTCTGACTCCACTCTGCAGAGATGAATTCCCTTCTTCCATAGTCCATTTGAGTGAGGCCGCCTCCGTGGGAGTCAAATGATTTGAAATGACCGGAGGAGGAGCGCACATACAGGTCACTCCCAGTGGTCCTTTGGTTCATGCATAAGAGCTTTACTTCGCCTTTTCTGCCACATGAAAACCATATATATCATCACTCTCAAATGATTATTTTGATTTGTAGGATGACTCTGATCCGACCGAAGAGCGTCTTTATGATATCGGTCATCCGGTAAATTTTTTTTCGGTCCAGACATATATTTTTAAAGTTAAAAGAGGTAAATTGAAGGCATGAAGATTTGCACTTTGACCAAAATGTATACAGTGTAGAGTTTATCCTATGGATATATTCTGAATCTTCAGTGACTACACTTTCTAGAAGTTCAACTGAATCTTCAAGGAACGATCATGATAGACTTTTTTTTTATTCAAATTTGATTGTATCAAAACAGCAAAGCCAGAGTATATAAAATGCATTATGCAGTTAAAGTAATTTGATCGTCATTTGAGAACTGGTTTGCAGGAGTCTCTCCGGATCCAAAAATCTGTCGACAATTAATCTAGGGCCTTGAAATGTGGACCATGAGGTAAGAACTTCAAGTATGTTGACAGATTACTGGAGCTTTAGAAAGCTCGATCAGTTGCTCCTTGTGAAAGGTGGGTGAGAAGAATCAACGACTGTCGAGAGTAGGTTCTGATATTGCCAGCCGGTATGGAAAATATCACGGGTTAATTTCGAACTCGAGTATTGATGAATAGATGGACGCCAGCAAAATTGATGGGCCTGGAAGACTTAAGAAGAAATTTCTTGACTTGACATTGAACATTCATTTACCCGGAGTAATGGAATGAAACGAAAATTGGGAAGGCAAGCCGTTCTATCGAAAGTGGCCTGCACTTTGAAAGCTTGGATGCAAAGATGTACGACAAGAGGCTGGACGAGAATTAAGAAGAGAAAATCGGGAGATATTGGGAAGTATCAGTTGCATTTGAGATTCAAGGAAAGATGAAACAAAGTAGGGCAATCCTAAATAGGGGAAGGGTACTAGTGTCTACAATTGCACCTAATTGCGGACATTTTTTAAATGAAAGCTGCTCTTACCTACTCGATTAGATTCGTCACCCTCAAAGCTACCAGGGTAGAGAGCATAGATAATTGAGGACTTCGTAGATGTTTCCATGTTAGAAAATTTAACCTCTCGTGCAATCTTTTGCAAAATATTTTGAACATTCCATGTCCGCATAGATAGAAGAATTTTTTTCTGGTTAACATTTTCAAATTCTTCTCTGAAGAATTTGTGTTTGGACATA